TCAAGGACTTTGCAAGAATAAGTATATGTAATTTCAAAATATATATATATGAAAGAAAAAACATCCTAGTAATTAAAAAATAAAAAAAGTTTCTGTAAAATTAACCAAAATTACTAGCTATTAGTAGACAATTCTCGCAGTAAGACTTTTCTTAATTACTACGACAATTATATATATATATACAAATGCGACCAACCACCCAATTAACACTAATTACCTTTCGTCAGGTAATTACCATAGCATCTACCTCTTCATATATACCAAAATCTGATAAAAAAACCTATTCTTCGATAATTTATCAGCAATTGGAGATGAACCCATAGGTCAGCTATACATACGAATTTGAGGATTAAGTTTCATGTGGAGGAGTGTTCAACGATATCCCAAGGGGGACTTTTTTTTTTTTCTCTACCCCTTGCCATGAACAGGTCCTATACATTTCGTCGAAAATCGTCCGGAAGACAAAAAAAAAAAAACAGAACAGAGAGGGGAGAATCATCGAATCAGTGAAATATAATGAGAAATACATGTAGTAGGTGCGCGGCATTGCCAGCAACAGTGATTGAAGAGTATATAGGGGGAGGGGGGAAACAACTTTTTGGAAGGGGAACATTGTTGAGAAGGGGAAAACCAATCGACGCGGTGGTTCCATGGAGTTACATCGGTGTGCATGCGTGAGCTCAAACTTAATGGCTATATGCGTCCATAGAATATAGAATCAACGGTATGGTATATATATATATATACCAACCCATACGGCAAAACTTGCTAGAAATGTGTTTAGTTTCACCGACACGCGATCCCCTTCAACAACAAAACACAGACATACACAAATACAGTGAGAATTTTGGACGCGCACGCAAACTCACACTTATCCATATCCAAGTAGTGGAGCTATTAATAAATCCCATCTGTGAATTTTTGAGACGCATGCGCTCTTCATCTCACAATGCCAAGCCAATTCCTCAGTGGTGGCTCGAATCATTAACCGGTCTCCTTGGCAACCCTGACGGACCTAAACCATTGGCTGGTTACCAGCCCCCCCTCCACTACCTTTACATATACACACACACAAACCTGTTCTCTTCAGATTCAACACACGTTTCTCTTGTTCGCTTCTGATCCCGACTTTCCTAACCTTGTATATACCTGAAATACACACATATCCATAATATGCTATACTTCCCGTACAAAGTTAAAGCTATATAGTCGCTAAGGACATATAACTATCGCTCGACCACTATATATATATGCCGGTTTCGTTTCATGTATTTATCCCCCTTTCAGTAGAATTTCAAAAAAGGTCTACGCCCATTTATCATACATTAACAATATTTTTTTTGTTGCTCTTTTTTAATCTCCTAAATTTTCTTCATTATTATTATTATTTCTCCTATTATTTACGATTACTATTTATTAAATTACTATTTTTTTTGAATATTGCATTGTATTTTGTAAAAAATTTAACGCTGGCGTTTATTTTTCTTTTTTTTTGCGAGCGAAGCTGCATACACAACAGTATATCTCTTGCGTGAATTTAGGCCAGGTTTATGTGTCAGAGTGTATAGAACTGTAGATTATATGTGTATAGTGACGAACTTGCCTGGGATTGGATAAGAGAGAGAGACCCCTTTTGCATGTGATGGTGAGACATCAATTCGTGTGTGTGCGGACGTGGGGCGTAAACTGCGCTTAGAGACAGCTGTTCCAGGGATGTATCAATAATTCCAAGAGCCATGTTCAACTTCCTTTTTTTTTTTTTTTTTGTTGCCAAGCAACATTTTTCCACACAATTTTCTCACGTTGTCTCTGTTTTGTCTGCTGTGTTTCCTCTTCACTGCCTTCCTTCGCACTTGCCAACTAATTGCATTATGATTTGGTCTCCGTTAGTTGTAAACATAAAACCCGTTGCCTCCTCATTAAAAATTCATTCTACAAAATTAGAATGAAACTCATTAGTTCAAATCAAATTTTTCTTTATTGTTAATTACTATTCAATTTTAAATATTCCTTTCCTTTTACTAAAAAAAAACAGGACATTTTGAAAATTACTCCCCCTTATCACTTTCTTCCTCAAGATATTCTCTATATCAGATATATATCTAAATAGGAAGCACGTGTCTGGTCAAAGTACACTTTCGATAAAAACACGAAAAAGAATTTATTTTTATTAAATCATAAAAACAATAATTTAACAAAAAGAGAATTTGTTTATACTAAAAGGAACTAAATTTGAAAGGAAACATCTTACGGCACAGGTTCTATATATATAATAAATTCATGTCACGAAATTAAAACATCTCGTAGTCAGAAAACCGGTATCTGATTGTAGGCCTAAATTTTTACCACAAGCATAATATTCGTCCAACAGATGGAATAGTAATTCACTGATATTGGAAATCATGTTATTTGAAATTTGATCAGGTCAATTTTTATCAATCTTAATTAACATATTACGAGTTATTATTTTTTATTAATGATATTTAAAAAAAAAGCTATAAATATCCCTATATATGAATTAAACGATAAACTACTAATTATGTGTTAAAATGTTAATCTTTGTACTTTTTGAAATCTTAATTTAGACAATATAAAAATGTGTCCGCTAAACAAAAATATTAAATAATAAATTCGAAAAAAAAATTCTTATATTTTTTTCCCTATTCATGCATAATTTTTTATCAATAACCAACATATATACACAAACTTGTCTAATCTAAAAAAAAACTGACAAAAATGGATTTTCTTATCATCTTTTTTTCTTGATTTAAAAAAAAGCACATCGAAAACCAAAAAAACAATATTACTATACTACAATATTTAGACCTGGAAATTATATATGTATATATATTAAGAAAAAATATAGTAGAAAATTAATCAACTTATTCACATTACATAAAAAAAAATATAATTGATTCAAATAGGTTTCATGAATATTATCAAATAAATATTTATATTTATATCAAATAATTTTTACATTCAGAAAAAAATTTTTATTTGAACTAAATATACAATTTTTTTGTTTTGATATTTTTATAAATTATAAATTATAAATTTTTGGCTATTTCAAATAAAATTTGTTTCCTTCAAATACATATTTATTTGATCTAAATAAAATTTAAAAAAACTCTTTAAATCTAAATCAGTAAAAATCTTAACTAATCTGAATTAGTGAATCATTTTTTGTTTTTGAATTAGTAAATATTTACTAATTCACTCTCTAAATCTGAATTAGTAAAAAAGTTGACTAATTTGAATTAGTGACTCACTTTTTGTTTCTTAATTAGTAAAATTTTACTAATTATTAGTAACTTTTACTAACAATTAGTAAAATTTAACTATAATTCTAAAGCGAAAAGTGAATCACTAATTTAAATTAGTAAACATTTTTACATTTTAAATTCAGATTTAGAGAGCAAAAGACAATTTTTCAAAAAAAAAAAGAATTTGATTATGTCAAATAAACTTATGGTTGATTCAAACAAAAGTATATATATGGTTAACTATATACTCTCTAAATCTGAATTAGTAAAAATGTTTACTAATTTAAATTAGTGACTTACTTTTTGCTTTAGAATTAGTTAAATTTTACTAATTGTTAGTAAAAGTTACTAATAATTAGTAAAAGTTACTAATAATTAGTAAACGTTACTAATAATTAGTAAAAGTTACTAATAATTAGTAAAAGTTACTAATAATTAGTAAAAGTGACTAATAATTAGTAAAATTTTACTAATTCAGAAGCAAAAAGTGAGTTACTAATTCAAATTAGTAAACATTTTTACTAATTCAGATTTAGAGAGTAACAATATATTTATTTGGTTGATTCAACCAAAATTTAGTTATTTCAAACAAATTTTTTTTCTGATATTTGAAACAAATAAACTGTATATTTAAACGAATAATAAATTAAGCAACTGAAACAAAATTTTTTTAATAAAAATAAAAATTATATTTAATACAAATAAATATTTATTTTATAATTGTCAAGTAACCAATTATTTGAATCAAATAAATTTTTTTCCAGTACAGTAAAAATTATCACTAATTTTAAATAGAATTTTACTAATTGATTTAGTAGTTTTCAATTTATTGATTAATTTATTGATCAAGATATATTTATGTAAATTAATTCTGATAACATACGAATATTAAGAATATTTTACCAACGTCCTCGGAACTATACTAATTTAATTAAACTACTAATTCTTTGATATCAAAGAAAAATTTTCTTTAATTTAAAGAAATACTTTTTCAATTTAAAAGTTTTATTTAGAATAAAAAAATGTTCTCTAAATAAAATAAATTTTCTTTAAATTAAAAGAAAAAAACATTTCCCTGACTCTGAAAGAAATAATTCTTTGATTCAAAGAAACATTTTTCTAAATGGGGAAAGGTATTATTTCCTCAAGCCGTCGGACAATTTTTAAGGACATTTTGCAGAATATTAAACATCAAATACAAAATTGTTAGACAATTAAAAAAAAAAAAAAAAAAAAAAAAAATGACTAAATAAAATTCCACCTGATACTCAAATAGCTAACTTTTTAAGACTGCATTGCCTGTATATTTGGGGGTTCGAAACCTGCTGATGAAAGGAATGCAGGGCACCACAGATGATCACTACATCATTGTATCTCGTAAAAGCTATGCTGCAAATTCTCCGCCTGAACTATAGCATCACACCGACGTGTGCAACCCAGGGGGGAATTTATTCATATATATGTGTTAGTTCGTTAGGGCCGTAACGATTGAATGTCTGTTTTCTTTATATGTATTAGTATACCGTTAGTCGGCAGCAGGCATGCGCCCGTAAAACCCCCATACCAGAAAGCTCCGCCTTTCGAGACGACTAAGATACCTCTGGGATTTGTCCACATCGGACCAATCATAACATCCTAACTCTGAACACTAGGGCCAGGAGTGAAAGGCCAGGGGGTGTCTGCATCACGTAGAGGGGTTCGAGTTTCTAGATGCAACAAGGGGTAAAAGAGTAAGGGGGATTTCAGTGTATATCCAAGTGGGAACAGGCCAGTAGACAACGAATACGACCACCAATGCTGACAGAAGCTTTGCAAACCAACGTTTCAACAGTGCCATTTTTCAAGTGTATAAAAAAAAAATAACACGGATTCAAATAATTCATAAATTGTGAATTTAAAACTGTTTTTTAACAAAACCAAGTGAAGTGTAGTGTGTGTTATTTTTCATGAAAAGTGTAATTCAAAACGTGCCTAGGTGTGACTGCGCAGACGCAATGTGAGTATCCACTGATTGTTAGCGACCATGAGCAAAAAAACCGTCTATAGCACAGAACTTCAGGGATGTACTCACTAACTAACATTTATATATAGGAGAAAGTTGTGTGTTTTAAACAGGAAAAGTTAGCGTCCTATTTTTTTTCCAAAATATGCCCCACGGGTAAATTGCAACCCCCTTTAGCTTAATCTTTACATATATATAGCCATCATGTTTTTGGGGTGCCGCGTGCTATTCTTATCATTATTATTATTTTTTGCCATTATGGCGAGATCCATGAAAGCGAGTTGGCTGTTCAATTCCCCCCCTAAGTTTCTGTTCGAGGCTCCCTCTTTACCCCTCCTACAAATGTTATTTTTTTTCTCTCTCTCCCCTCAAATATCTCTTTCCGTGATCCCTCGTTCCCTTGCCTTCCTTTGAAACCGGTCTCTTCCCCGAAGTCTCCCCCAAACCCTCCTCGCTCTACTAATTATGGTGGTCTCGACATGGACGACATTTTGTTTTGTGACATTTCAAGATGGAACGCCACCGGTTTTTCACTGGGTTCGAAATCAGTCCACTGAACCCTGACGTCACTTTTGTATGGTTATATAGAGTGCCGCAGGTTCCGCTCGACGTCGCCAGTCTACTTTTTTTTTTTTATTTCTATTTACCTTCGGCTAAATTCTCATTTATTGGCGTTACACTACTAAATTTATTTTATACATTTGTACTGGATATAATTTTTTTTTTTCAATCACACTCTAATATAATTTTTCCTGAGTTGCAAAATGATAGCGTCACATCAACAATGCAATTTCAATAGGATTTATTCTCAGTCACAATTATACTGCGCGGTCATTTAAAGGGGTTAGTTCAGAATATTTTGAAATATTAATTTTAATTTAATTTCTATAAGAATTTTTAGAAAAATTATATTTTTTTCATATAAACAATATTTTTCAATTGTTTTCCTTTTTTTCTATGAAATGAATATTAGAAAATAAAATTGGGTAGATAAATTGAGCACCACTGTTTGCACACACACACAATAAGGCTCGATTTCTCGACAGTTTCCCTTTATTTCATCGAATCAACCCTATGCGTCTTCCTTCAATTAATATTTCCCTTTTTCACGCCAAACCCTAATTTTGAGAGTTCTCGAGCCAGCGGACAAACAATGATTTTTTTTCCAGCAACGCCAACAGAGGCTCTCATAAGTATTACAAAACAAAAAGAAAAAAACACTTTCTCAATTTCCATTTTTTGATAGACTTTGAAGCACGAAACAATATCTAAAGTAATTCACAAACAAAATTTCTTTGTCGAATCCTTTGTTCCAATTGGAAAAAAATCCCTCCTAACAAAATAAGACAAAAAAAACGAAATTCGAAATATTTTTTTATTACCTGGAATGACGATTTTTGAATAGACCTTTTTTTCTTAGTCTCCAAAGTTTTTGATGAAAAAAAAAAGAAAACAAAACAATGCTAACGAGAAGGAATAAACTGTACGACTGTATTTGCACTTGAGATAACCTCTAATTTCTCGACTTCTTATCTATCGGAGATATCTATTTTCAATTTACAAGATTTTTTAATTTTATACAAAAAGCAATAATAAAATGTAAAATTATTTTTATTCGTTATACAAACTTGGCTATTACTATATGAATATTTATAGGTTAGGTTCGCAACTTTGTAATAATTTCATTAACTCACCACGAAAAAAAGTGAATCTTTTTTAATCAAACACTTTCACTGACTAATCCAATCGAAAATATTGCACTTCACTGCTACAAATATGTACTATTTACAGGGTATTTGATTAATTAACCGGAGCACTACATTCACACTAAACGCTATCACATGTATATACACATGAACTGAATACACAGAACAGACACACATAAGTTATCATCAGAATTAAGAAAAATATTAAAACGAAATTTTTTTTCTTTTTCTTTGACTAGATTCAACTATTCACTATTCATATAGAATATATTTAATTTTAACAATAATAATAGACAAGCTAGACAAGTAAACTGAAGTTGACATTAACCTTAAAATCGAAGCATTTCGATTTAAATTTTTGGCGGGATAATTTAAATTCTTTTTAAAAAAATCTTTTGCAAAAAAAATTAAACCAATATAAAAAATAGTAAAAAAAATAGTAACTAATACCAATAATAAATTGTAATAATGTAAATATTTTTTTTTAGGTAAATTAAGCCTTTAACTAAATGGGCAAAAAGGAGTGATTTGAAAACAAAATAATGTTGTGAAATAAAATAAGATTAAGAGAAAAGAAAAAAAAGGAAGCTAACAAAAATCATGACGGACGTAAAGCAAATTGAGATTTCACAATCTCAACCACAACAACAGCAGCAACAACAACAACAACAAGCTCAACAGCAACAACAAATGATGATTGTGACACATGAGATGCAACAACAAAATGTACAGCAACAACATGTTCAACAGCAATCACAAGCTGTTCAACAACAACAACAGCAAGTACAGCAACAACAACAAAATCAACAAGTTCAACAAGTACAACAAGTCCAGCAAGTGCAACAGCAACAAGTACAACAACAACAACAGCAAGTTCAGCAACAACAACAAATGCAAGTCCAACAAGTTCAGCAAGTTCAACAGCAGCAAGTGCAACAACAAATGCAAGTTCAACAGCAAGTACAACAACAGCAACAACAAAATCAACAACAACAACAGCAAACCAATGGACAACACAATGTTGTACCAACACAAGTGCAAGTTCAACCTCAAGTTGCTGCTATTATGCCACAACAACAGGTATAATGAATATTTTAAAATTTTTTTTAATAAAACAAAAAAAAAATTTTTTAAACAAAAAAATTTTTTTTATATTTTAAAATCAACAAAATTTTGATTAGCAGGGCGGAACAACAATTACAACAATGGCTGCCCATCCACAAGCTGTTCAAGTTATTCAACAACCAATTCAAAGTCAAGCCTATCATTTGCAACAACTCTACAATACTCAAGGTGCACCTTTAATAATGCCAGGAAATTTAGCCCTTCATCCTGCTGGAATTAATCCATCCTCTATTCAGGTAAACCAATTTCTATCCATCATAAATAAAAAAACGATAATTGAATTAAAAATTCAGTAAAAGACGGAATTAACATTTTAGAAAGTTAAGAATTTTTGCCTAGAATTAAAAAATCAATTCAATATTCACAGGTGATAACTGCCGGTAAACCATTTCCATCGGCAACGCAATTAACACCTCATATGCTAACTACAGCGTCCAATCCTGGACAAGCTGGTGGTCATCCTGGAACTGGTGGAACTAAAGTTCAAGGATTTCTAACTGGCTATTTACCAGTGCCAACATCGACTGCTGGAAGTGGACAAACCGTTGTATTTGGTCATCATGGAGTTCTTGGCTCACCGCAACCACCACAATCAATGCAACAGCAACAACAACAATCAAACAATAAGCAGGATCAAGTACAAAAAGTACGCAATTAATTTAAAAACGAATTCTTTCATAATATTAGCTATCTAATATCTTTATAATATATCTATTTTAATTTATATTTAATAAATTTTATAAAACGATTAATTTACTTACCCAAATTAGTACACTGCCTGTGCACCTGGAACGCCTTCAGGTGGAAGAGGTGGTGGAATGCAATTTGCACCCTGGCAATTTGCACCACAAGTTGCCTGGACGGGTTTACAATCTCCAACAACTCTCTTGACTGCAGGACCAAATCAAATATTCATCCGTGGTCCAACTCAACAGGATATGTTCATTCAAAATCCCCAACCAATTCAAGCTCACAATGGTCTGCTTTTTTTTCCAAAAAATTCATTCTGAAATTAAATCAATAAATTTAAAATTTGACTGACATTTTATTTTTTTTTTAGCTTTAGCAGCACAACAACAAATTCAAGGCATGCAACAAATTACAACTGCAAGCGGTAAGCCAAGAGTAATGGAAATTCAACAGCAACCACAACAACAAGGAAAACCAAGTTCAAGTGGACAAAGACCATTGAGTATTCTTCCATCCTCTCTACAAGGATTACAAGCAGCCAATATCCGTCCCGCGAGTTCCGTTTCAACTCAAACAGTTCACGGAGTTCAAACAACGGTATAAAATGTTCATTATTCAAATAATTATCTCACCACATGAAACAGTTTTTTTTCCATCAATTCTCAGGGTGAATTATTTTTATAATTGAAAATCATTGACTCTAAGAAATTGACAATTAAAAAAAAAGAGGGACGATATTTTGAAAGTACACGCGACACGAGAGGGATGTATTTCATTTTTGGGGGTATTTTATGAAAAATAATAAAAAAATGTAGAGAACCGTGTTCGATTATTTTTTTTGGATTCAGACTGGCAAAGGAGGTGGAGGTGCTGGTAAAGGCCGTGGTAAGCCAGTGGTTCGCACAAGTCCCGGTCCAAATGCGGCAATAGCAGCAACAAAAACCGATGCGGCTAATCAAACTAAATCCAATGTACATCATGCAACAATGATAATGCAACAACAACCTGTCGTGAGCAATAGTGGCGTCAATAAAATACTTATAACTGCAAATACGTCCGTTGCTACTTCTGCGCAACCACCTGGCTCACCCATGTCCACTGGTGATAAACAAAATTTCGGACCTCAAAACAAAACAATTATGCAATCACAACAACAGACACAGCAGCAAGTACAACAAACAATGCAACAGCAACATCAACAGGTCTTCATTCAACAGATGCAACATATTCAACAGCAGCAGCTTCAACAACAGTATCAACAACAGCAATCATCACAGCAACAAATACAACCCAAACCAATGATGAGTAAGTATTAAAATACTAAAAAAAAATTAAAAATTTATAGAAAAAATTGAATTAACTGTATCTTTTTTCAGGCGGTATGGCCTTGCAGCAACAACAGCATCATCAGCAACAAACGAACGTTGTACTAGGAGGGGAACGACCAATAATGCCCGTTGTCTCAATGAGTGGAGTTGGAGTTGCAACGACTCTACAGATGAATCAAGTACCTCAATCACCAATGACAACTGTTCAACAACTACAATTACCGGTATAAAATAAAGTCAAAATTTTCAATTTTCAAAATTAAATTCATTTATTTTATTAACAAATTCATTAATCAATAAATTAGCAAACAATTAATCCTGCAATGATGACGAATCATTTGGTCAATGGAACAACTCAAGTACATACAATGCCAATGGTAACACAGTCTGTTGAACAACCTCAACATCAACAACAACAACAGCAACAACAACCAACACCTCAACAACAGGATATTACAACATCTCAAATTGTCGTCACTGCTCTAGATCGTAATCAACAGACGGATACAAATATTCAGACAATAAATATACCAATTTCCAATGAAGATCCCCTAAAGTCAACACCAAAAAAGAATGATATTTTACAAACTGAAGAAGCACCAACACCAATGGATACTTCAGGTATAATTTTAATTATATAATAATAAAATCTTCTGTCCTAACTTGAAGTTGGCCTTTTCTGATTTCACGTGTTTTTTTGAATAGTAATCTTATGACGTGTCAAATTTTTGACAATTCTTTTTCTCATTTTTGCCAAAGTTGTATAATTGTGTTTTGAAATTTCGGAATAAGTTTCTTTAAAATTCCAAATTCGAAAATTCAATTCACAAAGCTGAAGTACACAACGTTTACCAACGAAATTTTTTTTAAAGTTGCACTGAAAAAAGGGTTTGATATTGACAACCAAACGTTTGGTTGGTATTTAAACAACCAAAATTTTTTTGTTGATTCAACAAAATTTTAATTGTCTCAATCAAAATTTGTTTGACACAACCAAAATTAGAAAAAAAGGATTTTTGTTGTCATAACTAAAGTTTGATTGAGACAACCAAAATTTTGTTGATTTAACAAAACAATTTTGGTCGCTTAAATACCAACTAAACTTTTGGTTGTTAATACCAAACCTTTTTTTTAGTGTGTATATTGATTCAAAAATTGTATACAAATAGAAAAAAATTTATGATGAGAAAAAAGATGCGCCAGGAAATTTCGTATAAAGTAGTAATTTGAAAAAAATTAATTTTTAAGGTACCAGGGGCCAACGAATACCTATTAAATATTAATTATAAAAATACAGGCCTCGAATCAACTTAAAGACACAAAAAAGTCGTTTTAGTCGATTTATATTCCAAAAAAAAGTGGATTTGTTTTTTATTTTAACAAAAATATTTTACAGATTTTTTAACAAAAAATTTTTTTTTTAATAATAATCCTTTTCGAAGGGTTAAAGTTGAAATTTTTAGAAATAATTAAATTTCAAAAGATATTTTTAATTTTCAAATAATTATTAAATTTTACAGAACTAAAAATAATTTATCAAACAATTTTTGGAAAACATTTTTTAAATTTAATTGAATTTTCAAAGATTTAAAATTGAGATTTTTGAAATTAATGGAAACTTTAAGTGTTTTGTAATTAAAATTTTAGATGATTTCACTAAAAATTTATTAGAAAATGCGGACAAAATACAAAAATTTGAAAATCATTTTTAATTGAAAAATGGTTTCAGATAGTTGAATTTTTAAAGAATATTATTAAAATAGTTAAAAATAATTGAATTTCAGGAGAGTTATAATTAAAATTATTAAATTTCAAAAAAAAAAATATTCGATGGAAAATTTTAGAAATAATTAAATTTTAGATGCTTTTAAATTCAAATTATTAAAAATTCAATTAATTTTGAATTCAAATTTTTGAGAATAATGAAATTTTATTTGATTTTAAATTGAAAATTTTTGGGAAATAATTGAATTTTAATTGAAATTTTGGATAATAATTTAATTTTAGTTGATTTTAAATTGAAAATTTGAAAAATAATTGAATTTTAGTAAATTTTAAATAGAAATTTTTGAAAATTATTGAATTCCACTTGAAATTTAAGAAAATAATTGTATTTTAAATTATTTTGAATTGAATGCTTGGAAAATAATTGAATTTCAGTTCATTTTGAATTGAAAATTTTGGGAAATAATTGAATTTTAATTGAAATTTTGGATAATAATTTAATTGAAGGTCATTTTTGATTGAAAATTTGGATAATTAATTTTGAATAGAAATTTTAGAAAATAATTGAATTTTATTTCATTTTAAATTAAAAACTTGATAAATAATTAAATTTTAAATTGAAAATTTTGGATAATTATTGGATTTTTAATTGATTTTGAATTAAAATTTCTGGTAATAATTGAATTTTAGTTTATTTTGAATTGAAATTTTTTAAAAAATAATTCAATTTTATTGTGATATTTTTTTTTAAATTATAAACAATTATTGTTAAATTTCATAAAAATTTTAATTGGAAAATAATTTTGATATAATTGAATTTGTGATGTATTTCATTAAAATTATTAAAAATAATTAATTTAATGAAGAATCATTTAGTTCAAAATTTGTTAAATAATTGAATTAAAGAAGATCTGAAGAAGATCTACATTTTATACTAAAAAAATGTATTTTATTTACATTTTTTTTCAAATGTAAAAAATAAGTCGCATTTTATTAAAATAAGTCGATAAAAGTCGTATTTTTGAAAAAAGTCGTATAATCCGAGGCCTGTAAACATATAATTTTCATTATTATCATTTAATATTTAATAATATTCTAATAAGTTAAATTATTATTGATAATATTAATCTTTAATTTCTTTATAACAAACAATTAAATACTCAATTTGGCGCGCTTGCGCGCGTTTAATTTTTGCTAGTTAATAGAATAATTTTCTTTGATTTGGAGATTTTAATTTTTTTAATTCTTTTAGATATAGATCAGAATAAAATGATTATGAAGGAAGAATTAGAAAATGCAACAGGAAAATTAGATGATAAATTAAGTAATAATCCATTGGCTGGTTTAGCAAGTGCTGTGAATTCGATAACAAATGGAATAACCGGTAGTGAAGAATCAACGGCTCCAATATCGTTACCAATGAATGTTAATAGTAAACAAACGCCATTAAAAGCAATGGTGAAGCCTCAAGTACTCACACACGTTATTGAAGGATTTGTAATTCAAGAAGGTAAAAATTCTAATTAAATTTCCAAATTTCTCAAATTTTTTTTTCACAAAAGAATATTCCAAAACTCTAAATAATTCAAAAAATCAGTTTCGATTAATGATTAAATATAATCTCGCTCAGAAGAATAATTCCCCCATCAATTTGATTAAATGAAATTTCAATTAAATTCGGTTAAAAAATAATTTTATAAAATTTACAGCTTCTGAGCCTTTTGCTATCAACCGGACAAATCTCAACGGTTCTCTGAGTCAAGATTCAATTTCCAATCGCAACAGTGAAAAGGATGGTTATGAGGAACCTCCAAGTAAGAGATATTTTAAATTCACTTTTTGCGATTTTTTTCGAATTAAATCAAAAATAAATTCCCACTATACAATAAAAAAATTAATTAGTACTAAAATAAGTATTTCATATCTCTTTTTTTTTCTCAATTTCAGGAAAGAAAGCAAATTACACGAATGATGAAAATATGGACAATAATCATATTAACAAGTGTGAAGCATGCGGGAAACAAATGGATGAACAAACTGGAAAACTCAGAAAAGACAAGAGATTTTGCTCATCGATATGTGCAAAGAGGTAACTATTCAATGATTGATAAAAAAAACTATAAATTAATCAAAAATATCGAATGAAATGTAAATGAATTTCTTTTTAGTTGTAAAAAACGAGATCGTGACGCAGGAGAGAAACAATGGACGGAAATGGAAATTGATGCAAAAAATAATGAAATGGAAGCACAAAAGAAAAGTGGCGAGGATAAGTCATTAACGACAAGTACAACTCCAAATATAGACGATTCGCTACCAAAAATAAATCCTGTCAAGTGGACGGTAATAATAATTTTTTTTTTTTCATATAAAACTTGTAAAATTTCCACTAATACAAAAAATTGTCTCTTTCTAAATTTCTCTTCAACTATTTTATTTAAATATAAAATTAAACAATACCTTTTAATATTTACAGGTAAACGAAGTTTGCGATTTCATTCGAAATTTGCCAGGTTGTGCAGATTATGCGGAAGATTTTGCTATTCAAGAAATTGACGGACAAGCACTAATGTTACTAAAAGAAGATCACCTAATGTCAGCAATGAGTATTAAATTGGGTCCAGCATTGAAAATAGTTGCAAAAATTGATTCAATGAGAATTGATTCAATGTCCAGTACAAGCCCCGTGTCGAGCAATAATATTTAAATTTTTTATAATTCAGGGATAGTGCAAAAAAAGTCTTACAAATTCTTAAAAAAAAATGTTGTTATAAAATACAACAGGGTTCGAAGATGTTCAGATTGTTAATATTGTTAATATTTATAAAATTCAGTTGGATTTTTAATTTTATTTAAAAAAAAAATATATATATATATTTCGAGTGGAATTTTTTATTTTCTTGCAAAAACATTTTTGGACCACATTTTTCAATATATTTTAATATGATCAATTGATCACAACAAATCTCGAGCAAAGATAAACAAACATATCTGTGGTGATTTAAGTTCGAGATTTAAAAAAAAAAAAGAAATGTAGATAAATATATATATATATGTCGAAGTGAAAAATTAAAAATAACTTCTGTGACTATTGTGCGTGTATAAGAAATATTTTTAAAGTCAACAACTTTAAAATGTGCGCGTTAAATTCGTTGGATGCGAAAAGAACTGAGTTCTAAGTTTAATTTTTAAGTTAACATTAAAATGTAAATATGATAGATATGTTTATTTAAAAACAAAAAATTGAAAATTTTATAGAACACACACACACACACGAATATAGTCAAAGATAGTAAGTCCTATCTGTTTTCGTGATATACTTTTAATTAATGAAAATGATATCGAAAAAAGGCAGCTGTTTCGATTACTTTTTTCTCACTTTTATTTTAACTATTAAAAAACAAATCTCAATGCATTTAGTGATTCAGATTATCAAGATAGTTAAAAACAAAAAAAAAAAAAAAAAAAGTACTGTCCTTGATGTCTTTGTGAATTCTTGTCAATAGCAATCTAATATAAAATAACTATTAAGCTTTCTTTTCAAAATAATGCCGAATATATATATATACATATACCTTTTATACAAAAATTGCGTAAAAGTTCGGTAAAAAATTTAGATGATGAGAAAACACATTTTTGTAAGTCTATCTTGAAACCGTTACATTGTACATAAAAAAAAAAATTGCGATATGTAAATCCATCATCATTTACAAACATTACTCAGGGTCTACTGTTTTTTCTACACTCCTTTACACACATCTACGTATGCATCAATAAATATTTCTAAGTTTTTTTACAAAATGATTTTTCTATTTCTTAATTATATAATTATTTCATAAACTAAATAAAAATTCAAACTTAATTTGATTATTTTACGGAAATATTTTCCGAAAACAGTCATTCATACTGTAATTTAGAAAACTTAATTTTTTTTTTTTATTCATTTTTATCCTATTTATTACTATTTTCGAGGAATAAACTTTTAACAATGACTAAAGTTAAATATATATGTCACATTTAAAACGAAAAAAAATATATTTAAAGTAAAAATAAATGATACTTTAGAATTATAAAATGAATAATTTTATAAACTAATGTATATGAAAGATTTACTTTCATCACTAAGCTGCAGAAAACTCTTCTTGTGGTGCTTTTCCCTCAGCAAGAAATTCTGTTTCAGCAACATCACGTGCGTCTTTTAATGCGGGTACAGTGTAGTGCATAAAATTATAAATTCTAACGCAGAGACAAATTCCAAGTATTCCAGAGAAAGCCATGATTGTTTTAACACTTCCTCTATGAATTTTATCATAGAATAATGATTTCTTTGATCTTGCCATCTTTTAATTGTTATTGGACTTAAAAGTTTATATTTTTCCAAAATATTTCATATATATATCCTAAAAAATATTTTCTTTTTAACAATATAAAGCTAATAATAAAAATAATAACCCCGTTTTATCCACATTATATAAACAGTTTAGTGATTATTTTTTTAAATTATGTAAAAATTTATTCTAAATAATTTTTTGTGTAAATATTTTAATTAATTAAAATAATTGAAATTAACTTTTCGAATAAATTAGTTATTTTAACATATTTATAGTATATATAGTGAACATTTTCTTCAAAATCTAAATATTGTTAAATATTGAATAAATAGCATACAAATGTGTTGTGACTACTTACATAATTTGTAAAGAATCAAATAACTCGGCAATGAGTAAATTTAATTAAATAATTTCCCCTTTCCGTTTTTTTTTAAATTATGTCAAAATTTACAGAGATGTCTAAAATATAACCTCAAATACATGCTGGTACGACAATTTTCGTGTTTGCTGTGAATGGCGCCGGTTTTCAGTTTACAAAAATGGCTACCAGATGGAACATTTTAAAAAATTTGATTGGTTAAAAAAAATTACAGCGAAATTATCACTTTTTTAAATATATTATTAATGATTTTTAATAAATTGTTTAATTTTCACGTTTTTGTAAAATATATCTTCTAACGAACAAATTTTACAAAAAAAATGTGACACTTCCCAAAAAGTAGTTAATTATTATTAATTATTAAATAATGATCTTTTTAAATTCTGTCATACTCGAACGAAATCTTAATCATTGTTAAAAGTTTATTTTCCACAAATTTTTGTTTTAGAAAAAAAGTAGGGTTATGTAAAGAAATTTTATATTTCTGATTTTTTATTAATAGCGATAATTAAAATCAATTAAATAAATTCCTAATATTAAATTAACTGGTGAGAATAAAAAATTTTTTTATCTATTTTCCCCAGAATGAGGACAACGATAATATTTTTCAAATTCTTAACGCATCCAACGAGAATTTATAAATCATGAGATAAAATTACATTGCGTATACTTACACAGCTTTCAAATCAACAGAAGCTTCGTTATTCACTGAATTTAAACGACATTATTTAACTTTCTCGCGAAAAAAATATCAAAATTAAATAACATAAAAGTACACCAACGTTTTTGCTTGACCTTCTCCTTGGGAATGCGCGGGAAATCAGGAATGAACAGGTTGAACTACTTCTAATGGCCACCAGATGGAGCATTGAAAAAATTTGATTGGTTCATGATATTTCCCGCGAAAGTAACTCTCGTTTAAATATATTATAAACGATTATTGAAAAATTGTTTAATTTACACGTTTTTATAAAATATATCTCCTAATGCAAAAATTTTATAAAAAAAAAAATGTGACACAACCCAAAAGTATTTTATTAATAATTGTTAAGAAATTATCCTATTGACTCTGTCATAACCAAAAAAAACGTTAATCAATGTTTAAAAATTTATTTTCCACAAATTTTTGCTATAGAAAAAAAAGTGGGGTTATGTGAAGAATTCTCACGTTTCTGACATTTAGTTAATAGGGATAATTAAAATCGATTAAATGAACTCCTAATATTAGATTAATTGGTGAGAATAAAAAATTTTATCTATTTTCCCCACAATGAGAACAAAAATATTTTTCAAACGCATCCAACAAGAATTTACACAATCATGAGATAAAATTATATTGCGTATACTTACACAGCTTCCAAATGAACAAAAGCTTCGTTAATCACTGAATTTAAACGATATTATTGAACTATTTCGCGAAAAAAAATATCAAAATTAAACACACAAAAGTACAGCAACGTTTTTGCTTGACCTTCTCCTTGGGAATGCGCGGGAATTCAAGAATGAACAGGTTGAGCTATTTACAATGAACACCAGGTGGCGCCATACTGTGCTGTGATTGGTGGACAAGTTTTGGGCATAATTTCGATTAGTAGGTAAAATTTACTCTGAAATTTGATTGATAGATGAAATTTAGCGCCAAATTGTATATTTTTTTTAAATATTCTAATAATGATTAAAAAAAAATCTTTAAAATAAACATTTTTATTCAATATTTTAACAAATCAATAATTATTGCATTTAATATATTAATTATTTAACATACTGTATAGTATTTGTTCATTATTGTTTTTATTTATTTGTTTTAATTTTAAATATTAATATTAAAAAAAAAGAAAAATTACATTAATATTCTGATTTTTAATTTTTATTTATAATCAAATCTTATACACCTTTAAAATAATAAAGATCGCATTTTTTTAACGTTTTATAAAAATACAGATATGCATCTTCAATTTCACTCAGTCATACATAAGTTTCACGCACAATTTTTAATTATATATAATATATATATATATAATACCTTTTACAATAGAATTGTTTGTTATACAACATTCAACTTTAGTGTAATATATGCACGCCTATTTACAAACTTTGAAATTAAACAAATATTTTTCAGAACATTTGGGTCGCTAGCAAAGCATTTATCGAGCAAACTAATTGAAATAGAAATGTTTAATAAAAGAAAATATAAATTTTAATTAAGAAAAATAATATATAAGTAGGAACTCGATAAACAATACTTTTTTTTACGCTAAACAGCAATTTTCTTACGATTAGAAAAAATCTGAGGCCGTTATTCGACGATATCACATTTTTTTTTTTTTATTTTTAACTTCTTCACGTTAAAACGACAATATTGTACATATTTGCAATTGTATTGCATGTACCATCACAGTGAAAGAAAATAATTTTATTTATTATTCACTGTTATATTTTCTAATCCAAGAAAATTTTTTTTTTAACTAATCTCTTCTTTCATGTAGTATATTTATTTTATAATATATTTTAAATAACAACATTTTTTAAGAAATCATATAAAAATTGTTCGAAGATTTATATTTGAAAATAACCGCTTTTTCCCTTCACTGTGATTTTTATATACGCATTATATATATATTTTTTTTCTGTGATTATACAAAAATTTGACGGTCATTTTTAATAATTTTTTTTTTTTTGTTTTATTCAGTTCTGGCCTACGACGATAAGTTATTATTTAACAAGTCCGGAACTCGGAATATCTCTAAACAAATGTATATATATATATATAGTATTTTTTTTAAAGACTTTTAAGGATATTCTATGTACATTTAATACCGTGACTACGAATGAAAATAAATAATTGGATGCAAAGACGAAATGAATTAGAATGACATACATTTCGGAAGCTCACATTTTCATGCCGATCAAAACAAATTAATTGACTTCAATTTAACAATCAAGTCGCTTAATGGCTTCCAATTGGTGAAAAAGAACAATACCAAACTTTGCACGAAAATTAAAAAAAAAAAAAAACGAAAAAATAATAATGTAAAAATGTAGCATTTTAACAAAATGAAAAAAAAATAAAATGAATGTAATTGAAGACAATAAAATTGTTTGTATAATAGAATAAAAATCGTGCCAAGTTTATGGAATGTAATTAAATATGAAAATAATTCATTATTTTAATAACCATATTGATTCTTTGACATCAAATAAATGAAATTTCTTATAAATTTACCATAAATAGTAAAAACAAAGTCAATTTATAAGAAAATCGAAATCAACGATATTATTTTCGTATACAATGAAAATTTGTTATAATTTACATTTTAATGGACTGACACAATTCTTTGTTAATATTTTCTAGTATACTTCACAGTGCAATAAGTAAAATTCTAAATAAGTAAATTAGAAACTCAGTTAAATACCAAAATTGAAAAATTTTCGATTATTTATATCTATGATTTTTTTTTTAATTGAAATTATAAAACGTCATGGTTGTGTGACAAAAAAAAATAATAATTCTATGACAAAATAAAATTAAAAAAAAAAAAAAAGAAACGAAACAAAAAAAATAAAATTGAAAAAAAAAATTGCACGATAATTGAGTGATAAACTCAAAAATTCGTTGGTCACAGTTACCTGTTTGATAAATGTTTAAGGGGCCCGAGACTTAAAATTGAAGTGGCACCAAGAGCTCCTAAATTGCAAACATTTGGATTTCTTGCACCGTCTATTGTTACAATAGGTAAACCAAAATAGCCTCCAGTTTGAGCACTAAGCTGAGATAAAGGAATAAAACTTTGAATTCCAAGATTTGAAAGACGATTAACAACATGCGGTGATTTTAAATCAACAACTGGCAATGCCAATTCAATCCCTCCATTTTGTAAACCTAAATCAACTTCTTTATGATAGGTTTGTTTGTGCGTCATTAAAGCCGATGCCGTTGGATATTTTGCCGGACACAAATTACATCTGAAAATTAAAAAAATTATATTAGATATTATATTTTTTAAAATTAGACATTCTATTAATTAGAAAAATTATTCTAATTTTTCAATTTTAAATTTCATATTACCAAAAAAATTTTCTTTTTCCCGATTTTCAATTTGAATTTAATTTTTTTCCAGAGCTTAATGAATTTTTAGAAGCAAAAGTTTTTTAATTATTTCGAAAATTGGGAGAATTTTTAAAAATTTGATATTTTTCCAGTACTTTTCAAATTTCTTGACCCGTGGCAATTTTGATATTAATTTATAAATAAAATTTTTATTTTTTATACTAACTTGTGCAGAAGTTTACTAGTCGCTCGATGATTTGCCATATGTTGGGTAAGCATTTCTTGATTTTGAAATCGTTTGTCACACACTTGACATGTTAATAATGCCCTAAGGAAAAAATTAAAAAATTATTATTTATAGAAAATAATCAAATTTTAAATTAAAAATAATTTTTTAAATTACAAAAACAAACCTTGGAGGTCGTCCACGTCGAACAAGAGGCGGTGCAGGTGGTGTATCCTGTGTAAGATCGACCGTTGGAGGTCGCGGTGGCCTTTCAACATCACTATTACTCGTTTTACTTTGTTTATTTTGAGGAACAGCAAATTGTCCCTGTTGTTCCTGTTGTTTTCTCTGTGAGCTCGCAGGAATTATTGATATTGCTGAATTTAAATTTAAAGCCGGTATATTTTGTGCCGCTGCTGGTCTCTGTTGTTGTGTCTGTTGTTGCTGTTGTTGTTGCTGTTGTTGTGCCGGTACTTGTTTACTCTGTTCACCAGATTTACCTTTTTGCATCGCAGGTGTTACCGTAATACCACGAGCCGCTAAAACATTAGCAACTGCTTTTGCATCCGGTTTTTTCCCACTGGGCGTTGTATTCTGCACTTGAGCTGGAGCGGAACCTTTAGATTAGTGACAAAAAAAAACAAATTTCTTTTTTTTTTTGCGATTCGGTGCACGTCCTTTTCTATTTGGAGTAAAAGGTTCTCTTTTTTTTCAAACCAAATCAAATGTGCACATAAAAAAAAAGACATGCGACTTTTTAATGGAAAAATTAAAAAAATATGGAATAATTTAATTTTTGAAAATGAAAATACAATAAGGTTGGAAAAATTTTTCTTACCAGGTTGTCGTACACTTAGAGTAATGGAATCCGTGAGATGGATTGTTGAATCACTTCTATTTGATTGTGTTGTAGCACCTTGAACATTTTGTATCACAGGAACACCGTCATTTCGTTTTTGTTGTGCGATAACGTGACAATCGGGATCTTCATTTCTATCGGGTAAAAGAACGTCCATTCTTCTTTGTTTATTAACATTGGCATTGTTCGGTTGTTGCATTTGCACTGGTTGTTGCATCGGTCTCTTTAAACGTTGACGAGGCATTGCTTGAGGAGGCGGTATCCTAGGACCTCTAAAATTTCAAAATAAAAGAGAATTGAACATTTTTTTTTTCAATTTTAGTAAAATTAATAAATTTAAAAAAAAATCATACCGTGGGGTTTGTACAATTGACGAATATCGGCTCCTTGGCATTTGTGGATGCATCTGAGGTACACCCATTTGTGGACCAGGATAACCAGGTGGTGGTGGGCCATATTGTGGATACATGTGTGGCATATGAGGTGGATACATGCCCTGAGGTCCAGATACTCGATACATTGGCGGTCTTCCTGGTGGTTGAATGTAAATATTGCTGGGAATCATTGTATTTGCTCCTGGTGGAAGAGTTGGTTGCATTTGTGGTTGTGGAAGTGGCATTCGTTGTACCTGTTGTGCTAATTGTTGAACCGGCGCTGGTAATTGATCGAAATTAACTGGTGTTATCATTTGTTGTGAATTATTTGTTAGTGGATTATATGAAGGTGAACCAGCTTGATGTGGTGATGTACCGGAAACTTGTGAATTAATACCCGTTTGTGGATCCACTACGCTCATATGTGGTGATGTTGCATTCATTAATGGAGAACTTTGATTCATGTGTGGTGATGTTTGATTTAAATGCGGTGAATTATGATTCATGTATGGTGAATTTTGATTTAAATGAGGTGAACTCGCGCTCATATGTGGCGACATTTGATTAATATTGGGCGACATTGGCGCGCCATGTATTTGCATTTTGTGAATTGACACTTCCATTGGATTGTTGAAAATTAAATTTCCACATTCAGGAATGTTACATTGAAAATGTCCCATTTTTGCTTTATGAACGTCCAATTGAGTGATATCTTTGAATTTTTCGTTACAAACACGACACGTACTGACTGTCTCAGCGAGTCTTTCTAAAGAAACATATTCAGTTTCAAAAGTTGGTATATTATTTGACACTTCGTTTTGACTTCGTCTTTGATGTTCCATGAGGAAATTTTGAAGTAAATTTCCAGTATTATCATTGGCTGATGATGAGCCAGTCTCATTGGATTCTTCTATTGTTTCGTCCTGTTTATCGTTCTCGTCAGTTGTTATTTGATTCCAGCTGAATGTTGAATTGGTACTTTGTTCATTTTCTTTGTTTCTTCCATCAGTTGAAGATCTAATTGGTTCTGGTGCCATAATAGAAGCCTTCGGTACCAAACTTATTTCTGGTTTACTGTGTAATGTTTGTATTACATCATCGGAACTTTCTGTATTTTCTTCTTCATCGGTTGGAATTTTTTCTCCTATTTCATTCGCCGATCTGGAACTGAAATTATTGTTAGTTTTTGAATTCTATTTTTTTTTTTTTAAGAAAGAAAAAGGCAACATAATTGAAAACAAGAACATAAATTGCTTACAAATTGTTGGTGAAGCAGAATAGTTTCGGTTTTACAAACCTTGACTGTTCACCAAGAATCTTGAGATTTTCAATAGTTTCTCTGCAAGTTGCTTCTAGATTGTCAGATTCTTCAACATATTCACTTTCATTGACTACCTTCTCCGTAGCTTCGTAATTATCTCCTGATTGTAAATCGTCTATATTCTGATCCTCTCTTTCTAAAGGATTTGCCATATCGCTTCCCACTCCCGAATCTCCTTCATTAATGTCCACTGATGTTTTTTCTGTTTCTTCCAAAGGATTCCTTGTCTCCGCGTCGAATTTTGAATTGTCATCATCTTCCTACAAGTCAGAAAATTTTTATTAATATTAAAAATCGTAACTTTTTTTTTTTAAATAAAAAGCTGTCTTTCAAAAAAAAATAATTAACAACTTCTAAATCTATTTCTGTCTATTAATTAAAAATTAAGCAATTCCTCTGGCAAAATAAAATACCCGAGCAACAAAATCTAGTTCCCTAAAATCTAACCTGCTGATTTAATATCACATTTTCAAATGGTTCGTTAATTTGATTTTCCACCTCATTGTCATCCTTATCGTCATTTTCTCTAAGACCTGCCAGGTCGTCTTCGTGATAATTTTCCGATTGAATATCCAAATTGCTATTTATAACAGTGAAGTCTTCAGACACTGAAGACTTCTTTAAAGTAAGCTTCAAAGAATCGGAACCGCACTGCTTTTTCAATGTAAACTTCAAGGTCCCCTTTTGATCTGGATCCAACCAATATTTTTCGTCCTGTTTTTTCTTCACTGATCTCAAATTTGGAATTCTTCTAAGTACAACACGAGGTTCACCCAAATGAACGTTAATATGTGATCGTAAGTCTTTCTTTCTTAAAAATTGTTGACCACAAATTTCACAATGCAATAAATCGGACGCCAATTCATGCAGAGGAATATCCGTGCTTAAGTTTTCATCTAAAACAAAATAAAATAAATGATTATTATATAATATATATGTATATATAAATATCGACTGCTTGTCACGTCAAACAATATTTTTAATTAATTCAATATTACTATAACATAAAACTTAAACATGTTTAGAATTTTAATAAAATAATAATTTTTAAAACATAAATTTGTATATAACCTCAAAAAATAGTTTAAAGAATTCACATTTTTCTATTGTTTTATAAAATTCTAAAACTTACACATATATAAATTCTCGAAAATTTATTAACTTCCTTGAAAACGTGTTACAAATATTCAACATCACAATTTGTAAAACATGAACAATAAATAAATTGTTTTATATGACATTTTAAATATCATCTTCACTTAAAAAAATATTGCAAAAAATGTTTCCTTTTTTTTTTTTAAATAACTATAAGCACATGATTCTTATTTAATTTCAACAAAATCTATTGTTTTGATAAAGTTTATAATCGTACGCCCACAACACAAGCTTTGAGTGAAACAAATGACATCATAAATGGTGTATAAAATATATACGCCCTTACATTAATTTACATCACTTGAACTTTGTTACGTATTGTAAGAAATATTTAAATTTTCAAAATTGCATATAAATAAAAATTTCAATTATAAACAGATTTTATCAAGAAAAATTAAAAAAAAATAATAATGAAAAATAAATGAAAATTATTAATTGATAATAATAGCATTGTTACTGAAACAGTGACGTATCATTTGACAAATCAATATAGGTTACTAAAGATGCGACGCCATTGGTTGACATGTCGTTTTGCCGCGACGCCGCCATTACGTTCATTTTCATCACGCAAGACGCAACAAGCGTAAATCCATCGTCATAAGAGAAATTCTTTTGTTTATTCACTATATTTTGTGAATGTAAATTGTATACGTAAACTAAATTTGTGTATTTAAAATATTTAGATTGAAAGTAAAGTATAAGAAAAAACTAGCGCAATGTCGATTATTGACGACGTCGAGTTGATCGAGGAGGTGAGAAAACGTCCATTACTTTTCAACAATAGATACCGAAATTGTGACGATGCAAAGGAAGAAGCATGGGTCGAAATCGGTAACAAACTTAACGCAAAACGTAAGTATCATGTTAACTATTTTTTTGTTCGTTATTTTTCAAATTTACGCAAAAGAGAATTAAAAATTGAACATAACCTACAAATCATATTCGATTAAACTAATTGAGCGCAATATATTTCAATATAGTTTACATATAATTTGTACAATTTAAAATTTGTGTTATTGTTTTTAAAATTTATTGGATATCAAAATTTGGTAGTTATAAACTTTTTTTCAGTTTTATTGAAATAGATTTACTATTTCTCAACCGTCTTTCTATTGTTATCCGATGTATACAAAGGTCAATTAATTGTCTTTTTGTTGTAATAATGAATGGTGATTTAGTACTAAAGTATGTGTTAAAAATAATTTTAAGTTGTACTATTTATGGATTTTATTTTACTTGTAAAGTATTTTATGATTTAATTTGTACTTAAGTTTCTAAAGATTACTGATATACAATTGCTTAGAGCAAACATTAATGTTTGCAATGTCAAGGTTTCTAATTCGTTTATTGTTTACTGATTTCTTATCGCGACAGATATAAAGTGCAATTTACTATAGAAAGAATTGTGTTGAATCTAATTTTAAAATTACATAACATAAAATCTTTCAACAATTCGAAAGAGAATTTAATAGAAATTGCTACCATGTAAACAGTAAAAGATAACAAGAAAACAGTAAATATATTTAATTAGCGATTATTAAATTATATTTAAATTTTGATTCAGCCAAAGAGGTACGAAGCCGCTGGAGAAGTTTACGTGATAAATTTGTACGAGAAAAGAAAGTAATCTTACATAAAGGTATAGGTAATAAAAACCTAGAAACCGTGGAAACAGAATGGCCCTTAATGGAAAATATGTCATTTATATGGCAACATATTGTGCACAGAAGAAAAAGACGATCAAAATTAAAAGATGATATAAAAAATGAATCTGTTGAATTATCAGATAATTTGACAGAAAATGCAGAATGGTATGTTGCTTTAGATGTTGACAGAAATGATCAAAGTCATGTGTCTAAATCTGATGTGGAAATAACTCCATCCGTTAAAAGAAAACACGTAATTGATTACGAGGTGATATATAGTAAATTATTTAAAAAAATTATTTACTATTAATTTTCTTTATATTGATAAATAAGAAAAATAATTTGATTATTAATTCATTTTTTTTTCTAATTAGGAATCACCTATTGACGAGGTAGGAGAATTTGTTCCTGTTTCGGAAGGTGAAGAAAATTACTCCCAAAGAGTGGACCAAACAGAATCATTTATCGCTGATGACAATCATTATTTCTGCATGTCAATCGCTGAGACATTGAGAAGATTTTCGACGCGTCAGAGAGCAGAAGCTAAGTTAAAAATGCAACAATTATTATTCGACGTTGAATTTAATTATAGTTCATCTAACATAGAGTAAAAAAAAATGACGATATTTGATTAAATTGTTTAAAAATGAAATCATTAATAGTAAAAAAAAAAAATTAAAGTTTTAATATCTACGAAAGAAAATATATAAATTAAAGGAATAATTCAGAGTAAATCACAATAGATTATTAAATGTTTATTTTGTTATTGAATTCAAAATTAAATTATGGTTTTAAATATTGGATTTGCTCTGTGATCCTTTAAATAAATTTTCGAAATATTGAATCTTAATTGATGTAAATGATTTTTTCAACATGTTTCTCAATGATTATTAATTATAATATCTTCGGATTATTAATTAATATCATAAGATTATTGATTATTTATAATAATATACGATTATAATTATTCGTTTAAAGAAATCAGTTTCTTTTGACTTTTTCTACAGTTGAATAATTTTTTTATTAGAACTATATAAATATAAATGTAATATTTTTAAACAAAAAGAAAAAAAATAAAATCACTGTACTAACTACAGTGATTTAATTAACGTTATTTTTAAGTTTAATTATATGATAAAACATACCTAATTCTTGTTGTTCCTGTACGTCATCTTCCTGAGATTTCGTTTCTAGTGAATATTCATAATCAACAAAATCATGCTCCAATGGACTGTTCATGTCTGACCTAGAAAAAAAGGGATTTTTAGTATTTGTTTATATTATTTAATTATAATAGATTTACTTTTTTGGAAAATTTATCAAAAATTATTATTTATTTCATTTAAATATACTTACAAGCATTGTTTTCAACAAATAAGAAGGTCAAAAAAGTGTATTTTTCGTTTTAGTTGTAATCATTCCACAGGTTTTAATGCACACGTAACCTTGAAATAAAGTACAAAAAATCAGTAAATATAAATTTTAATTTTCTTAAATTAAAAAATGTGCCAATTTTTTTTTTTTGAGTATTTTTTAAATTCATTTTTATGAATTTGAAATTATTAAACTAATATTGTAAATATTTTTTAAAATTGAAAATACACTTTTCGAAATGTCGACATGGCATTATAATCCACCACGTGAAATTGTTTTGACTTGTATAATTAGGTTAATCATTTTCAAAATTTAATCGACTGTCATTGGCTATTAGATTTTTAATTGTTATGATTTTTTTTTCAGTTTATTGTCCGAAAGTCCTTTATTGTTCCAGAAGCATAAAATCTTTTGTTTTCCAAGAAAACTTCCGTGAAAGGTATATACATTAGTTTTGTTTACTAACCAAGAGTTGAAATTTGTTAAACTACTAATAAAAAAAAAAAATTCTTTTAACAATTTTTATTTGACATTTTATTAATTATTCACTTGATTTTCAGTTCGGAAATGTCATTAATCATTCTCATTTTTAAAAACTGCTGAATGCGCTATATATAGAGTATATTTGAAAAGAGGAATGCATTTTATGACAATTGAAATAACATCACGAGTATTTGTTTCATAAATCCATTAGAGAATTTTTAAATTCATGATCATTATCAATATTTGAACAGGAAAATTTTTTTATAAAGGATCTACGTTCGAAGGTAATATATATGTATTTAAAAGTTAAATTTCTAGTCACATTTTCACTTCATTCATTTTTTTATTTATCATTTGTAGCACAGTTTCGTCAATGAGTTATATGGGAGTTTTATTCTCTATATAACAAATGACAGCTGATAAAATGACATCACTGCGCACACGGCACATTTTTTGAAACCCCAAAAAAAAAAAAACGACATCTCGAAAAATGAATTTTATATTTGGCACGTGCAATGATAGCATACAACATACAAGGAATTGATATGATGAACTAAATTCAGACGTATTGCAACCAAGATGGCGGTTCGTATTGTGATGAAATTTTTTTCACGTTGCAAAGGCAAAATCAACGTCAGCGTACTGAACTGTGTTCAAAATGCGTTCGGCCGGCGACGGGTTCACAATGTTCACAGACGCGTTGTTTTCTAAGGACGCGCGGGGCGGCGCACGCTGGGAACATTCTGAGGATGCCTCGGAGCTCGAATACCTCCTTCCCCCCCGTCTCTCTTTCTCTCTCTCTCTCTCTCTCACCACCTCCTCTTCCTCCTTTTGAGGGTTCTGTGGATTGTGCCTCGCTATACACGAACTCTATTTATAAAATTCTCTATGTGTATACATACTACTATGCATCTGTATAGAGGTCTTTTGCACGGAACCCAACACAGCGGGAGGTAGAGAGAGACGTGAAGGGACCCAAATTGAAATTAAAGTCAACATGATCTCTCTCTCTGTGTTCATTTTGTGCTGAGAGAGGGGCACCAATCGTCTCTAACTATTTTCAACGCGTTTGCGTACTGTTCGCTCCGAAACAATTCACCATCCCTACTCTATTCTCTCTATACTAAACAGATTCGTTCCAAAGAATTCCCTGTTGGAAAATGCCACCTCCAACTGTCCAATTGCCACTGTCATTTATATAATATAAACCAACACTGTCTTATGGTTATAACCAACAAAAGCTATCCTACTACATTGTCTTTGAACTATATTTTACCTCCAGCTATATATGATACACACAAACTACACAATCTACATTACGTAATCCTGATTAGATATCGTTCTACTTGTTTTTTTTTCTTTTTCTTTTCCTTTACTTCTGCGCAGAAATATTGCTTTTTGAAATGTATTTCCGGAAATTGTTTCTCTCTCACACCTACCATTAATTTTCCTTGGTATTGAGGTCCGGTTCCGGGAGAGCTTTGGTGCGCGCAATGGTTGAGCGTTGTGAGAGTATGGTGGAGGGAACCTGACGGAACCCGTCGAAACCAGCCGAACAGGCGAAACTATTGATCGTGATACTGTACACTAAGGTCGGTCCCCTTAAATGGGTTGTTCAGAATACCTTGAAAATTGTATATTATGAAGTCGAGGGGGAAAAATAATGGTTTGAAAATTCTGAAATAACTTCCCCTTCGTGGCTACGTTTAATAAAATCACCCCAATGGTATTTTATGAATTTTCTCATCTAGAATATTTATTTCTATTTCTAATTAATTTTTTTTTACAAATTTTCCCAGATTTACATCCAATATCCATAGGACAATGGATTTGAAAACAATAGACATCCAGAGAATACAATATCCAAAGTGTACATAGCGGATAACCGACATGAATAGTAATCCGTCAACTATATATATAGCGAATTGCAGAGCTGGAAGAGAACGTCAATGCGTAATAAATTACGTCCATCCAATTGGTAATTAGATTCCAGTCGGTTGGAGTTTCTATAGCGCAACGTCGACTTGATTATCGATTTTGTTCCCACCACCACCATCATCATCATCATCATCATCACTTGGAACACAAATGCCGGAGAGCTGCTGGCTGAATATGCTGGGAGATCCAATCATAGTTCTGAAAAGCGTGATTACCCGTACGGGGTAAGGGGAAAAGGCAGGAGGTATTAAAACCGAGGAAGGGAAACAGCTACAAAGAACGTTGACCTGCCATCAAGCAACCCTCTCCTTTCGTCCCGGATTCACTGCCAGCTGCGCACAACTTTCTAAACTCGACTCGACAATTTTGGTTCAAGTTACGCTCACTAAATATTACTATATAGAAAAAAAATATACTACAACTGTCTTCTGTGGATCGGGAGGGGAGAACAATGGGCGTAACCACCTCCTTTTTTTTTTTTATCATATTTGACTGTATTTTATTCTGAAGCAAAGGAAAAAAACGATTGCATGGGGTGGTTTTAATGAATACCTTTTTTTTATTATTTTTTTACCACGAAGCATGTATATTGATTTTACTTTATTTTTCAGGACATCTAGCGGTGGCGTCACATAACTAGAGACACTTGGAACTCTGATGAGACAACTTCCAAAGTGCAAGGATATGAATTACGAAAAAAATCATCTAATCGATATGAAAAAAGAAATTTTCCACGCCATCTGGTGGTGGCGTCCTCAACCACGGATAAACAACGTAATTTGATTCTATTTTATAAATCTACAGAATTCCATCTAATTCAAAAAAAAAAAAAATATCTATATTATCCTTTTTTTAGATAAATTTCAAGAAAACTTTAATGCTCGGTTGTAAAATAAAAGCATAAACGTAAATGGACTCTTCCGTTTGGGATAATATATATTTTGTTGGCGTTTTAATGACATTCATAAAAGGTCAACGAGAAATAATGGTTACGATATTCCAATGTGTAGATTTGAATCTATATTTTATATTCATTGAATTCAGTTTGTGACGCATTTTGTGTGGAACTGGAACGAGATAAGTTTCAGGCCGCTTGAATTCTCAGTTAACGGATGGAATATATTAAAATCCTCTCTCTCCCCGCTCAAGAAGCCACAACGACGTTTGTAAAGCGCTTAATTATACCTATATATATATATAGATTTGTTCCACTCGTCATGAATACTGACAGCGAGAGCTTCGTTCCGTTATTTTGCCTGAAATATCCCAGAGTATTATGCGGGAGGGGTTTTTGGAACGAGGTATTAGTAAAGCGTGAGGGCGTGGCTTCGGGTTGTCCTTAGCAGCAGCATTACAACGATATGAAGGTATTTGTGTGTAGCAGTACTTCACAAGTAAAAAGGATGATGATGATATTGGAAAAATGAGTGGAAATTTCCAAGCGCGCCTGCGTTGCAAGCCATTTTTGTAAATGTGTTGGTTTTACACATAAGAAACAAAAAAAAAAAAAGAAACTTTTAGCTGTTTTCAGGCTTCTCTTTCTCGTTTATAATTTTACAACTTGCCTTGAACGTGTTCTAAGTTTTATAATTAGAAAACTAACACGTCAGCAGATTTCAAGTTTACGTAAGATTACTCCGATATCATTGGTATACATTTCAGTTTCAAGGTTTTTTTTTAAAATATAATTTTTTTCAAAATATAAAAAGAATTTAAAGTTGTTTTTTATTTTTTTCAGATGTTGGATGAGTCATTAATTTCTGAACAACCTTTTCTTTGTCTGACGGGTTTTTATGCATAGCATATGGTTGAAGGGGATCCGAAACTGGAATATTTATGACCCCACTTTTTTTATGACCCGCTGCCATATAGTCAGCTATATAGTGTGACTGGCGGATTTGGAGATGAAAAGAAAGTGGAAATTGGTGCTTGCGCCAGGGTTTGCCGTGGCTTTTGCTGACCTCACTGGCTCTGGTTGGTTGTTGCTAGGCAACGTATCGTAGGTTACGGTTGTGCCAGTTAGGTTTTGCTGGTGCTCTATCTACCTATATATAGTTTTATTCTCTATATAGTTGCTCGATTCTCGAAATTACTAACTACTACGCGGCATTACGCCAACGCTGTTGCCAAATTGCATTATATATTGAGATTTGTTTCGCAAAATTATTCCGCTGATTAGCACAAAATTAATTACTTTATTGTATTATTTTTTTTTTGATTACCAAGGTGATTAATAATGACATATATTTTATACTTGAGATATTATGTATTTTTGATGATATATTCAATTTAAAATATATGTATATGTAAATTTATTGTTAGCGTCGTTTAGCGTCTCGACCAATATATAAACACTTTTATCCTTGGTACGTTAATGTATTTTAAATGGTAAACAACTTCGGTTAATTATTCTCTATCAGCTCTAATCTACACTTTAAACTACTACTAGATAAAAAAGAGCTACTCATTGAAAAATGCTTTAAAATTCTTTTTTTTTATTATTTCTTTTTTTTTTTTAATGAAAATTTAATCTTTTTTATGAAAGGAAAAAGAATTTTTATTTTTTTTTTTGCGATTTCAATTTTGACCAGCAATGAGGTCAAGTTTGTCATTTGTTTATATCTTATCGACTTGTACATAAAATGGTCCAGTTGAAAGATAAGATTTTTTTTTTTTTTTGCAATTAAAATTATATTGTTACTCTTGGAACAATTTTGCATAAAGGGGTTTAAATTTTTTACACAAATCATAGGTGTAGAGATTAATTTTAGAAAAACAATTCCATAAACAGTTTTATTGTATTCTAATGAATTAACATAATTATAGTTAAACAACAATATATATGCAATTTATAAAATTTTAAGAGAATAATTAATATTAAAAAAACAAAAATCATTGAAACAATATTTGTCATATTCATCAGTCTTTAAGAAATTCTTCTAAAATTGTTTCTGTATCGTGAAACATTTTTGTTTGCATTTGAAATTCATAATTTGTTTTATCGTTTTGAATTTTCTTTAAAATTCCATATGCCTTTTTCAATAGATCAGGAACACTCTCATAATGATCGCCAGTCATTGTTTCAAATGAAGGATTTTTTTCTACAATATTATTAACTTCTACCGTAAGATTTGTATCAATTTCTTTCATCTCATTACAAAATTGAAGTTTTTCTTCGAATTTCAAATTATTAGTATCATTAATAATTGGTTTGATGATTTTTTCTTTGTTGAGAAAATTGGACCATATTACATTTCTCAGATATTCGATGAAATTATTATTATTATTATTATTATTATTGTCATCTAAAAGATTCATTTTATCTACATAACTTTGTTTTACAAAATTCTTCAAATATTGTTCTATTTGCAATGTAAAATAACTTTCGGTATGTAAATATTCTTCTTCTTCTTCTTCTTCTTCGTCCTCGATGATATTCTGTCCGGAAATTAATTGAACCTCCGTAGAAGGAAATGGTAATTTATATTGAGGTCTGGTTATATAATTTAATTCAGAAAAAGACCTTCCCTCATACTGTGATGAGATTGTAGATTTCTGTTCTGTAGTACTGCTTCCATTTAATGAGCCATTGATAAAATGCTCCTCCGAATGAATTAGACATTTCTCCATCATTGTATATGGGGAATAATCGAAAGCAATTTGTTCATCACCACCACCCGCTTGCATCATTATTGGTACTTGATAAAAAATTGGTACAAAACTTTTGCATAGTGTTTTTATATCTGTTGTTTTAATTACATTAATATATGATGATCTCGTTAAACTTGTCATTAATAATATTTGTTTTGATAGTCCTTTAGCTGAAAAAAAGAATATGAAAAATGTTTAATCTTTTTTTTTTAAAAAATTCATTCTCCTTTTTTAGATGTAATAAACTTACCATCATTATCGTTTTCATCTCCAGAAGCTCCTTTTGATGTATCCTTTTGCTCTTGCTCTATATTACGGGACAGAGTCGTCAAACTTTTTGCAATCGTTTCGGAATGAAAACCTTTTTGTTTTTGAAATGAATAAAAAAATTATTGAAATTTTAATTACAAAAATACTTTGTAATTTTTTTTTTTTTAAAGAATTTGGAAAAATTATTCTTTGCAAAAAGAAAATGAATGATTTTTTATAAAAATAGTTGTGAAATATATATTTGTTAATTTATTGATTATTTGTATTATTATACCTGTTTCTTTTACAGATGATGCTTCTAGTCTCGAGCAATTGTCTGCATAATCTGAACACATGGCGCCAAAAGGATTTTTGTCTAATGAAAGTAATGATTGATCGTCACCCCTCGGCGAGCACTCTGGCTGAACAAAATCGATGTTTAGAAAATCCTCGGTGCTGGAATTTTCACTGCTCATATACTGCTCTAAAGCTTGACGTTCGAGTTCCTGGTAAAAAAAAATTCAATTTTAAAATTAAAAAAAAAAAAAATATTAAAAAAGAAATTAAATTTTATTTGAAAAAAAAAATACTTGATAACGAAGTGCTAAGCATTCCTCGGATGTTCTATATTGCTCCATAGCTTGACGCTCCAAATTATCGTATGTTTTTTCAAAGGAATTTTCTTCAATTCTATTTGATGACGATGAATTTGCCAATACATCACTGTACAATCGTTTTTTTTGACTTATTTCAATTGTATTTTCTTTAATTTCAACTAAATTACCATTTTTAAATGTATTCATTTGTTTGGAATTTTTCATTTTTAAACAAATACATTTATTATTATCAGCTAATAATTCTGTATTAATATCATCATGAATTATTTTATTTGTATCATCAGTATTAAAAATATTGGAATTTATTTTTTCTTTTGTAGAATTACACTTTTGTTTGGTGATTTTTGTTTGTGTTCGTCGTGTTTTGATACCGCCTTTTGTCAAGAGAATAAGATTATTAAAATCAGCGCCTTGATTTTTTCGACGTTGCGGATAATCAGGATATGATTCGGGGGCTTTTTGATAAACAGGAATTGTTGCGGCAGCAGTTGTTGCTGATGTAGACGACGATAATGATGATGATGATGATAATAATGTCTTTTCTGATAATGCCGCAATTGGCTGTTGCATAACAGCAGCTTGATAAATTGGTTGAATCGCAGCGTAAATTGGATGCTGAGGCACGTAAACTGGAGCTTGTAATTGAAGAGGAATGGCCACACGCTGATACCATTGAGGATATTGAATTGCCGCATTTAAACCATGATGATGATGATGAAGATGATGGTGATGAGGAGGAGGAGGAGGAGGTAAAACTGACACATTTGTATTCTGAAAAATAAAATCTTTCAAACTAATAAAAAAGAAATATTAGACTGAAGAAATAATTATTCAAAGTAATCCTTTGCCTAATTATTTCTTGTTCCATGACAATTAAATTAAATACAATTATTATTTGATGACAGTATTTAAATCAAAATTACAAAATGCTACTAATTAACAGTTTAATCTATTTTTGATGAATGAATAATAAATATTTAAACTATCACTAATTAATTTCTGCTAATAACTGAAATGTAAAATAAGATTTTACATATAATTTTTAAACTTTTCCCATTTTTTTTTTTTTTTTTGTTTATTTTATGACTATAATGACAGTATTATCTGTTTTTGATGAATAATTAATTATACTTGTATTAGAGAAAATATTCACTAATTGCTGCAATTAAAAGTAAACCAGGATTTATAAAATAATCATCATTATTGATCAATCTCAAATGCGGAATTCGTGATTAATTCCGTTTATTAATTTATTTTATAATAATGAAAATAGAAAATAAAATATTATTTTTCTCTTTTCTAATTAATATTTATTTTATAATTGCAATTATTTGTCGACTAAAATTATTAATTAGAATATTAAGAAAATTAAAATTATTAAAAAGGGAATTTTCTTTTTTTGAATAAAAATGTTGTACTTGAAAATTTGATGCTTGCGTTGCAGTTTGTCTGATGTTTTGCGAGAAGAGATCCTTTGGATAATAAATTTCGGATGAGGTTGAAGGAAATACTTGTAGAGGAGCGCCTCGTTCATCACATTCAACGACTGGTGTTACAAATCTATGAGGATAATACTCGGGAACATCGGGATTGCAAAATGGTACTGATGGTGAACGCATTACTCCAATGGTTGGTATTGGTGGATAATAATGACCAACTTTAACATACGGCGATTGATTTGACCATATCTGCGGACTGTACTCCTGTCCATTTGGTAATTTTTGAGGTTTTGGTATTAAGTGTAAAATAACTGGTAGCATTTGATGTGACAGAAAATATGGTTGAATTTGTTGCGAGGGAAATAGAAAAATTTCTGGAAGTGGCACCTGATTCCATAAATTGTGAACCAATTCGGATGTGACGCGTGACTGTAATTCCAATTCATCCAAATTTTCAATGGTATAGCGAAGAGCAGCAAATTTCCTGTATTCACCATCCTGAGATGTTGTACTCTTACTGGATTCTGGAATATTAAAAAAAAAATAATAATAATAAGGTAAAGAAAATATCTCACAGTTTTAAAAAATCAATAGTTGAATTTCTCTAGGTTTTCAGAAAATGAGAATTTTTAACTAAACTTTTTTTTAAAAAAGGTTTCTGAAAGTTGTTTGCAATTTCAAAAGTTTGAGAACATAAACCTAGAAAAGTTTGACGTTTACTTTATAGTCTGAAATTAGTTTAAAAAATGAAATATAATTTAACTTGCGGTAATTTTAATTAAAAAGTTATTAAAAATTGAAGTAAATTATTTTACCATGCATTTAAAAATTCTTTTTCACTTTAATTCTCATTTTAAATTGAATTTGCAAAACTTTTTGCAGAGACTTTAATGGGAATGAAGTGTACTTTTATGTGACGTAAATTAATTTTGAAACTATTATAAATTTAGTAGTTTTTTTTTTTAATTTTAGTTCATAATTGCTTTTTTTAAAATATAAATTCTTCATATATTGCGAAAAATTTATTTTAACTATATATATATATATGTATAGTGAAAGCTCACCTCCTGTCATATAATTCCGGTTTTCGGAAAAATATTTTTCCTCATGATTTTTTACCGTTGATAATGTTGTGTTTTTTCGTTTTACTAAATCATCTTCTTTTTCCTGTACTCTAATATGAGATCCATTAAATATCAATTTTCTCTGTTATATGGGGTCGTTAAATTAATTCTCTTTAAACTTTACAGTGGATATCGAATAACGTAAAAGCCTTGCAAATTTAAACTGAGATGTGGATTTATTTCAAATACTTTCGAACATTATTCAGAAATAATTAATTTATTATTATTATTTATAATAATTAATATAGATTGTGTAATTTATTCTCGAATTTTTTTTTAATCTATAAAAGTTTTATTAAAATTAAATTCATTTATACAAAGTATTTAAAATAAAACCATATCTCAAATTGGGCGAATTATTTCTTCATTTAGGAATTTTGAAAAAGTAAAATTAAAAATTGAATTAAAGAAATAAAACCTCCAGGGATTTAAATTAATTGTTTTTGATTTTTGATGACACTAACTGATTATTAAATAGAACATGACAGATTTGTTCGCTTAACCGGGTGAAGTGATTTTCAACTTCTGGAAACATCCAAGGCTCGGATATTTGATTATCTTCAAAATTATTATGTTCTTCATTGATACGAAAGTTCTCCATCGTTTTATATTTTTTCTCTTGTTCCTCATCGTATTCATAATTTCCATACATAGCCAATCGAGATTCAGGAATAACATCCTGAACTCTTCTAATCTTTCTATTTTCATCTTCCAAATATCTTTGATTAATTTTACAAATCTAAAAATGATTTATTAATTTATTGTCACATGGATTAATCGATTAAATAATAAATCCCTCAATTATTCGTTTTTTTTCATTTAAACAGAAATTATGCAAATTGACGATTTGGAAAAAAATGAGTGAAATATAGTTAAAATTTTTCTTTTTAATTTAAGACCAAGAAAAATGGGAACTCTTACCTTAACCCACAAAGATTGATTCGATTTACGATATGGATTTCCCGGCTTATAAGTCCAAGTTTCATCAGCATTAAATTTGATGATTTCATAAGCGTTTAAGACTTCTTCATCTGGTGACGAATCTGGAGATATCATTCTATAATCATCCTATACAATAATCAATATTTCTATAAACGAAGTATAAATTGAAATTTCCCGAAAATTTCACTAAATATATCTGTAAATATAAATTAAATATTTACTACACTTTCTATAGAATATCTTAAACTTAATAACGATATGACAGGAGGAAAAAAAAAATGTTGAAAAATGGATACAACGATCTTCTATTGAAATCATATTTAAACAAATGACAATCGCGTGAGCTTTTTTTTAAAAAACTAATTTCAGACAATACAAGTTTTTTTTAGAAAAGGGAACTTTTTTTCAAAATTAAATGACTAAATATTATTTATATTTATTAATTTTTAATTTAATTGTTAAACTTTTTTTGTATTTCTATTTTATCTGTTATTTATTTTTCTATTTCTATTTATTTATATCTTACATTTATTTTCCATTAAATTTATCGTTTAATAACATTACATAATTAATTATATTTAAATTAAAATAATTTTAATTTCTATCCAAATTTTTTTTGAAATTCAATAATATGTCCAATTTCCCGCCCAAAACAATGCGGATAATTTAGGAACTAACAAAACATCATCCAATCACAATTGTTGATATTTGAATACTGTGATGTGATTGGTTTTATTTTCAAAATTCAAATAATATCACATCCAATAAAAATTACTCTTTTAATTCGTAAAAGTTTAGTTGTGAAATGAACTTTAGTATTAAATTGCAACTTCCATAATGAATTTTTGAGAAATGTCAAATGTATAGATAAAATAAAATTTGTTTATTGTAAATAAATTATTTTAAAAGAATAATGTTTAATAGATAATCAAGAATTTAAACAATTAAGACGAATGAAATTTGATGATAATGTTAAATTTTTGTTATTTTTGTGAATTAATTGTACAATTTTGGTTATGTTTTTAAAAAATATATTTCATGAAAAATATTATTTTTTTAAATATACATCTATTTTGTTGATCAATTCAAATTAATAAATAATAATTTTTTTTTTTTTTATTGTTATAATGTTTGGAACACTTCGTGAAAAGTTTCATTCTATGCAAGAAGGATTGTCCGCCAGGTAGTTTATAATATCAAAAAATTTCATAAATTTTCTTTTAATAATATCAATTATAAATAATTTTCAAAAAAGATAGTAATTATTAATTAAATTATTTCTAATTATTTTAATAAATTATTTTATTTTCAGTATTAGAGGTTTAACAGTTTCTGAGCCGAAAAAAATAGAGAATATAAGAAATGTGAATTATAATGCAGGAGCTGATATTCTACATCGTTATCAATTACAATGGAATGAATTACATGATTTAGCTGAAGAAAATGCTAAGAATGCACAAAATGTTGATTCTCTCGTTGCAGTGTTTCATTTAAAATTAGAACGAGAATGGAAAAGTATATTGTGCCTAAATAATACATTAGCCGTCATTCCTAAAGTTAATGAAACCATTCAAAATCTTATGAGTCAAATAGGTTTGTTGTTGTTGTTTTTGAAAAAAAAAATTCTTATCTATTAGAATTATTATTAATCTCATTTTGTTGTTGTTACAGAAATAATTCAAGGCATGTTTGAAGATGTTGAACATGCTCTTCTCGAACTTGAAAATCTAAATGAAGAATTAGATTTACAAAATCGACAAGTGGAACACAGGTTTCAATTAACTTTATACAAGGAAAATAAGGTCGCTACTTTAAATTCTCAACGAGGTAATTTTTAATTTCTCTCTTTTTGTAAAAAATTAAATTAATTAAATAAATTAAATATTTTTCATTATTTTTCATTATTTTTCATTTTAGCAAAGTTTTCCAGTGATCATTCGGAGAAAATAGCCAAACACGAACTTAAACAACAGAAAATGATGGAAGAAAGACAAAAAACCTTTGCGGAAGCTTTCGATGAAGAATTAAATCAGTACAAAGCAACTGGTTCCATTCCAAGTAGTTATATACTTTTAAATTCTAGAATTCATAATATATATTATTTTTACAGTGAAAAAATATATATATATATTTTTCTTTTTAGAAATTAACCGAGTAACAGAGGGCCCATCGCTCGATGAAATTGTTTTGGAAACTGACACAACAGATTTCGATGCATTTTTAAAAAGTTAATTATTACCATTCACCAATATAATTTTATATATATATATATATTTGAGTTCATATACTCTTTGTGATAGGGAAAAGTAAATTTTCCTGAATTAGTCAAATCGGATAAATGGACAAACAAGGCGAGTAAATTTTTTCGAGAAAAAGAATTATATAGTTTATTTTCAATAATTCTCTATACAATAATTATATAAAAAAAAGAAGATGAACTATACATATTTGTACATGAGATATATTTACTTAGTAATAAATATACAGTTTATCGAACAAAGACGCAATATAAGATTGTTATACACCAATGAATGATGGGGGAAAAAAAATGTCTTTGTGGAAGAAAAAACTTATATAAATAGTTTTGATTATTTTTGGAAAGAGATTTTTGCGAGAATATAAAATATAGATATATATATTCTGTGTATAATTTAAAATCTGCCAAAACGTGATTTTGACGATAAACCAGATTGTTGGTAATTATTTCCTCCAGTTTGTTGATTTGTTCTAAATTGTTGGAAATTATTTAATTGTTGATTATTTGATCCTCGTTGTTGGAAGCCTTGAGTATTGCCTTGTAGAAAAGTGTTTGGTACACGTTTCTCAAATCCCGTATTACTGGAAGAAAAATTATTGAAATTTTTTTTTTTAGTATTTCCTCTTTATAAAGAGGAATGTATATTTTTTGTTAATTATTTTTGAAAATTATTTACAATTTAAATAAAATTTATACGATACTAACCATCCGGTAACGTTTTCAACAGCATCGCAAGCATTTATAAGATCGTTAAATGCATTTCCTTCGCCACAATTTTGAAGTCGCGGACGTCCATTAACGCAAGTGAAATAACGTTGACAATCTGAGGGACTTCGATAGAATCTTATTTCTCCGGTGAGAAAACCACTTTCTCTAGCATTTGGACAACTGAATCCCAAGTAAGCTAAAAGATCAATTTTGTTTGTCAGAATCATCAGAATTTAAAAAAAAAATTATTATTTATCAATAGACTGCAAATGAGTTCTAAAAAAAATATATTGTAAAAATAACCTTCAGCATCACAATCTGTAACTTGATCGGGCCAATCACATCGATATGTTTCTGAATTATAAGCCAAACCTTCGGGACAATCGAAAATATATCCCACACCATCAGCACAATTCATAAATTTACCACAATTTTTTTGATCACCAACTTTAAAATAACCATATTGATGTGGACAATCTTCAGTTGGTTTTGCTGGTTCTAAAAATAAATAACAAATGGAAAAATTCAAATATAAAATAAATATATATACATTTTTTTTTCTCAATAACTTACGAAGATTTGATCGACCCAAGCATTGAACATCAATTGGATAACCACAAGGATAATTAAATCGTACATTTGGATTAAATAATAATCCCTCGGGACAAAGTTTTTCTTCACCAACGCCATCGATACATTCTATATAAGCATCACATTGTGAGGCAACGGGAAATCTTCCAGTTCTCTCTGGACAGGAAACTTGTGATTTTTGCAATGGAACATTACGATTTTGATCTATTTGATTAGATAAAAATTGTGATTGACCAGTTGATTTCGATTGAAATTGTGATTGTCCAGTATTAAATTGCGATTGAAATTGTCCACTAGATTTTTGTTGAAATTGTGATTGGCCACCGAATTGTGATTGTCCTCGATTTGTGGTCGGAAAAGGTCGTTGAAATTGACCTCCACCTATAAATTACATAAAAATTTTCAAAATATTTATAATTTTATTACATTTTTGGCATTAAAAATTCGAAAATCAATTTTTGGATAAAAAATACAATTTTCTGATTTATTAAAAGTTTTTTTTATTTTATACTCTATATTCTATAAAGGGTAAAATAATTTTTTTATTAGAAATTTTTGATTTAAAAAAATTGTTTCCATTTGAAAATTTTTTTTTCTTTTATATAAATATAAAAGATTTTTTTTTTTTTTTTTTTGAAATAAGTAGGTTGTGTTTTTAAGGTGAAGGACAGATTTTTGTCTCGGAGGACTTTTACTTGAGAGTTTGTATTGGCGCGACGACATCAGGACAAGAGCATAGACGCAGAAATCATCTTCACTTATATGTGTCTGACCTCTAGAAAGGTTTTAACATTCATTAATATATTATTCAACTTATGTAATCTTAACTCGGCCCAACTGCTTATAATGCCATGAATATGAATAGGAAAAAAAAATTTCCCAAAAAAAAATTTTAATATATAAAAGTATAAAGAAAAAATTTATAAAATTATACTCTTTTTTTTATATCTATTTTTTAATATATAAAATATTTTTTTCAAACATTTTAAAAATACTTGTCAACACATAAAAGGAATTTGCTTGACCTTATCGTTGATATCGAGTTGAAAAACTTGAAATTAAAAGTACTTAATTAAAAATAATATTACATTAAAAATTATGTTAAGATTATGTAAATTTTCATGGAGAATCCGGGACGACTAGTTGCTTAGTGGGTGGTTCGTATATAATAAATTTTAATCGGCATTTTAATTATTTGAAATGCTATAGTGATTTAATTCAATAACAAAATATATTTAAAAAAAAAAATTTGATTTACAAATTAAAGTAACAAAAAGTAGTTGACAAACTAAAAATTAATTATAGAAATATAGTTGAAGAGTAAAACAATTAATTATATTTCTAATTAACATATATCAATAAAAAAAAAGCAACTGAAGGCTTAAAAGCTTGTCAATAGATCTTTATTAACAAGTTACTTTCACATTAATTAAAATTTTCCACATTTTCAATAACCTTTTCTTTTAAATAAATAATAACTACTTAAACAAAAGTTTAATTTAAATTTAAAAAAAATTAATTTTTGAATTATATTGATATAAAATTCTATTATTTAAATATAATTAAAGATAATTTTTTTCAAGAAAAATTATTTATTATTATTTTTTAATTAATTAAAATTAAATAAACGAAATAAATTGAATAAACTCAATTACTTACAGGTGTTTAATCCTAGGAAAAGAATGGTGCAAAGAAGAAGAATGGAGATCGGTTTCCGGATCATCTTGACGATGAAGAAAGAAGACTCTTATATGGAAACACTACAATAATAGTAGACTATCAGGAAAATGCGTTGCCTTTGATTTCAAAATGTAAACTAGTCGCATCATCTTCACCTTTCGTGACTTTTATTACCTCGGACGAGAAAAAAGTGAGAGTATCATCTTTGCCAATCCAACAGAATATGGGAGGGGTCTATCATCATCAGAGAGAATATATGGATGTATGCGTGCGAAGAGGGTAAATCCAAAGAATGAATGATGTAAGTGTGGATAAATGATATGATAAAAAAAAAATGGATAAACCATTAAAATGTACTTCTCCATTCAGAAAACGTATATTATATACAATTCGTATTCTTGAACAAATGACAAAGGATGAATCAATTTCTGATTAATTCCTTCATTCTTTTCTCAGTGGCCTCTAAATTGTTCTTTAGTTTCCTTTTTAAAAAAAGAAGTTTTTAAATTCTTTTCTTTTATTTCATGATCAATTTTTATGATTAAATCAAAAAAAATTTTAATTATTTAATTCTCAATTAATTGATTGATTTATTTTGAAATTCTCTATTTACAACCCTCGACTCAAAATTAGAAATTTATTGAATTGAAAATTTTCTCAAAAAAAAAATGGAAAAGAAGATATTTTAAAGATTTATCTATAAAAAAAATCTAAATTTTTTTTTAACAATATAATTTTTTAGAACACAAATTAATATTGCATACATATTATATGTTATATTATGTAAATATAATATTAAATTTAATATAAAATTCATTACATAAATATAATATTAAATTTGTCATTTAAAATCATAATGATTACATAAATCGGTAAAAGTAGGAAACTTAGATCAAGACATTACAAATTGTCAATTTTGTTGACAGTAGCATCTCTTACATATTTTTTGGTCTAATTACTTTCTAATTTATTCGATTTAATTTTAAAGATTTTCATAAGATTTTTCATATTATATTTTTTCTTTTCTTTTAGTTATTTTTTAAGTCTTTAAATCCATTTGATTTACAAAAAAAAGATATATATATATATATATATATATATATATATATATATATATAATTAAAAATGTAAACGAGAATATTTTAAAGAATCGTGTTCTAAAATATATTAGAATTAATTTTAATTGATAATTAAATTTATAATTTTATTTTGCCCTTTTCGATTACGAAATAACAAGAAGACTGGAATTGCTAATAGAACGAGATTAATTTTGGAAAGTTTCAAGGTTTTTGCCTCAGGTTAAATTTCAGATTATAAGAAAAACTTTTGTTATATTCAATTCATTTTATTTTAAAGAAAATATTTTTTTAAAAGAAGTTTAATTTCATTTGTTTAACGTTTAATTAAATATTAATATCAAGATAAATGAAATAAATTCCCCATTAAATTAAAAATATAAAAAAAAATATATAAACAAATAATAAATTTTACATAATTAAGTTTTAGAAATTAAAAAATATTTATTTACGAAAATTTAATTATCTAATTAAGTAGATTCATTAAATTTTTTATAAATTAAAAAAAAATCATTTTTTTAAAATCTAGAAACACATATTAACATAATACTCAGATGTATGATTGGAAGCATATTAACAGGCTTTTACATTATTAAATAAATATCTTTTAATTACAATTTTAATATATACTTTTAATAACCTAATAAACCCTTCTAGAAAAAATCAATTAAACACGATTCAGAACGATAGGGTACAAAAATTTTTTAATCGTTTTGAATTGTTTTCAATTGGAGTATATATTTTTTCAATTGATTCGAATTGTTTTCAATCGTGTAAAATAAGTTAAACTTTTTCAATTGTTTTTAATCGGGTGCTATCGGGAGAACGATATACGCACATGCGCAAATAGTTAATTATAAGAATAAGAAAAGTGTTGAATCAAATAGGAAAGATGTTTTTCTTATAAGTCTTTTGTAATATATAGTTTGTTCTGTTCGTGCATATGTGTCAAATATTTAAAATCTAAAGTAAAATTTCTAGTGATATGGATAATGTCAATATGTTTACTTATCCTATACATGAACAAATTAAATATGACAATCTTTGAGTTGTTAATACATAACCTCAAAAATATAAAAATAAATAAATGGGTACGTAAAAAATACATATAAACAGAAATTAAATAAATAATTAGGTACATATAAAAATAAATATAAGAAACAATTCTATTTCTTGCATTTTAAAATAATTTCAGTTTATAATTTTTTTTTTAGAACAAAATTTTTAGTTTTTTTAAACTTTATGTGTCCAGCAGCTTTTCAAAAAAATTTAGCAAAAAAATTATTCAGTATAAATTTTGTTCGAAGTTCACCTAAACTCCTTCCAACAACAAAAAACCATAATTTTTCAATTAAATATTTTCAAAAAATTTAATCAAATTCTTTAAAAAGTTCAATTGTTTTCAATTAAATTTTACAAAATTTCAATTATTTAAAAATAATAAGTCAAAACCTTTCAATTTTAACACTTCCAAAATTGAATTACTTCTATTAAATTCTATAATTATTTTATTTATAAAAAATTTTAACTAATACTTTTTGCAAATTTTATCATAAATTTAAAAAAAAAATATTTTTTATTAAAAACTTTGATTGCAACTCTTCGAAATATAAATTTTTTCTAAAAATTTTTAATTAAAATTCTTTACAAACTTATTTTGTGCTAGAAACGGATATTAAAGCCATTACATTTGTATAAAGTTTTTCATTCATTAAAATATTTTCAAAATTTTCAATTTAAAATCACCAGAAATTTAATTATTTCTAATGAATCTTATAATTATTGTAGATCTTCCAATATTCGATTATTTAAAAAAATTCAATATTGACTGAAATTAAAAAAAAAATTTCAGTAATTCAATTTAAAACAATACTTAATGTGTCTGTCAAAAATTATTTTTTAAACATTTTTTCGATAAATTATAAACGAGAAACATTTCGTCTTGTGCAGTTTCATTCAAAGATAAATTAAAAAATAACTTTTAATTAATTTTTGATAAAATATATGATTTTCTTCTGTGGTGACAAATACATTGATAAATATTATAATTTTTTAGTTCGGAAAATAATCTTTGAAATAATTATATATTTCTAGACTGTTTAATTAGTTGCATTTTTTAAAATTTTCAAAAACTCCCACCAAGCAATAATGCATGGAATACAATCTATAGAACACGATTGAAAACGATTGAATATAATAAGAAAGTCAATCGTCTTCAATTGTAAGAACACGATTAAGAAACACGATTGGGGACAATAGAAATTTCTTTCCTATTGTTTTCAATCGTTTTCAATCGATTTTTTCTAGAAGGGAAGCACATAAATTTTATTTGTTTGATAATTTTTTAAAACTAAAAATACAAATTATCTTTAATTAATTACTTTATTTTAAAAATAATTATACGAAAATAAGTAAAATATTTCAAAAAGTTGAAGAGTTGCAAATTATTTAAAAATATTTATTTATGAAAATAAAAATAAATTTTTGTATATTTAAATATATTTTAAAATATTTGAAAATAGATTTATACTTGAGGTTAACTTCCGTTTTAGGTAAAAGTATCTATTGTTATTTTGAAGGAATTTATAATTCACATTTTGGCGGTCGGAAGTGATGATTGTTTATTTGCAGTTTTTGATTGGTTGACTCGTCGATTTGTCGTCTGCGCAATGGCACTTGCGCTATCTTTTTGCATTGTGTTTTCCAAGTAGTATCCAGTTCGCGTTTGTTGCCCGTGAAGGATGCCTTCTGCCAACCCTAAACTAGAGAAACAGGCCTCTACGGAGGCCGTTGATCCAATTCGACAAGCGGTTATTGTTATCGAGCACAAGATCAGGAATCTAGAGAAACGCAAGGTAAATATTTATTTTATCATAAAAAAAATATGATTTTGCTAAAATCCGGCGTTTTACTATCTGTCATCCGCGGCATCTACTATAGGATCCGCCATCTTTCGGAGAAACCATGTGCTCGTGCATTGTAATTCACGTCAAATTTACTGATTTTATTGAATTTTATTCATTGTTTATTATACTTTTCAATAATATGTATCATGATCAATTGTTTGATTTCATTTAAAATGCTTTATTACATAGACGAATACAATTTTCTACGCGCTGCCGCTACCTCGACGTCATGGCGGTGCTTTTCTGCACATCTTTTTTTTGTAATACCTAGCGCCGCGCTCTAATGGCTAACAGTCTTATAAACCGGCATCTGTTTTTTTTAAAAAGTCAAATTCCAATAATTTGTCATTAAAATTTTTCTAATTGTCAATTATAATTTGTCTCCATGCTCGAAAGAATTGAATACGTCTTGCCCTCCTTTTTTTGCGCAAGTACCTCCCCTCTTTCTCCCTTTTCCTGGAAGTTCATACAATCCCTATTTCCTGGGTGTTAATAAACAAATGAATGTCCTCTGTTACATTTATTGCATCATAGTGTTTACATATTCTTTGTTTTTGTCTTGAAAACTAAGAAAATTTGATTTAAATTCGTATATTCTAGATTGTAAATTCTTGCTTTGTGAAATATTCTCGTTTTTCTAGAATTTTCTGTAAATTCTTTTTTTTTTTAGATAAATTTATATTTTCTGTTAAGAAATGATAAAATGTTTCAAATCAATTTTTGTATTTAATTTGAAATACATAATTAGGTTGAAATGTTTTGAAATTAGTTTTAATTAAATAAGACACAACTTTCTTAATAAAAGTTTTAATGAAAGAAAGAAAATTTTACAAATGAAATTTGTGTTTAATATTGATTTTCTTTTTATTATAGGGAAAACTAGAATCCTATAAGGATCTGCAAAAAGGCGGCGGTGAGCTTAATGCAGATCAAAAAACGGCAGTTGCAAAATATGACGAGGTTATACAAACGTTGGACATTACCCGTGATTTACACAAATCAGTTCAAGGAATTGCCAATGACGCTGTTAAGCAACAAAAGAAGCTTGCGCGTAAGGAGGCACTTGAAAGAATACAACAGGACATTGCCAAGGTTCGAGAAGTTTTACTCATTCAGGATACTTTAATGAACATGGGGACAAATAGTGTACGTGAAGATTTTCTTGCTGGCAAGAACGGAGCTATTAAATTGGCTGACGAAGATTTAACAGCATTAGACAGTTTATTCAACGAAGTGACAATTAATCACAAAAGAGATAGTAACAATTCAGCGACAATTGTTCAACAATCGCAAAAAGTTGCTGAACATTTGGTGGCAATTGTTGAAGGCAAACAGCGAGACTTTGAAAAAGTTGGAGTCTCATATTTTAAACTTAAGGAAATTATTACATCAATCACACAATGCGGCTATTTTGATCAAATTCAAGAGAATGAAACGACTGACGTGGTAAGTAAATACACCAAAATAATTATAACAATAAATTAAATTAATTTATCCTTTAATCATTTAAATTATTCATTAACAGAAAGCTAATGAAGAAATGGAAGAACAAGCTGATGAGGAACCAATTCAAGAACAAACCAATGAGGAATTCAATACTAATGATAGGCACATTCCACCAGCCGATTCTGCGATGACCATTCCTAATTTAGTTCAAATGACACCACATCCAGTTGTTTCTGTTGCTGCTCCCGTTTCTGGACAAATACCAGTTCTTGGACAACAATTACCACCGCAAGCAAATGCAACAATTGATTCATCGTATTATACTAATGCTGGAAATTTTGTTCCCACACCTCAAGCACAACAACAACAACAACAACCACCACAATCGCAAGCACCAAGAATCAATGATGTTATTGGTACGCCGAATTTCTTTTTCCTTCAGGAGTCCGAATTGGATTCTCCGGATGTAACACCACAACCACCAATGACCACACCAATTATTCCCACTGTCAATGCTCCCATTCCCACTCAAACATTTACAAATCAAAATTTTTCATCAACACCCGTAGTACAACAACCTGTTTTATATCAACATCAAGCTCCACCTTCGGATATGTCACACATTCCAGGATTTGCCAATCCAAATCCCCCACCGCCAATTCCTATGCCACCGTCTCATCAACAACCAAATATACAATATAGTCCTCAACATCCGACAGGATATCAACAACCACAGGGATTATCACAAATCAATCAATCGCAATCTCAAGTCTATGATCAACATCAACAGGATAGTCAAGATCAAGCACCTGAAGTAAGTTGAATTATTTATGAAGTAGTAATTTAGGAGCAAAATTAAGAGTAATTTTTTTTTTTTTATATAAGAAGAAGGATCAGAGTGAACTAAATCAACAAAATGAAGCTGTTGATTGGGGACAAATGTCAGAAGGCGCTGGCGATTGGTGTCAAACGGATCAATCTCAGGATTCTTCGCAGGATCAGCAACAATCATCGCAACAGAATTGGGGAGATCAACAACGAAGTAGGGGACGAGGTGGAAGACGAGGCAATACAAATGGATACGGAGGGAGAAATCGAGGTGGTAGCGGTGGCTATCAACAAAATGGACGCAGTAGTACCGGAAGTGGTCAAGGTATATAATTTCAATATAAATATTTTCCAAACTCAATTCGTTATAAATCATTGAAGGTCATTTTTTTTTCAAGAATCTATTGACAATTTTACAAAATCTAATTTCGAGTCGAAATAATTGTTATTGGATTCGACTTGAAATAAATATTATAGGGTCAACCGGGGTAAATCCGAACGCTTTTAGTAAGTTTCAACAATAACATAAGTTTTTTCTTTAAAAAAAAAAATGCTTCCGGTATTCTGGTGCATGAAGTTGTTACTTTACTTCCATAGAACAATTTTATGGGGTAGCAAAAATTTTTGATAAATTACAATCGCAGGAAACTTAGCGTTCGTATTTACCTCGATACTTTGCAACTTTCCTAAAATATTGGGGTAAATACGAACGCCACTGTATTTCAGAAAAATCTTAGGGAAAATAAATTTAAAGTATTGCAATTGTTAAACTTATATAAAAACTCAAAAAAAATACGATAATAAACCTATTATGTAATAATGCATCATATATATAAATACAAAAATCAAACAGGTTAAAAATTAAAATGCATTACACAATTAAAACCTTCAATAACTTTATCAAATCATAACGGATTTTTGCAAAACTTGCTACAGAAAGTATTTTGGAGTGATTGAATGTAAATACAAAAATAAAAGTCAAATTTTTTAAATTCAAAATGGCGGATTTTCCTAAAACTTATTTTTAAAAATGATCAAATTTGCTAACTCCAAATTCGTAATCAGCGACCCTGAAACCCCCCGAGTAACAATTTTCGAGCGAATCCAATGAATTTTTTAATTCTCGTCCGCCATTTTGAATTTTGAAAAACTGACTTCAAATTGGTAATTAGCGACCCCAAAAACCGTAGAATACCAAATTTTATTAAGATCCTGAAAAACTTTTTTCAACAAACCATTTGGCAAAAAAATTGAAACACTCCTTCGAGAGAACAGAGATTAAGTTTCTGCTTATTAAGGGGAGGGACCGCTGAAATTTTAACACATCAAAATTAAAGCTGTTTAAGGGTGGTCAATTTTTTTTCTGACAATATTAATTATTTAAATGTATAATATATCATGAAAAATTGAAAAACTATAAATTTGTTAATAATTTTTAAAATCAAATTCAAAATTCTCGAAAATTTAAAATTTAAACTTCTCTCACAATTTTAATTATTTTTGACTGCCGATTTTTTTATACGCTTGTTTCATGATTCTAAACAATCAAGCGTATGGATTTTGAAAAATTTCAATTTTTTCAAAAAATGAAAATTTTGAAAAATAAAAATATTTGTAAAATTGTTAAAAATTACCTTTTGTTGTTTTTCTCAGTAGAATAAGATTTTTGGTTGAAAAAAATGTTGAAAAAAATTATTACCCCTAAACAAGATCAATTTTGATTGCTTTCAATTTTAGTGGTAATTTTGAAAAAAATTCAACTACTTCCACAATTTTCATTATTTTTTATTGTCGAATTTTTTTTACGCTTTTTTCACGATTTTAAACAATCAATCGTATGGAATTTAAAGAAATTTAATTTTTCCAAAAAATAAATTTTCTAAAATGGCTAAAAAAATTTTTTTTTAAATTTTAATAATTTATAATAATTTTGGATCCTAAATTATGCCAGAAAAAAAATTGACACTCTTTAACAATAATAACTTCAGTAGGCTGAAATTTCACCAGTCCCTCCCCTTAATTACTAACGAGGATACGTATAGAAAGAAAAACTTTTTTCTATGTACTTTTATAATGTTAAAATAATAGTTAATGAAATAAAAACAATTTTGTGTGGCTCTGATGTAAAAAAAAATTATTGAAAATACCGTTCGGATTTACCCCGGTTTTCCAATTTTCCTGGGTAAATACGAACGGTCTGATATTATTAATAAAATTTTACAGAAGGCAAAAATCAAAAATAGTTTCTGTTCTAGTATTCATAACAAACAATTATAAATAATAAAATAAATTTTTAGCTTCTTTTTCTTCAAATACGAGACAAAATACTGAAAGAGTGTCATCTTTGATTTTCAATCTTTTTTGCAATACTCGTTATCTTTGTTTATGCTGTTGCTAATTAACAAACGAAAAATGGGATAATACTTAGAATCTCTTGAAGAGGATCTGAGGTAAAAATTCTCATATCGAACTTATTTTAAAAAATTTTAATTAAGCTGAAATAATTAGCGTTCGGATTTACCCCGGCTGACCCTACCTAAATTAATTATTTATATAAGTCTGAATATTTAGATAAATATTTTTTTTAAAGGTTCATATTACCGAAACGAAAACAGTAGTTATCAACAGAATGGCTATGGTCAACGTAATTCAAACTGGAGCGAAGGAAGCGGCGGTTATAACAGTGGATTCAAGAGAGGATCTGGTGGTACACGTGGAGGTCGAGGTGGACAATTCCGTGGTAATCAACGAGGCACTAGTAATCGTGGTAGTTATTCGAACCGTAGCAAGTAACAATATAAAATTTAAACATTTTTAAACATTCAATCCTACTTTTGAAAAGTCAAAGTCATTAAGCTGTGTGTTTGTAAAAAAAAAAAGAAAACAAAAAAGCGGTTAAAAAAAGAAAGGAATAAACAATTTTTAAAACTAACACAAAACGAAAAACAATGTTACGCCTAATGATTAATAGATGTAAAGTAATTTTTAATTAATTGTGATATGACTAAAGGAGAGATTCTCTGTGAAAAACAAAAAAAAAAATGATTAAAAAGTGTTAAACACGTCTAAATCATACTTTACACAAGTTAATCAAATTCGTTTTAAATATTGTCAAATGTCATTCGAAAAATTGATTTTTCAATTGACATTTTTAAAACGTACATCTTAGAGGGCTTTGAATGTTTCACGGTTAGGTTATTGAAAAGGGAATATTAGCGTTTGAATTTTTAAAAATAATGTTACTCTCAGTATCAAATGAAAATAAAGGACGACGAACGACAACGTTTAAAAACAAAAATGTACCAGATCGGCTAAATGCAGAAATGTCAATACAAGTATTACTGTGTTGTGACAGAAGGCAGTTTTCACAGGGCAACAATAGCTGATCGACAAAGATTAGAAGAAGATGAAAAAAAAAAAAATAATTTTATTATAAAAAAAAATACAAAAAAAAAAAGATAATGAACATATGAATTTAAGCGCATTTCAAACAAACACACAGAAATGTATTTAATAAATGTTAAGATGATCGTTGAGAGTTGGCGATCAGCACTGGCCTCTCTTTCTAGAGAATTTTTTCTAAAAAAAAAGAAAGATAAATCTTAACAGAAACGAGATTGTAGAGCAATGCTTGTTTTTCTCATGGTTGATTTTCATTATTTTCTTTCTTTCTCTTTTATATATATTTTTTGTTTTTTTTTTTAATCTAGAAAAGTATCGCTCCCCTCCTGTGACTGTTTAATGCGCTATTTTTCCTGAAATTCTTTAGAATTATGAGCAATGTTGACAAAACGATGATGAGATTTGATGAGTGCTTTATTGAAAAATCAAGTATGCAAACAAAAAAAAAAAAGAAAATTTACAATCTTACCTGATTTTTCATTAAAAGCAAAAACACAAGAAAGATTATTTTTTAATGCAAAGAAGAAGAATAAGATAGCGAGAATGCAAAGCATGTAAGTCGATTCGAATGTACAATTCTCTTTTTCTTTCGTTTTTAGTGTCATTTTAAGAAAAAAAAAAAAAAAAAAAAACAAATAAAAAAAAAGAATACGCCGCCAAAAAAATTTCACGCTCATTACCAAACGAACTATCGAAACTACTCAACGTATTTCGTTTGTACATTTGTGTTTAATCACCATTTGCTTCAGTTATGTTCGATTATTCTATGACTATTATGTATCTTCCAAATAAAGATCCAATTCAACATTACAAATTTGATATTATTTTTTTTTTAAATTTCGTGTTAATTTTGATTTTTAAATATTAATTTATTGATAAATTTGAAATATTACATATAATAATCGTGAATATCTTTCGTTCATTCTGTCCACCCCTGAAGTTAATATTTGTTATAGGTCTTTTGTTTTTTTTAAATGTATTGTTTGACATTATTTTGTGTTGGTTAAAATTTTTCAATGTTTTTTTGGCATTGTTTCGATAATTAATTTTGAATCGAAATTTTAAAAAATAATTGAATTTTATTTTATTTTAAATTGAAAACTTGGTAAATAATTGAATTTTAAATTGAAAATTTGAAAATAATTTAATTTTAGTTGATTGTTGATTGAAAATTTGAAAATAATTAATTTTAGTTGATTGCTGATTGAAAATTTTGATAATAATTATTTTTGACTCGAAATTTTGGAAAATAATTAAATTTTAATTGAAATTTTGGATAATAATTTAATTTAAGTTGATTTTGGATTAAAATTTCGGGTAATAATTGAATTTTAATTGAAATTTTCGATAATAATTTAATTTAAGTTCATTTTTAATTGAAAATTTCGATAATTAATTTTGAATAAAAATTTTAAAAAATAATTGAATTTTATTTCATTTTAAATTGAAAACTTGGTAAATAATTGAATTTTAAATTGAAAATTTTGAAAATAATTTAATTTTAGTTGATTGTTGATTGAAAATTTGAAAATAAATAATTTTAGTTGATTGCTGATTGAAAATTTTGATAATAATTATTTTTGACTCGAAATTTTGGAAAATAATTAAATTTTAATTGAAATTTTGGATAATAATTTAATTTAAGTTGATTTTGGATTAAAATTTCGGGTAATAATTGAATTTTAATTGAAATTTTCGATAATAATTTAATTTAAGTTCATTTTTAATTGAAAATTTCGATAATTAATTTTGAATAAAAATTTTAAAAAATAATTGAATTTTATTTCATTTTAAATTGAAAACTTGGTAAATAATTGAATTTTAAATTGAAAATTTTGAAAATAATTTAATTTTAGTTGATTGTTGATTGAAAATTTGAAAATAAATAATTTTAGTTGATTGCTGATTGAAAATTTTGATAATAATTATTTTTGACTCGAAATTTTGGAAAATAATTAAATTTTAATTGAAATTTTGGATAATAATTTAATTTAAGTTGATTTTGGATTAAAATTTCGGGTAATAATTGAATTTTAATTGAAATTTTCGATAATAATTTAATTTAAGTTCATTTTTAATTGAAAATTTCGATAATTAATTTTGAATAAAAATTTTAAAAAATAATTGAATTTTATTTCATTTTAAATTGAAAACTTGGTAAATAATTGAATTTTAAATTGAAAATTTTGAAAATAATTTAATCTTAGTTGATTGATAATTTTGATAATAATTAATTTTAGTTGATTGTTGATTGAAAATTTTGATAATAATTAATTTTGACTCGAAATTTTGGAAAATAATTGAATTTTAATTGAAATTTTGGATAATAATTTAATTTAAGTTGATGTTGAATTAAAATTTCGGGTAATATTTGAATTTTATTTAATTTTAAATTGAAAACTTGGTAAATAATTGAATTTTAAATTGAAAATTTGGAAAATAATTCAATTTTATATATAATTTAATAACATATAATAATAATTTTCATTATTATCATTTAATATGAAATAATATTCTAATAAATTTAAATTATTATTGATAATATTAATCTTTAATTTCTTTATAACAAACAATTAAATACTCAATTTGGCGCGCGTTTAATATTGCTAGTTAAATCTATTAAAAATGAAGCTTTGTTAACAATTATGATTTCTCAATTTAAATATTAGCGGGTGTAAAGTGTGTCACGATTGGTTGGGACAATTTCTTCTTGTCCAATCATAAGTCTCACAGTACTTTGTTGCAGAAACAAAAGAAGTGCTTTGACGGTTATTTCGTTTGTCAACAAAAAATATTATTTTCATCTATTAAATAATAATTTTCTCCTTCATTTTCCTGTTCCAGGTGTTTTTTTGTGATGTGTACTTTACTAGAGAGTGATAATTTTATTTAATGAACTTAAAGGTTCATAAATTTGAGTATTTTTTTATACTCCTACTGTCAAATATTCATTTTGTCAATAAAACTGTTTTGAATGACAAAAATATAATTTTAATACACTTTAAATAGGATTTACATTTTGAATAGGTAAGAAATATGGAAAATAATTTTTTTTTAAATTATGTGACTTTGTTCATTTGAAATTATATATAGTTTTCAGTAATGTCGAAATCAGGGACTTATGATCCATCGGTTGAAAGACACTTTGTTGGACATAAGGATCAAATATCTGGATTATGTTTTCATCCAGAAACATCACATATTGGATCCTCGAGTTTGGATCGTACATTAATGGTATGGAATTTCACTGATTCAGTGAGAGCATATAAATTCTCTGCACACAAAGATGTTGTTTTGGATGTTGATTATGCACCTTCCGGTGAAGTTATAGCCACAGCATCCAAGGATAGATCTGTAAGAATATGGGTACCGAAAATTCATGGTGAATCCTTAGATTTTCGAGCTCATTCCGGCGCTGTTCGTTCGGTGAAATTTAGTTATGATGGTGAAAATGTAATTTTTAGAAATTCATTTATATTTAATGTTTATGAAATTTTTTTATATACTAAATTATAAATGGAAATTGAAAAAAGAAATTTAATTCAACAGCTTGTGACATCGTCTGATGATAAAAGTGTGAAAATTTGGAAGGTATGCAGAAGAAGATTTCTTCAATCATTCACGGATCATACAAATTGGGTGAGATGTGCCAAATATTCACAAGATGGAAGATTAATAGTTTCATGTAGTGATGATAAAACTATTAAATTATGGGATACAGTGAGCGGACAATGTGTCAGGACTTTTAATGAAATAAAAGGTAATTTTTGCAATTATAAAAAAAATTTTTTCAACAGAAATTTAAAATGAAAAAGTATATAAATTGTAATTACATATAATAATCGTGAATATCTTTCGTTCATTCTGTCCACACCTGAAGTTAGTATTTGTTATAGGTCTTTTGTTTTTTTTTTTAATGTATTGTTTGACATTATTTTGTGTTGGTTAAAATTTTTCAATGTTTTTTTGGCATTGTTTCGATAATTAATTTTGAATCGAAATTTTAAAAAATAATTGAATTTTATTTTATTTTAAATTGAAAACTTGGTAAATAATTGAATTTTAAATTGAAAATTTGAAAATAATTTAATTTTAGTTGATTGTTGATTGAAAATTTGAAAATAATTAATTTTAGTTGATTGCTGATTGAAAATTTTGATAATAATTAATTTTGACTCGAAATTTTGGAAAATAATAAAATTTTAATTGAAATTTTGGATAATAATTTAATTTAAGTTGATTTTGGATTAAAATTTCGGGTAATAATTGAATTTTAATTTAAATTTTGGATAATAATTTAATTTAAGTTCATTTTTAATTGAAAATTTCGATAATTAATTTTGAATAAAAATTTTAAAAAATAATTGAATTTTATTTCATTTTAAATTGAAAACTTGGTAAATAATTGAATTTTAAATTGAAAATTTTGAAAATAATTTAATCTTAGTTGATTGAAAATTTTGATAATAATTAATTTTAGTTGATTGTTGATTGAAAATTTTGATAATAATTAATTTTGAATAAAAATTTTAAAAAATAATTGAATTTTAATTGAAATTTTGGATAATAATTTAATTTAAGTTGATGTTGAATTAAAATTTCGGGTAATATTTGAATTTTATTTAATTTTAAATTGAAAACTTGGTAAATAATTGAATTTTAAATTGAAAATTTGGAAAATAATTCAATTTTATATATAATTTAATAACATATAATAATAATTTTCATTATTATCATTTAATATGAAATAATATTCTAATAAATTTAAATTATTATTGATAATATTAATCTTTAATTTCTTTATAACAAACAATTAAATACTCAATTTGGCGCGCGTTTAATATTGCTAGTTATTATTAAAATTTAGCATCTGCGGTTGATGTTGAATTTCATCCAAGTGGAGGAGCAATTGGAGCGGCTTGCACAAATGGTTGCGTCAAATTATATGACTTAAGAACAGCTTCTTTACATCAACATTACACTATTCACAATGGAACAGTTCATAAAGCAAAATTTCATCCAAATGGAAATTTTATGTTAACAGCTTCTGAGGACTCAACTATGAAGGTACGATAATTAAAAACAAATACAAAATAATTATTTTGCTACAAAATTCCTTTTTTTCAAAAAAAATTTAATTAATTTCGTAATTGCAGATTTTGGATTTACTCGAAGGTCGTCCAATTTATACTTTAAAGGGACACGTAGGTGAAATAACAGCAATAGCATTTTCAAAAACTGGTGAATATTTCACATCTGGAGGTGAAGATCGACAGCTATTAATTTGGAAATCGAATTTCGACAAAGAAGATAAATCGAGAAAAATTTCTAGACAATTAATTTCACCAAAATTAAAATTTAACAATTCATTGTCTGATAATAAGGGAAATAATTCGGAGAAAACAGAATCGAATGATGAAGAAGATGAAGATGTGAAAGAAAGTGAAGAGGATTTAAATGAGGTATTTGAATCGAAACTAAAATTTTAATTCACTATTAATATTTTATTAATTTATCATTCAGTATTTATCAAGATCAATCAAAAGTTTACATAATTCTGAAACTAAAAACAAAGTATATACTGAATGTCCAATGAGTATAATTCATGATAAAGCTGAAATTGAAGTGATAAATTTACGAAATATTAAAGCACATGAACAAAATATGAAATTTACAATGTCAAATTCATATTGTAATAGAACAAATGATATTTCACAAAGTTCAAGTGGATTGATTATTGAAGCTCTCAGTGAACAAATTGAATCAATACGTAATACTGTTGTTTTACTTGAGCAACGATTAAGTGTTGTTGAAGATGAATTAAAAAATTAGAATATTTTGATTATGATTTCGTTTTATGAAAGAAAGTACTTTTTTTTTACTTTTTATATACAAATATGATTTTCATTTGTACTAAAATATATTCTAAACTTTAAATTTGAGTAATCTTAGACTTAAAGTAATTATAGAAATGGTTTTTTTTTGTAAATAAATTTAACTTCTCATGAATAGAAAATTTAAAAGAAATTTTTATTACCTTTTGTAGAGGGTCACATTTATAAAATTCATCAGTAGTTTAAAGGATAAAACAGTTTAAAAAAAAAAATTAAAAAGATAAAATTGTTTAAAAAAATACTTATAAAAGAAAGTCTTATTTTGTACCAACGAAAGAACTAGTTTTTCCAGTTTTCTTCAAGTATTCTAAAATTAAATCTGCAGGTAATGGAGTTGTCACGATTACTTTCTTATTGGGCACGTCAATATGCAAATTTTCTATACCTAGAAAATAAAAATAACTATTTAAATATCTAAAGTAGAATTTTTATTAATAAAATTTATTATTTTTATATTAATTAATTTAAAAATTACATCAAAATGAAAATAATTACCATTTTTATTAAGAACTCTTTTAACAGCACCTGCACATCCTTCACAAGTCATTTCCACATTGAATTCGTAAACCTATAAAAAAAAATAGGTTAATTTATTAAATAAATATTTTGAAAAATAGTCATTAAAATATTTAAAAATTTATAATAATAAGAGAAATTTTTAGGAAAAATATTCATTTTTTTAACTTACTTGTTCTCCCATTTTTTTTATGTAAAATAGAAAGAAATTTGTGTTTCTAAAGTCTGTACTATTTTTCCTTTAACGTGGCTTACTAGTTTTGCTTCACTAGCTTTTAATTCTATCGAATGTGATTGACCGAACACTGTACATAGAGATTAATTTTTATCTAGGTCATTACAGATAAATCTAGAAGCAAGAACCTATTGTTCGATACGTAGAAATTGAATGACTTGAGAGAGTTTAGAAAGGAATGTTTGACAACAATAAAACTGTCACTTTAGAAAAGTGAGGTTATAGTTAATTCGGTAGTTAAAAAAATTAAAAGTACATTTTTTTTTACTATTATCTTACCTTTCAATAAATATAATAAAAGATTCAATATGGAAAATATATGACGTGTTTTTAAATAATTTTAAAGAACCACAAAAATATAAAAAATTATTTATTTATAATTAGAATTTTGATTGGTTGTCCTGAATCCTCTAGTAACTTTGTTATGGACAACTTTAAAAAAGCCGCAAGTTACTAGAAATTTTCTAAATTAGGTTAGTTTTTTGTGAAATTAATTTTTTTCACAAACAAATGTAAAAAAATGGTTTCAAATATTATTAATCGGTTTAATAATGCATTGCAAAAATTTAATCACCTTGTGGAATTAATTTTTAGAGGCGGATATCCTCCACGTGAGTAATTTTTGTTTTATTTTGCTTTTTAAAAATAGTTTTATCACCTCCTAACCTATAAATATTTTCAAAAATATGAATATTTTTAATATTTGAATTTTATTAATAGTACATCTACTAATAGAAAAAAGTTAATAAAAAATAAATGATCAATATTTTTGTAATCAATTATTTTAATAAAAGAATTTTTATATTCTAATAGTTTAATAATTAGGTTTTTTATTTTCAGAATTATGCGCTATTGAATTCAATCAACTTGATAAAAATTACAAATCCGTTGAATCAAAAACATTTTCGTTGAAAGATATATTTGATGGATTTTTATGGGGTGTACCAAAACATAGACGAACGGCAGAAAAACGTATGATGCGAAAATATGGTCATCCCATTTATAATTGGAAACTTTTAAGACCAAAGACAAATTTAATAATGTGCGTTAATTGTGGTTACGTTCACGAAATTGGAATTCTTTGCGGTAAGTTTAAAAATTTTTAATAATGAAAATTTATATTTACATTTATAATTTATTTTATAATTATATAGTACATTGTTATGGAAAAATAAAGAAGGAAACAATTGAAATACAAGAAGCAATTCAAAATGAATTGAAATTAGATCCTGTTGATAAAGAAGTTATTGTTCTCTATCAAAATGACAATTTGTCTCAAGAATTTTGGAAGGTAATACAAAACTTTTATTGATAATAATATTTTCGCTAATTAAATAATTGATTTGAAATTAAAATTTTTCAATTTTATAATTTAGAATCAACGAATAGTAGAAATGCCAAAAAATAGACCAGAATGGTTTCATCAAAATTTATTGCAACCAACAACACAAGAACCATCTGACAGTAAAGAAGTAAAACCAATAAATATAGTTTAAGTGTCGTTTTTAATAAAAAAAAAAATTAGATTTTTATATAAAGTTGAAATTTATTTAGCTTTTCAAGAATTGTCCATATATTTGTAAAGTATAAAAAATAAATAGAAATCACGTACATATAGAAGCTTATTATTAATCCTTAACTAATACTAATACTAAATTTTATTTTTTCGGTTAATAAGTTCCAAATAAGTGTCTATAAATTTAAATATTTCAATCATCTATTTAAATTTTTTTTCCCTAATACTTCGAATAATAAATCATTGAATTTATTTTTGCTATTAATAAAAGAATTTGTACACTATTTTTCGAGTTTGTACAATTCTTTAAAAAAATATCTTCTTTTGTTTTTAAATAATATTATTGAATAATTTTTTTCAAGGTACGTGAGTTACTGATTTATTCATCAGTTTTTGTTTTTTTTTTGTTTATAATTTTTGCAGTCATTTGGAATAATGTCTGTTTCTTTTTTCTAAATATACGAATAAATAAAAAATTGAACAAAAATTAAAAAATTGAAACTATAGAGGATTATATAAATTAAAAATATTTAAAATTAATTATTAAATTAAAGATAATTTTTATGAAATTTTTACCTTTAATGTACAACTTCCATGTCTTCGTTACTAAAATGACTTAATACGTGTTCATGAAATTCAGTGAACGAAATGGATTTTCCATAAGATTCACCACATAAGGGACATATTTTATTGCTTAAATTACTTTCCTCTGAATTTAAACTACGTTCACTTAAATTATCAGAAGATAAATTTGTTTTTAATTTAAGATTCTCTTTTATACTAATGTCTAAATCAATTTGTGTACCTGTTTGACACAAAATTTTACTAGCATTTTTCCGACACATTGGACACATTGTTCCTGCAAAAAGAAATTTAATTTAAAAACTCAATAGAAAACATAAATATTTTTTTATGCTAAAAATATAATAATTAAGTACCTTTCTTTAAGGTCTTAATTTTTCCTACGATTCTCTTTAATCTTGCCTGTTGGCTTAAAAGTATTTCTTTTGTCTGCGATAATCTACTGTCATGATCTTTTAATTGTTCCAAAGAATCTGTATCAACATCCTCTGGATAAGTGAAGCCGACATTTTGTAAATTCACCTGCGAATCACTTTGTAATTCTACCATCTGCAAAAAAAAAAAAATTTAATTAAATTATTCACTAAATTGAAATTAATTATTTTGAGAAAATATACCTCTGCGTATTGTTTTTCTAATTCACATTTCTCCAACATTATACTATTAATTAGCCTAAGAGAAATCTCTTCTAGACTCTGATCTTTAATACCTGAAAAAAAATTAAAGAAATTATTTTTAAAAACATTTGAATACGAAGAATAAGGCGTGAGTAAAAAAAAAATTACCATCCGTTGAAATGAGACATTTATTAACTTCCGGTGCATCAATACAAGTCTCTTTGAAACTATATGATAAAATATCCGTTGGCTCAGTTGGTGGATGTTTTTTAAGGGTATCTGAAATTTTTGTTAATTGATTTCCTAATGATTTATTAGCTCTAGTTAATCTTGTTAATCTATTCCATAATTGACGATTTTCAGCAGCCACCATGAAAATATGATGATTCAATTGTGATTTTTGTTTTGTTAATTCTTCGACTTTTTCCTGTAAAAAAAAAAAAATTTAAGAAAATAACAAATTTTCTAAAATTATCCAATGAAAAAGAAAAAAATTACTTACTTTTAAAATTGAAATTTCATCTTTAGTATCTTTTCGACTTTTTTCAGCAATTGCAGCTACTTCTTTACCACATTCTAATCGTAAACGAATATTTTCTTCCTCAACAGAAGCTAATCTTGCTTGTAAATGTTGGCAACGTTCTTTCATTGTTTGAAAAGCAACTTGAAGAGCAAATTGCGAAGGAAAATTCTCTTCTTGTGAAGCTTCCAATGTATTGAAATTACTCATGTCTGATTTTGTTGTTTCTTTCAAAGAAATCATTTCACATTGTAAACAAATTTATCTATGTATCTACAAACAAATTATATAAATTTTTTATTACATAGTTATAACAAAAATGACGACATAACATATTTGATTGAAATGTGAATAAAAGAAAATAGAAAAAAAAGAACAATGGTACATGTGATTTAAAAAATAACTGAATTTGTTTAATAAAAAAATTTTAATGATGACCTAAATGTTTACGTGTAATGAGTGCATCATATAAACATATTAGAAATAAATTTATAGGTTATAAAAAATGTCATTCATCATAAGCAAATAGAAATTTTTCAAAAATAATATTTATTATAAAAACTACTTACGGATGTATTTAATACAAAATTCACAGATTGACAACGTGATTGTGACGATTTTAATTAAATTTTTTTTTAACTGTGATTCCCCTTTTTATTTATGTCACGTCATTTTTATCGAGTTTTGTGATATCAGCTGATCACAATATTAGTTCTACTTTATCCGTTGGGAAATATTTCAGAAATATTAATTTTCTCAAAAATAAAAAATTATGTTTATTTAATATATACACCTAATTTTAATTATGTGAATAATTAAAAATGTTTAAAACTCTTTAAAACTAATTGTTTAGAATAATAAAAACAAATTGTTAGAAATTTTTAGTGAGGCCATCTGTTGAGGTGACAACAAAGTTTTAGTTCATGGCGTTAACGTGATAATGACTTTTTTGGTCAACATCCTATTGTTCTCATTGGTCAGTTTTATATTTGCGCGGGGTATAGAAACCAATGATGAATCATTTTGGAAAGTCACATCATTCGTTACTTTTTCCCGCGTAGATATAAAATTGTCCAATGAAAGCAATACATTTAGTACCAAGTGAAGTGTCTAGAGAGCGTAGAGATCGCGCAATTGAAGGGAGGAATAATCTGGAATTGTCAATATGGCCGACCAGATGTGTAGCAGTAGGGTGTCACGGTGGTGTTAGTGTCGCTTTATTTATGTCAAATTATCGTAAGTCCTGTCCGAATCTCGCGTGTTTTCATGGGATCAGTGAGATATTGTGCAGAAGTAGAAATACGGTGTGCATGAGGGCCTAGCACACGCTCTCCAGTGCAGCAACCATGAAGTGAGTAGATGTGTTGTGTTTTTTTTTTTTTGTTTAATAAATTCGACCTCCTCCTGTGGTTTTTGTTCGCCCCCCTCTCATTGTTTATGCCTCTTGTCCCGGGCAAGGAAACCTGTGAGGATGATTTTACCCCATAATGTCTAAGGGCGTTCATATCATTGATCCAGGGAATTCATCTTGCAATAAACATTTTGGCGAATTTTTCGCTTCCGGATAGTGTCCTCGGGAGGTGATTGCCCCTGGATGTTAATACGCGAGAAGCGTGGTTGGAAATGAATGTCAGAACATTTTGACGGTGAAAAAAGCAGGAGCAGGATCTCAAGTTATAGTATGGGGCCAGATGTTTCTCTAGTCTCCCTCTTTTTCGACCCTCGAATATTCACGCCCGCAATTTCAGCCCCATTTCACGAGAAACCCAAACTCCCTTGAATTCGACTACCATTCTTGCGATCCTTGACTTTGGCTTTCTCAAATAATAAGGGATGCAAAAAAAAAAAAAAAAAAATGAGACAAACAAATACAAACTGTTTTAGATTTTTTTATTATTTAAAAAAAAATTACAATTCCGAAACTAAAATAGTTAAATATTTATTTATTGATTGAATGTTCGTTCTTTATTTTTTTTTAACCTTTTGTTTTCCTGTCAAATTTTTTTTTTCCTTTTTTAAACACTAGAATATTATTTATCATATATACAAACTTTCTGAGTGAAAAATTTGATTAATTTTAATTTCGAAAGAAGATTTACTAATATAAAGAGATTATTGAATGAAGAATTTGCGGTTCGTGTTAATAGTCGCGAAAAAGCTCTATATATCTTTTAAAGAAGAGCGTTGAAGGATGTGCATTTACTCTTTTTAGTAAACCACCCGTAACTCGATCTCTAGTTTCTGAAGAGATTATATATGTAATTAAATCTCGCTTTTCTTTCTCATAAATTTATAATATAGTATAATATAACACGTGAGAGATGTATAGCGGAAATGACAGTTTTATGAATGTTAAGTGAAAGTTTTTACGTGCTTTTTTTTTATACGCAAAAACATATTTTGTATATTTACACATTTTTTAAAAAATATAAATTTTAAATTACAATATGAAATCAGCTTTTTTTTTATATAAAAATGAAAACTTGTGCGATTTCTTGAGAAACTGATATAAACATATATACGAAAATATTCGCATATTTCTTGATATTCATGAAAATATTTTTATATTTTAAAGGAATTAATTAAAATGTTCATGAATATTGAGTGAGCTTTGATCATGATCTGCAACGTAGAGCATGTAGGCTCGTTTCCATAATTAATTAAGACCTCCATTAATGTCAATGTTCAGTGATTTTCTGTGGAAGATGAATTTTTATATAGTTTGACCGACGAATACAATATATGTATCTATATATATTGTATATATTATTATTATTTTTATTATTATTATTATTATTATTATTATATTGTTATTTTAATTCTAAAAATATTAAAATAAAATTTTATATTTTCTTTACGAGTTTTTAATAACTGTTAGCAACAAAGAAATATTTTTTCATTGTTCAGTAATTTTATCGTTTATTTATTTTTTTTTTTTTATAGATTAGACACGCGGAGTTAGAAAGACAATTGTAGTCAATTCTTGGTCCGCTCTTGTTCATTGATATCGAATTACTAGACCTACATCTGAATCATCAGAAATCAAGAAAGTTATATATGATAAAAGTATCCGCATTTTTGTGATCATATATATATGATTCAAGGCTTTTATTATGCACGGTTATACAATATATTTTTTTTTCTCAATCGCGACAATTTTTACTTTCTGTTTTTTTATATTATTTTATTATATTCAAATCAATTATAACACTATAGCTCCTATTTTTTATTACAAAAATTATTATTATCACTGAAAGAAAAAATTTATTTGACTTAAATAATCAGTTACTTGATAATTATCAAATATTTATTTGTATCAAATAATTATTATTTGAGTTAATTAAATAGTATTTGTTTCAAATACAGAAATTATTGTCTCAAGTACAGTTTATTTGATTCAAATAAAAATTATTTAGTTCAAGTAAATATTTATTTGATAATACTCAAGTAAATCAATTATTTGAATCAAATAAATTTTTTTTCAGTTGTTAACATTTTTGTAAAAATAATAATGTGAATCATTTTCAAAGTGACAATTTCCAATTGAATGTGAATCATTTTCAATGTCAACGAAAATTACATTACTCACCAGGTAAATCCTAAGATATCAGTCGATTTCTATAGAAAATTGCGGGTACTCCATATATTATATATAATTGCATTGTTTTTTAAAAGCCTTGAATTTTCTTGATGTTGTTTTAAACGTTTTTTTTTTTTTTTTTTTTTTATTTAAAAGCTTTGTTCAGTTTCTTTTTACAGTTTAATTTTTACGATTTTTCTTTAAATAATTTTTTTTTTATTTTATTTAATTTTTTTTTCTCTTCTGCAAACATTAATATTTAACTTCAAAAATAAATTTATATTTATTTAATTTTATTATTTAAATATTTTAAAATTAATTTAATAATAATAATAACAATAACAATAATAATAATAATAATAATAATAATACAGTTTAATTTTTACGATTTTTCTTTAGATAATTTTTTTTATTTTATTTAATTTTTTTTTCTCTTCTGCAAGCATTAATATTTAACTTCAAAAATAAATTTATATTTATTTAACTTTATTATTTAAATATTTTTAAATTAATTTAATAATAATAATAATAATAATACAGTTTAATTTTTACGATTTTTCTTTAGATAATTTTTTTTCTCTTCTGCAAGCATTAATATTTAACTTCAAAAATAAATTTATATTTATTTAACTTTATTATTTAAATATTTTTAAATTAATTTAATAATAATAATAATAATAATAATAATACAGTTTAATTTTTACGATTTTTCTTTAGATAATTTTTTTTCTCTTTTGCAAGCATTAATATTTAACTTCAAAAATAAATTTATAATTATTTAACTTTATTATTTAAATATTTTTAAATTAATTTAATAATAATAATAATAAATGAAAAAAATTTTTTTTTAATAATTTTAAAATTCATAGTAAAATCTGTTAAAAACTTGATTTTAATTATATAACTTTAAAAATTTTAATTATATTTAAAAAAAAAAAAGATGCAATTTCTGTCATAATAAATTAAAAATTTAATGTCGAAAAATTATTTTGACCTAATGGAGATATAAATCTTTTGCATCATAAATTTAACAAATATTTTTGACATTCGCTCATAAATATTATGTTATATGTTGGAAAGAAAAATGATTTCTTATGAATTAAATATATTGAACGAATTGTGTCTTGAAAATATTCAGTGAAGGCATTTAATTTTTTATATGAAAGTGCAAAAATAAGTTATTTGTAAATAATGAGTTATATTTAAATTTTGATTGCTAAGAAAAGGCATCTTTTGCGATATTTATATAATTTTTGGTCCTTGAAGAATTTAACAACTTTGTTAAATTCTTTTATATAGGTACTTAATAGTTTATTTGTGAAAGGGTTTTTGAAAAGAGAAGCCCAAGGGAAAGTGTTTACTTTACACGCCTAATTATTAGCATGAACACACGTCCCCCATATGTTTCTTGATACAGTGTTTTATGGGGTGACTGAAAAGGTAAACCCAATACTGATGGTCAAGGCCACCTGGTCTTTTGTCGAAAGATTGTCATCGAATGTCTCTTAATCATTACAAAAATCAACAGTTATTTAATATTCAAATTAGATAAGTAAAAAAAAAATATTTAAAAAAAAATTATTTTTAAAAATAATTAAAATTATTATTTGGATAAAAAATTTTTTTTTGTCATGTACGATTCCTTTTTATAGAATTTTACAATTTAATTCCCAACGTTAATCTTTATGAGCCAAAAGTTTTGAACGTTCAAATGAACAAAATTTTTTTTCCAACTTCTTTAAGTACGAATTTTATTACAAAATATTGTTTTAAATATTTAAAAATAAATTATTGATTTAAAATATTGTTTAATTTACTGTTTTATTTTACATTGACATAAATAATTTTTAATAATTTATAGATTGAAAAAAATATTTCGTTCCATTTGAACGTTCAGAACTTTTGGCTTATTAACCTTTAATGAAATTCTGTAACGAATGAAACTTGGATAAGAAAGTTATAAACATTTACGGGGTAAAAGATATTATTAGAATTTAATTGAACTTTTGATTTCTAATGAAAAATGTATTGGAAATAAATATAGTGAGAGATATGTGTGGTATTTGAGAAATGTATAAAAAAAATGGTTTAAAGAATTTCCGCTATGTGTTAAAGAGGATTTTCGATTAATGAGAAATTATCGTTTAAAACCACAGGCATTTAACCAGTATGCACCTGAATTCGCACCAAGTTTTTAAGACGATTTTAATAGAGAGAGAGAGAGAGAGAGAGAGAGAGAGACACTAAACTATTTTCGATTTAGTAAACAAACATTAAAATTAAATTAAATTTATTTTTTCTATCAAATAAAAAATTAATATTTAATAATGATAATTATATTTACCAACTAATTTTTATTTTAAAAATATCGTCTTTTTGCGATTTTTTTTTGTGGTTTGAAAATATTTCTTTATGATCTTATAATTTATTTTTTTATTGTAAATATATATAGTTTATTGTCTTTCGTAATATTGTCTTTTAAATGACTTGAATATATTCGTCTTTCAAGAATTGAGTAGTGTAAAAAAAAATGGTGATAAAATATTTTTATTAATGAAAAAATGAGGAGCTGATTGTAAGCAGATTTTTCTTAGCTATGTTAATTGGTCTCCCATGAGTCTCTAATAATGGCAAAAAAAATTTTCAGAGCATAAAAAGCGAGGCGTTTCGCTGGGTGTAAATATATTAAAGCTGGTCGAATTATTACGCGGTGTGGTATTATTCAATGTTGAGAGAGTACATGCTTGGATGTGTGTTATGAATAGAGTGACTATATACTTCATGTTTCAACTCATAATTAAAAGTCGACGACCGATATATACCGGGTGATAATTTTCACATTTTTCACCTGTTTAGGTGCTTTTTTTTTTTTTTTTTTATTGAAAAAGCCCTTTTGTAAAATATTGAATTTAATTTAAATTATCAAAAAAATTTGATGCAAAAGGGAAGATGAGAAATTTGGATTTAGAAAAATAAAAAAAAAAAATGAAAGAAAATGTTAAAAATATTTTGTTAATGCATCCGCGGGTCAGATGTGTATCAAATATGAATGAGATTAGATTATAAATAGTTTGAAAGTAGGTAAAATAAACTAGAGGAACCTGTCGATACTGTTGCTTTCTGATAATTCTCCAATTGGATGATAAATTTGAAAAAAAAATTTCTTTCTCTATTTTGTATTTTTTAAAAGAATTTTATTTATTTAAAAAAAATGTTTTCTTTTTCAAAAAAAATAATTTTCAGAATTTTAAATTATTTAAAATCAAATATTTTTAAAAAGTAGTTCAGACGTTAAGTGATAAATTGTTAAACTTGAATAAGAAACTTGAATCTATAATCTGAATTTTTTAATTTAAAAATTTTTTTTAATCAATTTAAATTAATTTTGTTAATGACCTGATTTATAATTAAATTTAAAATTATTCATTATAAGAAACGATAATTATTTTATTTTTCGCGAAAAATTATTTATAAAAACTACTTTTATTTGATATTGTTTTTTTTTTTTTTTTTTTTTCCTCTTCATGAGAACTAGTTTTATCGATATTATAGAGAGAACACGAAAATGTGTATATTTGTCTATACAGGACGTTTTATAGGAAGTCGTGGGGTTCATATCAGAGAAAGAGAAGCGGGGAAGTCACGGTATCTCACCACGTCCCTCTTTCATCCTGTTGCTCTCGTTTATACATTAAATATAGTACCGTTTAAACAACAATGTATCTCGCGTCACATCGCGAAAAAGTGCATTATCCTCAAAAAAAAGAAATCAACAGCAATAATTATTCAATCAAAAGTGAAATAATATTAAAATTTAAATATATATTTTTTTTTGAGTAATGTTCCTCCTACTTTAAAATCTATATAAGTGCAGTGAAATATGTCCTTTAAAAGCCCCACAAACTGAATTCAGAATGAGGATTATTTTAAGACTGCTTTTTATAACGATCAATTTTTTTTTCTCCTTTTTCACTTTTTTAAGTTGTGTGTAGATTCTTTTTGAGCCACATGAAATTTTACTGCTATTTATAGAAGTTAATAAAATATTAAAAGTAGGCCTAATAAAAATTATATGATTTTTTTTTCTAATCCGATTTTTTTTTTATTTAAATCAAATTTAATTTTTACTTGCATATTTTTCAAAACATTTTTTTTTCTAAATATTATAATAGTGTTAAATAGTAATTTTTAGTAAAAAATTTTGAAAAATCAAATAATTAAAAATGATGAAAAAAATTTTTACTATTTGAAAATAATGGTTGTTCTAATTAATACAGGTCAATATTATCTTTAGGTATACAAGTTTTTTTTTTTGAATTAATATTCTGCCCTTTCACAAGTTTATAGAAAATTCCTAACTTTATGTATGAATTTTACAAACGAGTTATTTAACTTGAATATTACATTCTTAAAAATGTATTTCTTGAAAACATTTTCTTCGACTGAATAATTTGATTACGTTAGTAGTTATGTGATTTTTATTATTATTATTATTATTATTATTATTATTATTATTTTCTCTTTTCATTTGTAGATATTGTGAAGGAGAAATCGATAAAAGGCAATTTAAAAGTAATTCTTGAATTTGGCCAAGAGTGTTGGATGGCGAATGAGAGAAAAAAAATAGGGTGAATTTTATGTGAAGGACGACCCTCAATTCGCGCTCTCCCCGTACGATGTGGGACATTCGTTGATTAGATGAATAGTTAAGGCGAACAAGACAAAAGTGAACGCAAAAGAAAATAGAGAACGAAAGACTGCGAATGGAGTGAAAAAAAAAAAAATGCCAAACACTCTCTCGTTAAATTTTTTTCATTCCACAAATTTTGCTTTTCCAAGCCACTCAAAACATTTAAAATATGTTTGCTCGATGAAGAAAAAAGTTATTTCTGTTTCATAAACACGTGAATCTGCTGCAGGAGTTTATTTTTGTAGTACATTAAAACTTGAGTTTATTTTCTGATTCGATCGCTCTAATTAGTCAGAGGTTTTGAAGTTTTTTTTTTTTTTCAAAGTAAATTTTTTTATTCTAAATATAAATAGAAATTCACAACTATAACTATATTGAGAAAAGTTTTTCTTTGTTCGACTATATAGTTGTAAATATATTATATAGAAAGTGATTCCTTGTAATTTTCGTTAGGAATGGAATGCCAGTGAAATGGGATTTGTTTCTCATGCGTATTCAAAAAAAAAAAAAAAAAAAAGAATATCTAATTATTTCAGTAGTAAATCCTTTCTGGGTCTAGGAGAACATAAAATTGTTTTGAACATCGGAAAGAATATGTATATAGATGCAAGAAGTGCCTTTAAGCTTAAACTGGTTTCGTAAGACAAAATCTGTTTACATGTACTTAAAAAGAATTTCCCTTCTTTTATATTCCCGCATGTGAAAATCTCGTTCTGCAAAAACGTCTTAGTGAAAGGATTGAACGCGTTAAAATGATTTTCAAGACTCGCCTCCTTATTTTATCCAGTGAGCGCAAGTGCTTACTCAAAGTTGAACTCTGCTCGTGCCTTCCGACAACAGTAGTTGTCGAAACAATTTTTTTTTCCCTTCTAGAGTGTCGTTTAGTGATTTTTCGTGAAATTTTAAAATTCTTTTGTAAAACGAAATTATTTTCATTAGTTAGGGAAATATTTTTTTTAAAGTGGGTTTTTTTTCTCTATAAATCTCAAGAATTTTCAATAATTCAATAATATTATTATTACTGAAATAATTAATTAAAAAAACCATTATTTTCAAATATCAAAAATTTAAATTCTCAATTAATGAATTTTTTTTTAGGATTAATTTAAATTACTATTAATTTATAAAACGTTGTGAAATTTGTTTTTTTGGTTTTTGAAAGTAGGTCACGCTAAAAGTTTTTGAAGAAAACTGAGAGGTACTTCTCTTTTTGAGAAACGACTCTTCTGCTTTATAGTTCGCTAACCAATTATTAACTCAGTGAAGTGTATATGTGTATGTGTGTCGATGTTTGGAAATGTTTTTGGAAGAATAAAAAATAATGTAGCCTCGACAAAGTGTCGAGAAGATATGGAAGATTCTGAGAGATATGAGGATGCCTTGACTCGATTCAATACTGAGATGAGGAAACTGAGGTCAAGCGCAAAACGATCTAGCGATTCTTTGCTACTTACAAATAATCGACCCATTAGAACAATTTTAGAAAATCAAAGAAGGCCAAAAGATCACGATGTTTATAGATATATGGATTACAATGACATTCAACGATACTCAATTTCCTATGATACATTAATTCGGTATAAAATAAGAAAGAATTGAATTTTTTTAAAATAATAAAAGAAGACTTATTTATTTTCCAAAAAAAATAATTCTCAGTGATTTTTTATTCAATTTTTCATTTAATTAATGATTTTCTTTTTTTTTTTACAGCGAAGTCAGCATATCATCTGCTCGGGCGTCGGTAATGGTCTATGATGACGTGAATAAAAAATGGGTACCAAGTGGCAGCTCATCGGGTTTATCAAAGGTGCAACTCTATCATCATCAAGTAAATAATACTTTTCGTGTTGTTGGTCGTAAGCTTCAGGATCATGAAATCGTCATCAACTGTGCAATTCTTCGAGGTCTCAAATATAATCAAGCTACTGGAACGTTTCATCAGTGGCGAGATAACAAACAAGTCTATGGACTTAATTTCTCCAGCAAAGACGATGCCGACGCTTTTGCTAAAGCAATGCTGCAAGCTCTTGATGTAAGCATTCTCATAAATCAACAGCCTCTTTTGCAAATCTTTTCTTCTTGTATCTAATTAAAATTTTTTATAAAATTTCTTTTTTCACAACGAAAAAGCTTCGTAGATTAATTTAAAATATTAAATCCAATTATAATTTTTCTTTTTTTATTTTGAATATTTATTTTAGACGCAAATTCATGAGACCTTGAGATTCATTTAATTGTATTTTACACTTTTTTTTTTCTTCTCTTTATAAAAACACATATTTTTCCATTAGGAGAAATTAGAGGGTCTTCTTAATTGTAATCGTTGTGTTTAATTGGGTACTAATTGTTTGAAACACTTGCGTAGGTGCTGAGTAACGGAAGCAACATATCAAGGAGTCTAGGCCCGACTGTCGCTTCGACGACACAACAGCAACCTGTCTATCAACAACAGCAACACCAACAACAACCCACCGCACAATTCGATGAGGACATGGGATATAGGTGCGTTTAAAAAATGTTCATTCTTTAATCATACAATGTAACTAAAATATGTATTGTGAAGAGGCGTATTATTTCAACGATTAATATTAATAATGAAGGTGTAGGATTTTTTTTTCAATTTCCTTAGTAATTAAAAAAGAAAATTAAAAATTTGAAAATATAGTTAAAAATTATACTTTGGAAAATAGTAGAAAAAAAATTGTACAATTATTAAAAATATTTTAATTCTAGGACCATGACAAGAGAAGACGTAGCTATAATACAAGAGCGCAGAATGTCACAACAAAATCAAGGTAATTTGAATTTTATTTATACGAAAAGAATTTCTTTAATATTTTGAGAAATAATTTCAAACGATTGCAATGATAATAGTTTTTATTGTCGAAATTTTCCATCTGAATTATTATAAAAAATGACAGTAGGAACAAATGGACCTAACGCAATATCACCAAGTTGTCCACCAATGGGTCAACAGCAACAGTCGGGACATCACAGGACATCATCAGCACCGCCAGCGCCAGCTCCTCCGCCACAGCCTCAACAGATGCAGCCAGTAATGGGTACAGCGGTTCAGCAAATGCCACCGGTGCCTCCGCCGCAGCCACCAGCAGCTCCTCCAGCTCCGCCCTGTCCACCTGCCGGCACGATGATGGCCTACAGCAACAGTAACAGCAACGTTCAGATGTCGGCGGGAACACCCCCAACAATGAACCAGTACGCACAATCGCCATCCCAAACGAGTCACCCCAATCAATCGCAGTCCCAAATAGTCTATGCTACCAATCAGGGGAACCAGTACGGCGTGACAGCCGCGCAGACCAATCAATATGGCAATCAAAATCAAATGGGCCAGTACTCGGGTAGTCAGAGTAGCTTGTACGGTAGTAATACTGCTCAGATTTACGGTAGTCAACCTAGTCAAGGTAGCCAGTACGCGAGCAGTCAATGCTCACAGTACGGCGGTAGCCAATATGGCAGTAATAATTCGATTAATCAATATGCTACCGTGCCCAATCAATATACAACAGTTCAGTCTGGAAGCAGCTCGAACCCGTACGGCACCCCGTCGAACATTGTCAACCAGTATTCTGGTAGTCATGTTAACGCTTATGCTCCCGTTGGTAGTAGCGCTGGACCACCGCCGCCGCCAATGGGTCCTGTTGCCGTTGCTGCTGTCACAGCTGCTGCACCACCACCGCCTCCACCGCCGCCAGTTCCCGATCAGTCGAGCAATGCTGTCGACTCCAATTCCGCGGCTGAAGTCAATTCACTTGCAGCTGCACTTCAAGCAGCAAGACTCAAAAAGAAACAGGTGAGTTTACATTGTTGTGGGTGAATTTTTTTTTTTTTTCACCTCTCATTTCACTGGATTTCTACTTAGAAGTACTTCTTTTTAGAGGTGATAATGTCACTTGGAAAAATTATGTCAACACTGAGGGATAAATAACACGCGAATTTGTGAATTATTCTAAAATAACAAGATATTTTAAGAAATCTTTCAATGATATTCCAGTAGAAGAGTGGAATGTTTTTGGGTGTCTAAAAAACCGAGATATGTCAGGGAATTTTTCTTAAAGTCAGGGAATTTTTTTTTCCGTCATTAATTTTGAATATTTCTCCACAATATAGGGTAAGTGTACTAATTACGGCGAGTGCACCAATTACGGCGCGTTCATAAAAAATAACTATTATTACTATTATATTTAATATAACTGTTGCCAAATGATTAAAAAAAATTATTTCAATCTTTTTTTGATACAAATACTTATAAAGATGCACATTTAAACAATTATTAATTTAATTATTTGAGATCAAATTTTTTTCCGCGCCGCAATTAAAATATTTTTAAGATTTCCATTGGCTTCAATTTCGGCGGGCAAAATATCTTCAAAATAGACGTAATTTTGGTCACCGAAATTGATACACCGAAACTGATGCAAACTCGCCGCAATAGAAAATTACGGTATTAGTTTTAATTTCTCATATTTGTTTAAATAATCGATTTTTATAGAGTTAAAATTTTTTTTTAATATCTTAATAACATAAGCTTTAAGTTTAATAAATCTTAAATTGAGTTTATACAATAGAAATGTCGAATTTTCTATTTCAAAGGTGTTTTGACTCGAATCTCGCCGGAATTAGTGCATTTACCCTAGTTTCAAAATTTTTTAGTTATAAATTAATAACGCGAACAATAATTCGTGTTTCCTATTTTCATTTTTTTTTTTAAAGAAAACACGATTTGTTTTTATAATAATTATTTTTAAATATGTAATTAATAATATGTAAAAATAAATATTTTATATTCATCAATTGGGGCTTTAGGATCTAATGAAACAATTAATTTCTAATTATTGCAGACGTTTCGGTATTGAAAGTTGGATGTATAATCAAATTTTAAGTTGTTTATCCCTCAGTGAACATCAGTGTTGAGTTTGAAACGATTTATCATTTGATAAGTTACTGAAAAATTATTTGTGTTTATTCCTCTTGCCTTTTGGTAATTTAAAAAAATTTTAAACATGTAATAATTTTAATTATTTTAATTATTAACTCATTTAATGATATTTCTGTCGTCCTTGGTTGCATTTTCTTAAATCTTCTGTAAAGTGTTTATTAAAAGTAAACTAAAGTTATGATATCACGATTTGAAAACATTTTTAATAAATAATGGTCTCATAACGAAAATTTATATTTTAGAAATTCTTTTTTGCAATTTATGAATGGAATTAAGTTTTAATGGTTTTTCAGTAACTTGGCTAAAATTATTATTTCACTTAGAAACTGAAATAGTGATGAGTTTCATGAAAAATATTTATTTACTCCACACTGATGAATTCAATTGGTAATGTTTCTGGAAAAAAAATTTTTTTTAAATTTAGATTTATTATTTATCCAATTATTATTATATAAATTATTAAAGTTGATATTCTATTTTTTTTCCAGTAACAAAAACTAATTGTATCTAAAGAAAATAGCACTGTAACCCTTAGAATTGTTTGCATTCTTAGATTCATGTGAAAAATAAAAGCTCTATCTTTAATCATTTCAACAAAGGGTAAATTGAAATTATGAGGGTAATAAAAATAAATTAAAACAGTTTTTTAAAAAAAAAATTGAAATTAAACAGCGAATAAACATCCATTCTGTTACAATTTACCTTTGAATTAAGTTCTAATAATTTGCATTATTGGACAGTCAATTTAATTGAATGCATTATTAATTGTCTTTTAAAATAATATTTCCACCACATTGATGTCCTTGAAGCTTACAGCCTTTTCACAGCTCTCCTAATTGGATACAAATCTCTAGGTAATATTGGGTTTTATAAAAAGCAAAATCGTCGACCTTTTTACAAGGAATGTCTTTTTAGAAAAATATTTCTTTTTAGAATGCATTCATTATCATATCATCTTTGGTTAATATTCTCTCTACATATGTATATATATATATATATATTAATTAAATTTCGCATGTGAATTATTTGTATTATTTTTCGATTAAATTGAGTAATAACAATATTAATGGATTTTGATTTGTTTCTTCTGAATAGCAATCTCAACCAGTGGAAAATAGTGGATCGAGTACCAGTAGCAGCGGAAGTGGAGGTGGAAACTATGGTACTTTAGGAAGAGGAAGCGGAGGAAGTGGCGGTGGCGTTGGAATGGCTTCTATGATGGACGAAATGGCCAAAACTTTAGCGCGAAGGCGCGCTGCCGTTGAGAAAAAACAACCGGAACCAACTCCGGTGCTGATTTTTATTCTAGTTTTAATATCTTATAATTTTAGGTTTTATTCCTTTTTTTTTCTTGCTATTTTTCTGATTCTTTTTTTTTTACATATTTGTATCATTTATTTTTGTTTTAAAATTTAATTGAACTTTTTTTTTTTTTTGGTTTAATTTATAGAATTTTCATGTTGTGTTTATTAAATAATTTTTTCTGCAGGAACCTGAAAGTTCTCCTGATAAAAAATCGTGGGACAAAAATAATTCAAATAACAAATTTTCGAACGGAGCCGAATCACCAAAGGCAACACGCAAAAGGTTCGGTTCAGCTTCAGAAGATACGCTTCTTAAAGTAAATGGAGTTAACGATGGCTCCACGTTTATGTCCCAGGAAATGGAGGCTTTCAAAGTCGAACTCATCAAGGAAGTCCGAAAGGAGTTTCAAAAGATAAAACAGGAGATTAAGCAAGAAATTGTTGAAGGTAAATTCAATTTCCTTCTTAATTTGTTTTCTTCTATTGATTGTCAAAGTTTTTCTTTTTTTTTTTGAATTTTCTCTTTAATTATTAGATAAAATTAATGTATATTTTTTTAAATATCTTGAATTTTATTAAATATTGAGATATTAGGAATTTGTAATCATTTTTTTTTCAAATTATGTTTAATTTAAAATTTTTCGTAGTTTATTTTACTTTTTTTGAATTTTTATTGTAAATTAATATTTTTGATTTAATTTTTGAAAATTTTCTTCAATCAGGTCTTGGAGTGTACTTTTTCGACTTTTTTAAAAATAATAATTCATGAATTGACTTTAGAAATATTTTTACTTTGTTTAGAATTTAAACTATTGAAGATTAAATATAAGAAGGTAACTTTTTAGAAAAATCTTATGATATGAGAATTATTTTAACTCATAAATATTTGAGGTCTGTTAAAGTATGATATTTATTTTCGTCTATTTAATATTGTAATTTTTATTTTTATTTACTTTTATTTTAATTTATTTGGATATTAATTTTTTGTTTTTCTTTAAATTATTGTTTTTTCACAAATTTTTCACAACCATAATAATTATGGTTAAATTACAAATTAATTAATATCAATTTTATGTCGTATTCTGATATTTAATTTATTTATCTGTAGCCGTGAGGACTGAGTTGAGTAGAAGGTAAAGAAAACTGGACCATCAAGGAGAGAAAAAAATGTAGAAGATGAAAAAAAAATGAATGAAGAAAACGGCTGAAGTTGTATTAGGAAGCTCAATCGAAGCATTTTCATCGACAAGCACATGCAGGTTTTTACAGTACAGTTATACCCATGTATATCAACCTCTTGTGTGTAAGTACGCTAATCTAGCTTAATATTTTAAGTGGACACGTTTCTTTGTTACCTATTATTATACGATCGGTAACAGAAACTCGATGTTGGATCAACTGAGTTTTATATTTAATGACTATATTATTATAACGCTGTAAACGCGCACTGACTTCTTTGTCTTTAACTTTCTAATCAAGTTAAAACGCACAAATTTGACAATCTTGGTAAATTTTTCAAGAGAAACTGTTTTTTCTAAAAAAGAAGGAATTTACCAATTAACTCGAATAATTGGTGCCTGTGAGTAAATTTCTCGTGGAAGAAAGAAATCTTTTTTTTTTAACAATAATTATTATCGACGAGTACTTTTGTACTTCACTGCCAACAATCAAGATGAAAATAATGCTTGAAAAGATTTTTTTTTACTTTTGTGATATACTCAATTGGTTCAACATGTAGAGCCACATATAATGTACATTTATCATTGCGATACGTCAGCACAGGTTTTTAAAGCCACTTTTGTACTTTAGTGTCACTGTAGAGAATGAGTTCGACGTGAGAACACATTGTACAGAATATTATTTTTGCCAATGTCGTGGCACTTTGCGGATTTTAACAATTTTTAATTCTTTTTTTCTCTATGTTTTTGTTGACAAGAAATGAATGAATAAATTTACCTTGTAGATTTATTCAAAATGTGATATTTTGCATTTTTGCGCTTTAAAGACAAGCATATCACAAACATTCCGATAAGATGATTTTTAAAATAATAAATTTTGAAATATTTCGCGGAGAGTCAATGGGGGAAAAAAAAAAAAAAAATTGTGTGTGATTTTAAAGAATTTAATCCGCATTTTGACTGTGCAATTGCCACGACTTTGGAAATGCAGACCACATTTCACTCATCAATTTATATACACCGGAGAAAAAAAAAGTTAAATCAATAACATTTTTTCGTATATAATTCAAAAACAAAAAAAAAATGATAACTTCTTTTTTATATGTTAATATAGAGTAAAAATAATAAATTGATGATAACGTTTTGAAAAAAAAAAAAAAAAGATTAAATGAAATAATGAATATGTCGTCCATAAAATATTATAAGAAATAATGTCTTTTAAAAGTGATTTAATCAAGTTTTAAGGACAATTTCTACTGATTCATGTCTGATTAAGATGATTATTATTAAGACTCGAGCATATGAACAATAATTGATCTAGATGATTTATGAAAATCGGATCAATGAATTTTTAACTAAAATATATTAGAATCCGCGTCATTGAAGAGAATTTTATTCTGGTCTGCATAAAATGAAAAGGCTGTGTTCTTTTTTTTTTTAATTGAATATTATTTTTTTTTCACTTATTGAATGATATAATATCCAAAAAAAAAGAAAGGACAAAGCCTTTAAGAAAATGGTCGGTTGTCACTTCTACTCGCTCGCAGTGATTGTTTCCAAATAAATTACTTTTTATTCATCTTTCGAACAGTATAAGTTCCTTTAATCGTACTTAACAAGCACATCAGACAAATTATATTTTTATTTTGCTAAGTACGACGTACTTATACAATAGTTCGTCTCTGTTCGATATTTTTTTCAAAATATTTAATCTATAAATTACTCAATTATGTAAATTATTAATTTATCAATTTATTAATTTAATATAAAAATTCATTAAATATTGTGACTTCAAATATAAATAAATTTTTCAAATTTCGATGTTTCGCTCCATTAAAAGTAAATTACAACTGAAAAATGAAATTTAATTAATTTGGAAATGAATTTTTTTATTAATTTTTAATTTTAGTAACAATTTCAAAATAATGTCTATTTAATATTGAAACAATTTTTGAATTATTAATTACAAATTAAAAATAAAAAAAAAGTGAAAATTTATTATTTTTGTACTAAATACAAAATCACAATATTTAAAGAATTTAGAAAATTATTATTTAATTAATTAATTGAAGACTTGCATCAAGCGAGCAAGTAGTAGTTTTGTGGTCAGATATATATATATTATATATATTAAAAGAAAAAAGAATTGAAACGAAAAGAAACTGTTAGAATTTTGTAAACATTTGTTTAGTGCGACGCTAAGCAATAAGAATATTTCAATAATTCGTCTACATTTTAATATTAAAGAAAAACAAACTTTTATGATGTATTATACATAACACTGGGGGAAAAAAAATAACTAAAATGGAATATTTCCACTTGACTGAGACCTAATGAATAATCGCCGTGATTCATCGTAAGCACCCACACGTCGCGTAATAAAACTTTATTCGAAAAAAAAAATAGAATAGCAATAGTGAGTTAACTCTGCTTATATAAAAAAAAAATTGTTAGTCTTGCAAAATCCTCGCTGGTAATGAGGAGAGCTTTTAGAGAAACGGTTCATTCATCTACGTTTTGATGCACAAGTTTTGTAAAGGCCACCCCATTTATCGATCTTTCGAGGCTTAAATCCATAACCCAGATAATTTATGTTCTTTATGAAAGAAAACAAAAAAAAGAAAAGTTGAAGATAATCGTTTCCAGTGATAATTAACGTCATATCAATATTGATGATTGATTCAAATCGTGAGACGACGATAAAGTGTCTAGTCGAGAAAGAAGTGAAAAAAAATTTTTTTTTCCCTGTAAAAACTGGGAATTGGTTAAGCTCGAGTGATTCTAATTTCGAATACAAAACTTAATCAAATTTGACATCGTGTAATACACGGTTTTTCAGATTTTTTTACACAAAAAAAGAAAAAAAAAAATTAAAACAAAAAAAAATTTTGTATTCTATTTATAATGATCGAAGTATTCGGTGTGCCTCTTTTGTACATGACCCAGTAATATTATATAAGATTATTATTATTCGACTTTCGAAAAAAAAAAAAAAACTACTTCTTAATTATTAATATTTTATACGTTTCTTTTGTATATACAATCGTACGGCTCTTCCAGTATATCTATATTTATTTTTTACTTTGAGAAAAGAAAAAAAAAGAAGGCAAACTCTTAAACGAGCAAAGTGTAAATCTACGTGAGGACAAAAATCGTTTTTCTCTTTTTTTTTTGTTTTTTTTTTTTTAACTTATTCCTTAACTGTAAGTTTAACAATTTTATTGTACAAATAGGCTTTTTATTCTTATTCTTTGATCATTAAATTGCATGATTTAAGAATAATTTTTTAATTTAAATCGCAATTTTAGACTGTTTTTTTCTATACTTTCTGTTAATTTAGATAGTTTGATTGCAATAAACTTAAGTAGGCATTGTTTAAAGTTAGTTTTTAGTCTCAAAGTGACAAAAAGAGAGAATTTCTTCTGAAACTTTTTTTTTGCACTTGAAATGAAATAAGCACAATTCCTTTTTTTTTATTTTAAGTCGCATTGTGTATTATCTTCGATTTTAACAAATGAAAAAAAAAGCTTTTTTGCGCATTGTCCAAGCGTTCATATGCACATACGAGAAATTTAACTTTTACACTCTTGTCGAAATTAAAAAAAAAAAAAATTTTTTCCCTATGATGTTCAAAAGGGAATAATTTAAAAATTAATTCAACATTTTTCAAATGGATTTAAATTTCAGAATTATATAGATTTTGCTCTAAATTGACAAGAGTCGATTGTTAAGTAACTCTGAATTTAGATGATGAAGAAAAAAAAAAAAAAAAAAAAACCTTAAGTATTACATTTTTTCAACTGGATTTTTTGAAATTTGTCATATGAGATAAATTTCAAGAATGAAAGTCGTTGAAAATGAAAAAGCAGACCCGTTCGCAAGAACTGTTTAGTATTAGACGCATTTATACAAATAGAGCGATGCTTTCGAAAATAGGTAATGATTTCGATGGACCTAACTGTGACTATTAAGAGTGTTTGTTATGATAAAAAAAAAACTTTTTAAACACACGCGTAAAAAGAGATGGTGACAATTATTCACCGGCGATTCAATGAAAAAAAAAAAAAATGAATTATAGTAATCGAGGCAATAACGCTGTGTAATGTAATGACTATATCTATGCAAAGCTGATAATATAGAAGGGCCTGCGGTTACGATTTTTTTTTTTTTATAAATGATAGAATAAGAAATTTTTTACATTTACTTTTTTTCATATTTTTTTATAGTGAATTTTAAATATCTTTTCTAAATTCAAAGAGATTTTTTTTTAGCGAATTTTAAGACTTTTTCGGAGATTTTTTTTTAAAGTAAACTAGGCATTTTTAATTTCAAAATAATTGTCATCGGCCGTGGGTCCATTTTTTAACAGAAATGCACTTAGAATTATAAGAATGCAGAAGATCAGGTTAGATAGATCGCTTATTAAGATTATCTTGTTACTTACTCAATCATCATAGACTACGATCGAGAATCGCAGGATAGAAAATGTAAATTCGCATCTGTACTTTTTCCAATGCTTCGACTCTTCCAGAAAATAAAGTAAGAAATTTTTTTTCGTTTTTTTTTTTTTTTTTTTGAAAAAAAAGGAATATTTTAGACTAAAATCTTGTAGTTTAGAAATTTTTTTTTACCATTATAAATAAATTATATTTATTTATGACGTGATTTTTAAATAATAATTAATATTCTCGAAAAAAAAATTTTTCCCAGTGACCGTAAAATTCGAGAATTCAATCTTTGTAGGAATTTAGTTTTTTGTTTTGGAGGAGTCGATAAATGCTTACAATATTTTTCCTTAGGCAATCTATCAAAATAATTAAAAAAAAAAAAAGAAAATTACTTTTGAATTGACAAAAATTAATTGAAATTATGTAGTGTGTGAAAATAATGAACGCTTTGATTAATTAAAATAATTTGCTCTTTTTAAAAAAAAAAAAATCACGAGAATTTAATTCTTCGATTGAGAATAATTTCTCTGATCAGCTTGAGCAATTAACAAAATTCTTTGTTGCTTTGTACTCTATTTATACAAATATATATATGTTGGGATTAAAGTTATTATTTAGAGATATTAGTTTAATAATATTTAATTGACAAACTTCGATTTAGCCAAGCTCGAGTCTCATAAAACATAATAATAATAATTGATCGATTGTCTTCGGCGTGTGATACCTTTTAAATATTGACAACTAAAGGTTGGAATTTTATCAAAAAACAAAAAAAAAATTCTCATGATTGAAAAAAAAAAAATGATAAATCTTTCGCTCCTCTGTAAAAAGTGGTGCGTTTTATACTAATGTTAATTAATATCTGCGAGTAACAATTTGATAAACGTTTATTCGTCTTTTGGCTTAACCAATAAGTACATACACCAGAATGTCAGTGAAACAGTTGTAAAATCTCAGATAATTTGTAATTTTTTTTTAATAAATCACCATAAAATTATGCTACTGATCTGAATTCATATTTTGAATTTTCAGAATAAATTTAGTTTTTAACAACAATGTTCCAAATGTTATCGTTTTATTTATACGAAATCTTTTAATTAAATTTAATTTTAAAATAAGAAAGGCCTAGAACTTGCTAATTTAAAATCCGAAAATTTAGTTTAGAGCATTGTATACATACATGTAATTCGTAAGCTTTATTTATTATTTAACTATTTAATTATTTAAATGTGAATTATATTTAGAGTACTTTTAAAGTATTTTAATTGTAAAATATTTAAAGTAGTTTCAAAAAAAAAATTTTTTTTTTTTTAAATAAAACTACTTTGAAAAAATTGTTATTATAAATTATTTTTAAGAGAAAAAACATTCATTTTTCGAGATTTTTGTTTCTTAAAATGTAAAATTCAAAATTCATGATAAAATTCAATACTTGATTTCAGATCAGAAAATTTGAAATGTGACTCGTTTTTTATAACGAGATATAAATAATAATATTGAGACTTTTCAATTTTCTTTTTATCAATTTATCCATAAAAAAAAATCTCATTTGAGACTTTACATACTGAATATTTGAAAAAAAAAACACTGACATGAAAAATACACGCTAACTGTTGTTAATTCATGTTAAAACAAAAATAAAATAAAATAAAATAAATGACAATTTTCTAATACTAATAGCATCTAAAGATGTTTTACATAAATGAAAAAAAAGCAATATGGGCTGATTGGGAAGACGTGATTGAAATAACGCCATTTAAGTATTTGGATTTAGAAATAAGTTTGTGAAATTCATATGTGTTTCATACGTTTAGCTATGCTTAAGTGAACCGATAATAAACGCTATAAGCAAGCGACAGTCATGGCGAACACTTCATTTCTCGAATGCGTCTTGAAAAATATTTGTATGTAAATGAACGAAAAAGTAATAAAAAATATACATGCCACATTGATTATTTCTTGTCATTATTTTCAAGAATATTGGGGGAAGTTTTAATTTTTCTCTATTTTCAAAAAGAATGATATTTAATTAATTATTAAATTAAAAAAAAACATTTACATTTCTTTTTTTAAGTTTATTATTATTTTACATAATCTATTTTCTAATTTTAGATCAATTTTTTAGTTTGAAGTGAAAATACATTTTTGATTGAATAATTAGAAGAAAAATCCCATTGCTTAATAATAATTTACAATTGTTTTTCTGAAAAATTAGGAGAAAAAACTTGAGATTTAAAAAAAATGTTTTTTTCTTTTTTCATTTAAACAAATTGTTATTTAATAGAATTTACATTTTAGTGAATTTTCAATTGTTATTTGATGGAATTTTTTTTTAAACTAATTTTTATTTTACCAAATTTGCATTTGAATTTTCATCTAACCGAAATGAAAACATATTTTTATTTTTATTATTTTAATTATTTATAATTGTCTTTTCTTTTTTCAAATTAAAAAAGAGCAATATAAATAATTAAAATAACAAAAGTAAAAATAAATGTTTTCAATCTATTTTTTGAAAAATTGTTTATTTTCTTTATTATTTTTAATTAGTACATATAATTTTACTTTTATTATTAATTATTTGGATAAAAATTTTTTATGTCTTCTATTTGTTTATTTTAATGGACTTTGACTTTTCTATAAACATCAACGATGAGTCTAGAGTCGTGGATATAGAATGTCGATTGGCCATAAATAAAATAGTTTATTTGCCATATTCTTTTATACAAACAATCAGGGTAAAAAGATATATTAAAATTTATTTCTTTTTTTTTTTAGGATTCATCAAAGACGTCTGGCGAGGGAAAAAAAATAGTTGAATGAGGACTCTTTGAAAAAGATATGAAATCACCCCTTTTGACTTTCTCGAAGGTCGAGGCAGTTTGTCTCATGAAGAAGACTTGGGATTGGTGATGCTCGCCTTTTAACGAGCAGCGGCGCCTGGAGTACACGATATACATGTATATATGTATTGTGGAGTCGTGGAAAAGCGTATCATAGTGAGTGCGCATTGGATCGATAATGTACGACGTTCAAGCCTCTTTATATACATATACGTTTATCATTTTTTCCAAAGTGTAGGTGGATGTTGATCGAAACACTAGCAAACGAATTATAAGCGAGTGTTAGTGAATTTTGGTGGGGGACAGCACTTTCGCCGACAGCGTGGCGGCAATAGAATTCAGTCTGTTACCATCATCAGTCACGATTGGTTTTTCATCAAAACTCACATTGAGCAAACACTAAAAATGCCACCGAAAAGAGAAAAATATATAGGCCACTGTGGAAAAGCCACATCGATTTAGGGCGAGTTCCTCTCTTAGTTTCAATTATATATATATATTGTGTGAGAAAATTTTCGTTTTCAAAGGATATGTTTTCTGGAATTATTTAAGGTAATCGATTGTTTTACATTTTTTTTAAAAAAAGAAAATTCTTATTCTTTAATTTATTAACAATTATTTGTTGCATTTGTCCATTGCATTTGGTATTTTAATCATTTTTTGCAAAAATTATAGAAAATTAATTATTTGCAAAAAAAAAGAATTATGAACAAAATTTTCAATTAAAATTAATTAGGAAAAGTTTAATTTGAATGAAAAATTTTTCGACAAAATTGAAAAGTAAAAAAATAAAATTTATGTTTCTTGGAGATCCTCTGATATTTGTTTTGATATAAAATTTTCTCTGGATTTTCATTATGAGAGTTTGCAATTTTGTAACACTTTTGCGAATTTTACGTGAAATAAACTCGTTTTGAGAACTTTCAAAGGCACGTGGACTTCGACCTGTTTGACGAGTTTTTCAATCGGGTCAGATGAAAAGTTCTAGGATACGTTCGAAGATCATGTAATTATCATTCGTATTATTTAATAGTTAATTACTTTTTGAACAAAAAAATAAAAATCTTGCTACAATTTTCCACTTGGAAATTACTTAGTTGAATTTAAAAGATTTAAAAGAAAATACCAAATGCAATGACTAAGTTAAAAAATAATTAAATTAATTAATAGAATTCTTAATTAATTAGAGATGCATACTATTTTTTTTTTTTTGAAGTGTAGAATAAAATGAAGGTCAATGCAATATGTTTTATAAGAGATCATTATTGCTTACAAGTTGCAAGTCTCATTATCCACGTTCCGGTTGTTAAAAAGATAAGAACCAAACCGTTACAAACATAAATATAATATACGCAATGTTGATATGTTTATAAAAAATTGAAATTTAAAGTTGTTAGTTGAAAATTTTGCATATGCTTATTTTTTTTTTTTTTAATTTAATGGTACTAAAAAAAAGTTATTGAAATAAATTAAAAATTGATTTATAATATAGAAATTTAAAAAAAATATTTAAATATAATTTATTGACAAAAAAATTTTCATACATTTTTTTTCAATTTGTTTAAAAATTCAAAAATTGATTAAATATAATTTTGAATTTGAAAATATTTTTTTTCCAAATAAGACTTGATGATTCCAATTTGTCTTTAAATGTCGAAATTGGTTTTAAAATTTGTTCATTACCAATTTATTCAATCAAAGTTCGAAGGTCAGAGAAGTTTCAATATCTAACAAGTGAGGTGATGATCTAAAAATAGAATATGATTCTTTTTTTATTAATAGAATTGTTTATTTAAATAAGTTCATTAGATAACGATAATAATTTTAATTGTATTTAAATTAGGTTTTATGTTAATGAGATTTTCACATGATAAAGTAGAATTGATTTTGTAGGAATTTTTTTTTTAAATTTTCGAAAATTTAATTTAAGATGAAGTTTAATAAATAAATGTTAAATAATAATAATGTTACAATTTTCAAATAATAATTGAAATAATTTTTATTATATAAAATAATCAATCTTTTGATTATTATTTTAATATTTATGTAACAAATCTCTTTGAATTTATTATTGTTAACATGGATTTGGCAAACAAAACAAAAGTTCAGAACATTTTTTTTATGATGTAATCTCGATACACGTGTTAATTTTACATGGTAATTTAAAATATTTTTAATTGTCATACAAGCGAATTCCAATTATTATTTAAACGTTTAATTAAAGGGATTATTATTATTAAACGTTTTATTTTCTTTTACATTTAAAATAATTATTTCCAATAAATAAATTTTTAAAATACATTTTAATATTTGTGTAATGTTAATTAAAAATTTTTTTTCTAATTATTTGTAGATCTTTATATATTGAAAATAATAATAATAAATGTAAATTAAAAATTCGAGTATACTGATACTGAAGATTTTGCAAGGGGCTTTGCTTGTCATTTCGTTGTGGTAAAAGAAAAGGAAAAAAAAGAAGTAATAAAAATAGAGAAAAAAGATCATGAATGATAAAAGGAGATGAAAGAATTAACTGATTGGATCGAGGAACACGTGCTCTTTAATCCCGTTGACGTTTGCGTTTCAACGGAAGGAAAAAGAAACACTCTCCTATATATACGTGTATACACCGCACGGAAGTTCAGTGACAGTAAAGACGATATTATTTATTATTCAAAGCAAAGGAAATGGTTAACGGTAAAAATAGATATAAACCCGGAAGTTCCTGATTTTTATTCGGCATTGATTTTTACATCCTTGTATTAAAAAAAAAAAAAATTTATTGCTTTTTGAATTTTGAACAAATCAATGAATATATTTAATTTTTTTATAGAATTACTAAATTTTTGTTTATATTGAAAAATTTAGCTCAATATTATTATACATGAGAGATATATCTAATCTACTGTGAATAGATAATGATAAATAATATTTGTTAGACAAATTTTTTATATAGATATATCTAATTTAATTTTTTTGATATTTAAAGAACACAGTTGAAATTTATTATATTTTTTAGAAATTGAGTTTTTTCGATTATTGAAAGTCCAATAAGTATAAAATAACAAAATAACGAATAAGTTCCAATAATCGAAAAAATTCAATTTTTAATATCAAAAAAATGTAAGGAAAAAATAATTTAATATTATATTTTTTTGAAAATTCGACGAATTTTTTATATTCAGATTGTGTTTTTATTGAATAATAATGAATTTTTATGAAAGTATTTTACGATTTAGAGAAAATGTGAAAAAAAAATCAACAGGAAGGAAATTTTTGTAAATTTATTTCTGCACATGAAATATTTCAAATTTTGCTAATTAATTTTTTTCGTTTGTTGTAGGCAGAAGATCGAGATATGAAAATTTTAAAATTGAAAGAAAGAAAACGGAAGTGCTTTCTTTCAGTGGCGGAAGAAGAGTTGATGTGATAGTAAATAGAAGATAGGAGAGAAGAAGAAGAAGAAGAAGAAAAGAAGGAAGTGGAGGAAGTGGTGCAGATTTGAAGAGACAAGAAAAGTGGTATCGAGAAGAGAGCGCCGTCGCAAAGAAGTTGTGGACATCGCCAGGGTATATGCATAGTGTATTAATAGTAATTATCAGGGTGGGGATCGCTCGCTGGTGAAAATAGAAAAGAATGTTTTTGGAATCCAATTGGACTTGGTTGGCAGAAGGATGGGGTAATATGGCCGACTTGGCCGAGCGGGTGGACGATTTGATATGCAGTTTTGATTCGTCCAGTGAGACGACCATGGACACGTTGTCGATGCTGATATTCGGCTGGATGCTGTTTGGCCTGGTGGTGTTGTGTGTCGGGAAATATGTCTATAATCGTTTTGTTCTTCAGGAAGCGGTGAAAAATAGTGCGAGCACGAAAGAGGTACATTCCACATTGCATGTAGGTGAGAGTGTTGTGCTTATTGGTGCGGGTGCAGGAGCTGGTGCAGCGGGTAGATCGTTACCATTTGAGAAGCTCACAAAAACAACGACATCAAGTGCAAAGTCCACGGGGACAGGAAGTGCAAGTGCATCAGGTGGTGGTGGTGGTGGAATTTTCACCTCCTCAGCGTCTTCGGCTAATTCCAGTTCAACGGGCTATGTGCCACCGACACCGCCAGTTAGAAAAAGACTCACGAGAAAGACATCAGGTCCACTGATAAGTCCGGCAAGAAGTTCGAGGGCTCTTAATTTGCCAACGGCCACCGGCGCTGATCCCGATGCCGTCAGATGGGTCAACGAGCTCCTCGTCTGGCTGCACGCGGATCTACCTGCCCTCGATGAACTTCTCGCTACCTGGGTGGCGTCTCTTAATGATTTCACTGCCAACTCTGTCGAGGAGGTCAGTTTTCATTGAAATTCTAACTTTGACGAATCTCTAATCATCAAATTTACCAAAATCAAGGGAAACAATAAAAATGAAATCCAACTAACTTTTTTTTTCAATTGTTTTTCCGATTGCTTCGGTTTTGAAAATAAAAAAGAAACATTTTTATTGCAAATATCGCATATATATCTTACATAGTAAAAATTATATTTGAAACAAGTTTTAATCTCTCGGACAAGTTGCGTAAATTTTTTGGTTATTAAAATAGAAAATATATTTTTGTGTTTACATTTTCTGTTATAAAATAAATTCATATTCCAGAGTTGACATTACGTCAGTAGATAAATATAGCAAAGAAATAAAACAACAGGTGGTTATAAGTTCACTTTATATGCACATACAAAGTTATATTAATTTATTCAAAAAAGTCATGTATAAAGTTTTAGGCGAAATTAAGAATTTTCAAAGAAAAATTATTAGAGTAAATAATTTATTTATTTTTTCGAAGAAAAAAATTTCTATTGACAATAAGAAACATTTTAGTTTCATTTTTTTTTTTTCATTAGAGGAGATTCTTATTAAGAATTTGTTTCCTGGATCATTGAACTTTTGCTAAAAAAGAGAAATTCTTTAAATAAAAGTTACAAAATCCGGTTCTTTTTTTTGGCTACATGATGAAATTCAAGGTAAAAATAAATTTTCATAATTGAATATAAAAATAATTTATTTTAATATTAACATAATTTATTTATTAAAAAAAAATAAAAAATTTCTATAATGGAGCAAAAAAAACATATAATTTGCAAATCCACAGTTTGTTGGTAATGAATTAAACGAGTAAAAATAATAAATGCAACAAGTCTTAGGATAGCTGAGTTACGTCAAATTGAAAAAGAGAAAAAAAAAATTATGTGAACGGCCTTGCAGTAGCACTGATTGTAAGCGTCATCAAATCCAAAATAGCATCTGATGCTTTTGTAGAGCCGGTCGCCCACGTGCCATTACCATTTTGCGTTCGTATGACATTTAACCTGATTTAATATTCGGAATATTAGTTAATGACATTATAAACTTGATATTTCTTATAATTATCACATCTTGACATATATATATATATATTTTTTTTTTTATTGTGTGATTTATGGAAATTGAAAAATAACTAAAGCGACTAAAACAATTATAAGGCAATTTAATTACTTTCAAGAAACATTGTTTTGACTCAACAAATTTATAAATCTTATATGAACAGATTTTAAAGAAGATTGATCCTTTCACGTAAATTCTAAATACATAAAAATATTTTTCTTAATATTTTCTTTTAGTTATTTGTTTAATTCTCAATTTCTCCTGTCATTTAAAAAAAAACTAATGTGCTTTTTTTCTAAAAAATAATTTTAACTGATATTTATTTTCATTTTCAGCATGGTATTGGAGTGGAATTTGTCAAAGTTCTTCCGGAAACACATCCACCAGTTTTATCCAACATTTTCTGCGAATGTGACTCGAAAGACGATGTGGTAAGAATGATAAAAATTTTTTTTTTGTAAAAGTTCCTATCATTTTTAATTTTATCAATTAAAAAGAAAAATATCAAGAATTTTTTCGTGTGTCACCATATTTTGATTAGCTTAATTATAATCTTATCTTCATCTTCATAAGTTATACTTATATCATAGAAATTTATTTTTTATTCTAATTAGTTGAACTTATTTTTTCTAATCTTGATTAGTTGAGTTTTTTTTTTTGGGGATGTTTTTAATTAAGTAAATAAATTATCAAATTAATTAATTATTTTTGCAGACCATCACATGTGATTGTGAGGCAACTCCAGCTTTACAATTAAGGGCCTTACGTCAAAAAGGAGATAAAGTCGAATCCAGCCATTATCGAGTCAACGTCAACCGTTTCCGTGCTCGTCTCAATGTTATTTGCATCACGGAAAAACTACTTATTGATTTAAAATGCGATGGGTGGCCTGAGGTTGGTTAACACATTATTAAAGCATATTTCTTATTGATTATTCTTGTTTTCTTCTTTATTTTCATATCACTTTAATTTGTAAATTACATTTTGTGAAATTCCTTTTAGCTCATTAGAACTAATGAATATTTAAAGATTTTTATTTTTACTATTTAGTAGAATTATTAACTTAATAAAGAAATTTTAAATACGTTGTAATTTATAATTTTTGAATATTTTATTTCTTTAATGAATTTTTAACTACAATATTTAAAAATTTCTGGTTACAAAATTCTCTAAATTAAAAATGTAGTGATTAAACTTAAATTTGCATTCTTTTTTGTTACCAACAATATATTCTTGCGATTTTTGAAAATTGATGAATAAAATATGGGTTGAAATAGTATGTAATATTAAGTTATTGTAGTAATAAAAATTTTTTTTTTCCCGCAGATCAAAGTATCACTTGCTGCAGTGGGAACAATAAAAAAGGACGTGAAAGAAAGCCACTTACAAGAAATAGTTACCGAAATTGTTGTAGCGGCATTAAGAGGAACGAATGTTCATCTAAATTTATCTCAATATTCGTCATGTCCTCGACTTTGGAGAGAACACACTCAAACTGGTTATTCATTACAGGGACATTATGATAGTATGGTGAGTTGATCGATAATAATTGTACGTCTAACCTACTTTTTAATGTACATATTTGTTCTTATCATCTAGCAATTGTGCATTTTTATATTACTCACCATTTTAAGCTCCATATTTTCAATTTCAAACAAGTTATAAAACATTTTGCAAATTTGTTTAAAAATTTTGAAGATAATTAAAATTATTTTATTAAATAAAGATAATTTCAATTATTGGATTATTTTGAAGATAATTTAAGTTTTCATAATTTTTCAGCACATGTCGAATTCATTGATGCATCAACGACATCCTCAATTTCATTCCTCTTCATCAACAATACAGCAATATTTACCCGGTGAAAGGAGATTACTTGTTAAAATAGTGAAAGCCACGGATTTAGGTGGTAATCAAGGTTGCAAAGAACCTTATTGTGTCGTTGAATTGGACGATCCACCACAAAAGAATCAAACTTCTATAAAAAAAGATACGATTAATCCTCTTTGGGATGAGGCTTTCCTCTTGTGAGTCAAATTAATTCTTTGAATAGTTTAATTTTCATCTCAGGTATATAAATTTATAATAAATTAAATTATTTAAAAAATTTTCAGCGACGTCAATCGAAATACGACTGAAGTACTTTTGGAATTATTCGATCATATAAATAAAACAAATAGATTTTTAGGTTTGGGAATTGTGGGAGTGGAAGAATTATTGGTGAATCCTAGTCAAAGACAAATTATTCCTCTTCAAGGAAAACCCTACGACGAAGATGAAATTACTGGAACTCTTACTGTTGAGGTTCGATTATACATTTTTATTTATTAATAATAATAATAATTACTCTAAAATTATTAAAATTAATTTTAATTTTCAAATATTATTCTTTATTTAAATTTTAAATAACTAATAAAAAAACTAAATAACTAATAAAAGGAAAATAAATTTTGCAGTTTCTACTCATCGAAGGTGCTGAAGTGCCTCAGATTGGGACCAAGCCGTACAAAGTGAAGGAAACGATAAAGCCGGTATCGCCGACGAGAACCTACAGCCCGACGAATAATCTCCTGAGCACCAATAGTTTAAACTACAACAATGGTAACAGCACTCTTATCTTGTACGACACTACCAGTGAGTCCGCAGGGGGTAATTACCGATTATTTCTATGAAAGGTGTTTACCCTTGAGATCGTTCATGTGCGTGTATTCACCTGTAGAGATCGTGTTTTTAGTTTTTTCCCTTCTCCAAAAAAAAAAAAAAAGAAAATAATAATTAGAGCTCGATCTCCGCTCAACAAAATATTTAATTTTTCTTTCGCGTTTCAGCAGTTAAATTTTATTTCTTTTCAATTAAATTAGAAATATATAAATATTTGTGAAATATAAAAATAGTTGGAAATTTGACCCCTTGCTTAAAAGTTAACTTATTTCGTTTAAAAAAACTTCGTTAATTAACATAGTTTGACAAACACGCTAGAAACTTATTTCAATTATTCTTTTTTAAATTACTATTTACATTGAATTTAAAACTAATTTAGTCTGTATTATTTTTTTTTTTTTAATATCCACGTTAATTTTTAATTCAATTTGTAATAACTTTTGTTCTTGTTTTTAATCAATTTTATTCTGTTCGACCAATTTTATTGTTTGCAAGTCAGTTTTATTGTTTAAATCTAACTTTATTGTTTAAAATTAATTTTATTAGAACAATTGGAATTTTTTTTAAATTTTTTTATTGGGAGAAATAATTTTAGAAATTGCGTAGTCGTAATAGAATATTAAACCATCAAATTTCAAAAGTTTTGGGCTGCGATCATTAGAAGTTGTTGATAAACATCATGTCTCTTTTGTATGTAACTATTCAAATAAGACAGGACTAAACACATTTTATTTAGATAGTTTGTGGCGAACTCTACATGCTTAAGTCACGGTAGTTCATACCTACAAATCGTCGGATACGATCGTTGCCAAATTGCCCCCTCGTAGAAAAAAAAAAAAATAGAAAACCATGCCAACGGGTAACTGACCTTTTATCATTTTCAAATTACAATTCTTTAGTTTAATAGAAAACAAAACAATGCCAATTTTTGTAAAATAGTGAAAAATTAAAATTAATTTTAAACCCAGCATGTGAAAGAATTTTTCATAGGATAGGATTTGAAGTTTGCTTTTTGAATTTTTCATAGTTAGATGGTTCCTGTAGATTTTTTTTTAGAAAACAATAATAGACCTTTCGGAATTTGGATGTTTTGCGAGATTGAATGCTGCCAAAATTTTAATCTTAATTAAATGCTAAAATTAGTGTTACTAAACGAAATTCAAAATTGTTTCATCAAAATTGAAATACATAATACATTTTATCGGAATTAATTTAATTAATTATTCAATAAATTAGGGAGTTTAATAATAATTAAAGTGAGGAATATTTTAATTTTGTGCACAAAAAACTGTAAATTTGAAGTTAAAATTTTATTTTTTCAGACTTTCTGACGAATGGAAACGCAATGGAGTCTCCGTACCGAAGTGGGCAGACGAACGGCAACAAAGGAACATTGATTGTCCACAGCCAACAAAGGGTAAGGGTAGCTCGAGTCTCTCGTTAACCCTGGAAAAGGTAACGATCTCGTAAAAGCTGCCAAACTAACGAAGTACCATTTGTACGATCAGCTATTAAAGTGTGGCCTTTCCTTTGACTTTTTTAGCAACCGGAGCGACACGTTGTCAAGGTAAGACGTCCAATTCAATTCTCTCTCTCTCTATCTTATATTCTGTCAAGCAAAAACGCAACTCTTCATTTTTGTTCGTCTTCAGTTCATTTTCAGTTTCACTTTGAATATTGTCAATCACCAACTGTAAGCACACTTTAGTCAAACTAAAATTAGTCATATATTTATTAGAATTGGAAAATTAATCATTTCTTTCAAATACATTAATTTATTATCATTCATTTTTCAAATCATTAAAAAAGTTAAATAATAATTTTCAAAAAAATGGTAAAAATTTGTTTGAATTTTTTTTTATACCCACATTTTGAAATATTTAAAATAATATAAAAAATAAAAAAAATAAATAAAAATAAATAAATAAATAATAAATAAATAATAAATATTTTAAATATTTAAAATAATTATATATTATATTATAAATAATTTATATAAATATTTTAAATAATATTTTAAATAATTGAAAATGCTTGATAATACTATATAAATTTCCAAATTAACATCACATTTTGCACTTGTTCACTTTTTTTTCATATATATGCTAAAAACGTTTTGAAATAAAAATGCAAGTAAAAGTTTCTAGTGTTGCAGAAAAAAGGATTATAAAAAAAAAAAATAAATTAAAATTGTTTTTTGTTTATTAAATCTTTGAAAATTAAAAATAAAAATGTATATATAGAGATTTTTGTGAAGTTTTTAATAACAGGTTGTTACAATAACTCGTGGAAATTTGAATTAACATCATTTGGTATCCTTTGCAAACACTATTAATTGTAATTTTGGGTGTTGTGTTTTTACTAATCCGACAGGTAACATTGAACGAAAATGGAAGCTGGCAGGAGATTTGCTCTCAGGTAATTGTTTAAGTCTCCCTTTTATTTTCAAATATCGAGAAATTTTCATGAAAAATATTCAATTCAATTTTTTATAACAATTTTATTTTCTATTGAAGAATTTTTTTTTTCACTATTACAAATTGCTTTATCAAAATATTTTTATTTTATTTTTTTTCGAAGCAAAAATAAAAATATTTTTCGTTTATTTCATTTTTTTTGTGTAAAGTTTAAAATTGAATAATAAAATATTTTTGGGTTATTCTATGTATATTTCATCTAAAGTTCTAATAAATATAAGTTTTATTTTTTCTTGAATTAGAAATTAAAATACAATTTACATTTTTTGACTTAGGAATTGAAAAATAAAATGTTTAATACATTTAATTTTTCTAAAACTGCGATTTGAAAAATTAACATTTTTAATATATATATATGTAAGTATATGCGAATTAAGTATTTGTCTTGGATATTAAAATTTGATTGTTAAATGTTTCAGACAGGAAACAATAAAGACCTCACTTCAGGAACGGAGAGTACACCAAATTCATCCACATCTGAAAGTATTCGAGGTTCGTATTTATTATTTTTTGAAAGTATTCTTTTAAAATTTTTTCTAACAGTGAACAAAACTAATTAATTAATTAATTTAAAAAAATGAAAAAAGTACATTTATTTATTGACTGTTAATTAATTGCAACAGATAGGGGAAGACCCAGAAGGAAACGAAGAGACTTCTTTGGGACCATAAAGAAGCGTTTATCGAGATCGAAAACAAGGAGTCGATCTGTAGGTCCTGATGGAGATGCAAATCATGAAGAAACACATTCTCGATCAATTTCTGCTGATCGAGCTAGAGATACCGGTTCCGGTAAGTTTCTAATCAATTAAAAACCTTTCTTTTTCATATATAATAATTTGAAAATTTTCATCTTTGCTTAAAAATTGTTTTTATTTTATTATTTTTAATAGACTAACAGATGTAGATAAAAATTTAAATATTTGAATTCAGTAAATTAATGTAAAAGAATTTCTAAAAATAATTCCTATAATAAAAATATGCACGCTATCTGCAAACTTTTTTACTAATCTGAAATGATGCCTTGTTTTTAATTTCGCAGTGGTAAGTCATTTTAAACGAGAGTAGCTTGAAATTCATTAAAAAAAATTTTTTTACTTGAAATTTTCTAAATTAATTTTCTCTTTACTTGTATATATATATAAAAAAATAAAATAAATTCATTCCTTAATTTCAAAATTAATTAAATCGTAATTTTTTGAGACATTAAAATAATATTGAAACTGAATATTAAGTAAACTTTTAATTTTATTGGTTAATTAATTAACTCTTCAGTTGCTTGGTGCATCCAAGTGTGTTGCATGAGTGAACAATTAACGAAAATTACAGCAACCTTATCGGTACCAGGAAGAGAAGAACACTCCAGAAGATCAAGTTTAAGTGAAGCTTCAGGCATCAGTGGAACTTCAACAAGAACTTACATTAATGAAGCTTCAACCTTAATTCTGGAAACTCTTGAAAATGGAATCACAAAGTAAGATTCATTAATATTATTATTTTATAAGAAATTTTGTTCGAAAAATAATTGAAAGAATATTTTATTTCTAAAAAAAAATACTAAAATTTTTTTTAAAGAATCAAATAAATTAAGTGAAAATAATAATTAATTTTCTAAAAATTTTCCTTTTCAGACACTACCTCGTGCCTCTGTCGCTAGCACAAAAAAGTAAATGGAGGAAAAAGGGAATAAAACTCCACATTTTTAATGATCACACATTCATTGCCAGGCACATACCAGGGTAAAAGAAAAAACACATTTTTTAAAAGAATTTTATTTTAATTAAAAAAAGAATTGAAAATGTTCTTTTCCAAGGTTTAGAAATTATAAAAAAAAATTTAATAAAATAATATGTTTTAATGTTTTAATTAATAAATTTTAATTTTAGGGGCACCGTTTGTCAAGTGTGCAAGAGAACACTGGCCAGAAGATTAGGAAAGCAGGGTTACGAATGCAGGGATTGTTTAATGAAATGCCATAAACATTGTCACGTTAAAGTTGACAATATGTGTCCATCTTCAACAATTCAAAGTATCGAAATGTGAGTGTTAATTAATTTTTCTATTCTAAACATTTTTTCATCAATTCACTATCGACAATAATTCGACACAAGAAATTTAATTTTGTAAATTATTTCCCACATCATTTTTCACAAACTTCACAGACTTAAAATATCAATTTTAAAGTTTTTAATTTTTATCAGTTTATTTTTTATATATTTCAATTTGTTTACGTGAAAAAAATTAAAAATTGCTTTGATTGATAAAATTATTTTTTTTTTTAAATTAACAAAAGCAGACATAAGACAAATAAAAATATAAATGCATGAACGACACACAGATACTACATCGCAATATGTATGTTTATGATTTTTACACGATTTTAATAAAATTTTCTTTTGACCTTTGCCGGATAAGGTCCCTTCTTCCAGTACTGAGCGAATGATAGGTAAGCTGACGAAACACGTAAATTTAATTGCAAAAAGCAAAAATTAAATTAAAATTGGCTAATATTATCCTCGCATGGAGAAAAAAAAAACCCGCTTGTAGGACAAGACATTGATAGCTAATGTCATTGTGTCTATTGCAATGTGTGATTAGCATCTTTTATTGACTTTTAACTAATTGACAAATAATTTACATTACAAACAACTGTTAATTAATTCGGGAACATTTCATCTCGGGAGACTGAAGTTGGTTGTTATTACCTTTCACAAATCTATACAATTACATTTTCATTATTATATACAAAATAAAAAAGAATTTCCAAAACGTTCATTCATTAAAATATTTTATAATCTTAAATATTTCTTTTTAATTTTTTTTCAATATTTAACAATAGAAATTATAGGCTGAAAACTCTTCGAAGTTGGGATCTTCTTAAGAAACGCATATGTCAACAAAATAATTGTCAAAATGTGTAAACTTTTAATAAGAGCTTGTTTTATCTTCATCTCTTCTTTAAAGTTTATTTTGTAAAATTGTTGACTTATTTGCTTTTCCTTTTTGATTTTGCTTTGCCTGTTTCTTTTTGCTGATTGTCTTTTATTGATTTTTTAAATTATATAATTTAAATACATAAACGAGAAACTAATTCGAATTTTTCAGTAATTTAAATTTTTTCATAACAACCAACCAAGTTATTCCGATTAAAAAAAAAAAAAATTAGAAAATGGTTTTCATTTTAGCTTATAATTTTCTGCTTTTTTGCACATATAATTTATCTCTTGCATCGCTTTAATTTTAATTTTTATATTTCTTTCAAATATTTTCCTTTCTTTAATAATTTTGAATTTATTTCATTCTTTTTTAGATAGATAAAAGATAATATATTTCTTTTGGTCTTATTTCTTCTTTTTGTTTCCTAAAATTGTAAACTAAATAATTTTGATACTTTTTTTTAGTTGCCTGTTTAATTAAATTAACTCGCACGATTTAGATATTATTTTAATTAATTCTCTAATTAATGTAATTATATCTAACGTGGTATAATGCGTTTATAATAAATCTATTAAGATTAGATACTGTTGACATTTGCGTTCTTCATTTTAATATATAGTGAAAATAGGCTTTTTTTATTTACTTAATATTTCAATAAATTATAATTTTTTTTTTTTATTTTTATAATAACCAAAAATTTTACTATTCATCCTTTTGCTTCTAGTGTATTGTTTCAAAATTTTTATTATTACAAAATTAAAAATTTAATTAAATTGCTATATGTATTTGAAAAAATTAAATTTCAAAACTTTTCCCATACAAAAAAAATTAGATTGAAAATATAAATAAATATAATAATTGAAATAAAATTCATGTGAAGCAAAAGGATCAATGCAAATATTTTTTGTCAGATATCTGCCATTGTTTTAAAAAAAGGAGATTTTAATTGTTTAGGATTCTCATCAGAGTTACAAGATTCGAGAGAAAATCAAGAAGACTTCTTTGCTAGCGAGAACTTTCTTCGTCATTTGCATCGAGCTAGAGAATTAAGTCTAATTAAGCTTCCAAGTGAAGGATAATTTTTTTTTTTTTTTTTTTGAATGCCAATGGTACTAAGGAATATGAGTAACCGTTGGTTTCTTTTTTTTCGAATCGATGATACGCTGGCACAACGATAATAAACGTTCGATAAATACAAGTAATTGTGATATAATATAACACTTTACAAGAAAATTTTTTAAATATTTACTATATAGATTTACTCTATTTACTCTCTGAATCTGAATCAATGGAAAGCAGTAAAAAAAAAAATTTATTGAAGTAAATCAATAAGAGGAATTCATTTTTCTACAGAAAAATTCAGTTGAACAAAATTAAACGAGCTTAAACTACTTTTTCACTGTTTCTAAATAAAGCAATTGATTTCAATTAATCAAATTCCACTGAGATTCAGTATTAGAAAGTACGCCTTTATGCAAAGGTATGAAAATCTTCCATCAAGTGTGAAGACCTATTTATATATATTATTAGAAGAAAGATCTCCCCCCATTGAAAGAAACGCTTGAGACCAATCTTTTAAGTCTATAAAACGAGAAATGCATTTTTTTTCCTTTCTTTGAAATAAAGAAAAAAGATTTATAATTTTTCAATAAGACTTTTATCAAATAAAAATTTATAATTCATTATTTTGAATTAAAAAAAAAATATTAATTAAAATTAATTTAATTAATGAAATAATTAATTCATTGCGCAAAATATATTACAGGGGAAATTTTTATACTTTCTTACGGGATTAAAAAAATTATTCGAAAGTAAATTTTTTTTGTATATATAAATAAGCAGTCTTTTTTTTGAAGACTTTTAAACTCTTTTTTTCCATATTGATAATTTTTTAATCAATTTTTGATATTTGAAATAATTAGAAAACAAGTATTGTTAATTTTCAGAATAAAAATTTTGTACATTTTTTTTTGATCAATTTTCATATGTAGTAATTTTGTACATGGAAAATATTACTGATTTGTATATAATTATATTCCCAAGAGCAAAGTTTCGTTGTGCTGACGTATTTTCGTGTCTACTATTTATTTCGAATGAGATTTTTATATTTCGAACGATTTAAGTAGTTTTAATTATTTTTCAAGGCACAAACTAAGCCTTTAGTTGTTTTTTTTTCAATTATTTTATTTGTAAAAAACAAAAACTTTTCACTCTATTTAAAATATTTATATTTTATTGTTCATTATAAAAACTGAAAAAAAAATATTTTCATCAATTTTGAAGAGGAGAAATACTTTATTGTTTTTTTTTTCCAAGTTTTTAATCGAACGACTGAACAGAGTATTACTCAAAATTATTTTATGAATATAAATATGTAGTTGAAAAGTTTTCAAGAGAGCCATTTACATTATGTTAATATTGTTTGTTTTCTTTTTATTTGTTACTATACTGAAAAAAATGTTTATTTGGTTATTCATTTTTTTTAATGAAATATATCTGTAATTTAGGGTCCCCAATTATTCTAGACGGTAAATTTTCATTTTTTAAACACTGAATATTAAAGTAATTTAAAAATTAAAGAAAAAAAATTATTAAACGAGAGTAATTAAAATTTTTTAAATCAAAATAAAGATGATGAACGTAATGAAAAATAGTAAAATTTAAATGAATAAATAAAGAAAAGAAAAATCTAAAGTAAAAATTTGAAATTGTGTAGAAATAAATGGATAAGAAAATAATTGAAAAATTGAAAATAAAGGAATTATGTAAGTAATATTGAGAATTTGGAAAAAAATTTGAAATTGTAAAATCAAAATTTGAAGAACATTATTTTTTGAAAAATGAAATTTTTATCAGATTTGTATAATCTCAATGATTTGTTTGGAAAATTTAAATTCAATGTCAATAAATATTGAAATTTAAATTATTTTGAAAATTTCTAAATCAAAAAGATTTCAACTAATCATTGACATTTTTTTAAAGAATAAATAGTAATCGAATTTTAATGTTGAATTTAATTTTTTTTCAAATTATCTCCAAAAAAAAAAAAATATTTCTGCAATAATTAATATCCTATAATTTTTCTATTCTTTAATTTTTTCCTATCATTAAATTTCCAATTATTTTTTTTCTTTTCTTTATTTCTTTATTTATTTATTTTTTTTTATTCTAAATAATTTTTATATCTATATTTATTGTCTTCTATTGAAGCGTTAAAATTAAAAATTAAAAAAAGAATGTCTAGAATTCTTGAAGATTTTGTCGATTTTCGAAACATTGTCAAAGCAAATTTATTTATTTCCATATTTGAAGAAGGCAAATTTTCATAGCGTTAAAAGATTGTATTTATAAATAAATATCTTGAAAGTAGATTTTTTCTTAATTTTAAAAAGAGAAAAAAAAAAATATTCTCTAATTTATTGCTATGAAAATGTGCATTTTACACACGACTGTTTGCATTTTCATGACTCGAAGGTTCTAGAAGACCTAATTTAGGCTACGTTTCTATTTCTATTCTAAAGAACCGATCAACTGTATAGATTATATGCCTAGATTTTTGCATAAATCCTAGCACACGAGATAAAAATCTATTGCAAATATATGAAAGTGAGTACGTGTTATTTGTAATAATTATATACATATACATATATATATATATTATAATGATAACGATATCGATAATAAATTGTAAGGTGCGAAAAAAAAATCGCAACTCCAACGCAATCATAATATTATTAATTAAATATTTATATATGAATGCTGAGCAAAAATTAAAATAAAATATATTCTAACAGGATTAGAATATTTTATAAATTACAAATTACTTTTTAGTTTCTAATTATTATTTTGTAAATTTATACACGCGTCTATTAATATTGAATATTAATTTCTTTTTATTAAAATTTAAATTATTAATAATATTTAGTTGATAATTTAACGTTAAATTAAATTAAATTAAATTAAATTAAATTAAATTAATTAAAATAAATTTAACATTAAGTTAAATTTGTAGTAATTATAGTTTTAATTCTTCAGAATTATTTTGCATCATGAATTTTACATCTCATGCCATTTTGAAAATATAGAGAATTAAAAAAATTTTGTTATTTTGAAAATAAATTTTCTTCAAAAAAAACTGTAAAAAAATGAAAATTTAAATTATTTATAATAAAAAAAAATAATAATAAAAATCGCCAAATATTTCTGTATCAAAAATGATAAATTGAATAATTAAACAAAAAAGTGATTTGTAATATTTTCTGCACAGCCTAATGTCGATCAATGATTTATACAACGTTTTTAAAGCAATTTATCAATTAGGATCTACATTTATAATTTAAGATTTAAGATAAAATCAAAATCCAAGCACTGTGTGATGAAATTTTTTTTTTTTGCTTCGTCTCATTACATCTTATTGTTATAATATTTACTCACTGAATTATTATATTTTTCAATTCATCTTTGTTAATATTTTTAAGAATTCTTGTTAGGACTAAAAATACGATATTACTGGAATTATTATTTTTTTTTGTAATTGATTCACTATTTAAAATTCCAATGAATAAAAATTGATAATTATTAGTAGTAAATAATAAAGTTAGAATTGCTAATTAATTAATTATTACACCGTTAATATCATTATTATTTTCTATTTAAAATAAAAAAAATTAATTATTAATTCAAAATTCATTAATAATTCATGAAACTATTTTTGGTATTCAAGAAAATTTCCAGAAAAATGTATTTTAAAAATATTAAAAAAAAAAATTGAATTCCAGTTTGAATATTGTAGTCTTTATTTATTTAGTTTTTTTTTTTTTTTTAATTTCATTTTTACGACTAGCGTCATAATATGAAATGTACATTGTCGACGAAAAATATGATCATATAGTGCCTATATAGATGTTGTTGCAATATTACATTTTACATTATACATAATTCATATAACGTTGTAATTTTATCATTGTATCATAAAGAATTTATTCATTGACAGTATTTCCGGTTATCCTGTGAAAAATTCTGTCATCATCGAATCTTCAAACTCTAAAAGATATATAAAATATTATATATGCTAATGTAATACAGTTATATTGGAGACAATTTTGCGCGAAGCCCAAAGGGATATTATTATATACATATTATGTAAAAGAGATAAAATAATATATTATGATCGCACAATCCCTATTAACGATTAATTATTTTTAATATTAACTCCATTTCCCCCCCCCTTTTTTTTAAATAACTTTTTTGAAAATTTGAATTAAAAAAAAGTTTTTCTTTACTTTTACGGAAAAAGAAATTTTTTCTGTAAATTATATTTTTAATCTAAAGAAAAAAAATTTCCTTAAAATCCAAGTAATATTTATTTTGAATTTAAAAACGCAGAGTTAACACTACTGGCGCAGTAAAAGTTAATATTTTTTGGTTGCCTGCCTGCAGGTTACCATGGCAATGCACGGGTGTGAGTGAGACAGAAAATTTGAATATTCAAATTTTCTGTCGCACTCACTCTTATGCGTTGCCATGGTAACGTGAAGGCCGCCAAAAAAGCTGTGAGAGCGCCTTACTGCGTTTGCGCAGACTACGCAGATTCGTAAACAGTTATGTTCGTTGTGTTTGCCTCATGGCAGAGTGTTAATTATAATCGGATTTATTGTTTAAGTTATGTATATAGTTAAATTTTGTGTAAAATTTTCTTACAATAAGTGATAAACAAGTTTTTGAATAGTTCGTGCCGTGGTATTTACGAGTAATGTGTGAAATGTCTAAATAGATATGGTTCAAGATACAAACATAACCTTATAACCTCAACTGTTGGACTTACAATTAGATCTAAAAGACGAAGATTAAGATTGAAGATTAAAAGTTTGAAGATTAAAATGCACCTCAAGAATATGTAAGTAATAAAAATTAATAATAATATTATAAATTAAATTGTTTTAATATATTTTTTATTCTATTGTTAGGACAAATTTAATATTTTTTATTCCTGAAGTCGTTCGTTTTAAGTGGTTTTAATTCTTTAATTTTAATTACAATTTTTATATATGGAATTTATAACTTTATTAAATACATAATATAAATTATGTTCCAATTTAAAAAAAGCGTTTTAAAATTGTTATCTTCGGATATGTACACTACTTAATTTGTCGTGTATTTGTTTTTCTTTTTTGTAAATCATTTTAATAAGTACTTGAATGTTAATTAAACTTTTTTAGAATATATTTAAGTGTAAAATATTGCATATATGAAAATTATGAAATATAAAATATATATATATATATATAGGTAGTTGTTTTAAAAGGTGCGAAGGAAAAAATTTTAAGAGTCGAGTTAATCAGGGAATTAACTTTTAAATCATCTTTTTAAATTAAATTTTATGAACGACCTTTGTATATTTTGCAAATTAAAATTTTATTATTATTATTATACACTAAATATCAAGTGTCTATAACTACAGTTTGCATATTTGATGATTATATATGGTTTTTTAACTATATATATAATGAGTATAAATAAATTAATATTCCTAGTATAAAAATTTGAAACTATATAATTAAAATTAAATTATTAATTATAATTAAAATTTTCATTATTTTCATTAAATTATTAATTATAATTAAAATTTTCATTATTTTAATTAAATTATATGAGCCAAAAGTTTTGAACGTTCAAATGAACAAAAATTTTTTTTTGTGACTTCTTTAAATACGAATTTTATTATTACAAAATATTGTTTTAAATATCTAAAAAGATAAGTTATTAATTTAATATTTGTTTAATTCCACTGTTTTATTTTACATTGACATTATAATTTTTAATAATTTATATTGATTGAAAAAAATATTTTATTCATTTGAACGTTCAGAACTTTTGGCTCATTAAATTATTAAATAAACATTAAACAAAATGAAAATTGGATTCGCAATCTGCAAATAAATATTTATTTGTCGTTAATAAATTATTATTTGATTAAAATAAAAATTTTATTTATGACAAATAAAATTTTTATTTACACAAAATAAATTAGAATAGTATATAGGCTCTGAGATAATTATACACATTTATTTAATTTAAATATATTTTATATTTGGTTCAAATAAAACATAGGTGTAACATTTACAACAATTAAATACTATTTAATCACATTATTTTCTGAATATAAATATGAGGATTTTTGCAAGTTTTTCTTTTTAAATTAAATGAACAAATTTAATTTGATTTAATTAATTTAATTTTAATTAATTTTAATTAATTTAATTAATTTTAATTATTTTAATTAATTTAATTAATTTTAATTATTTTAATTAATTTAATTAATTTTAGTTATTTTAATTAATTTAATTAATTTAAATTAATTTAATTAATTCAATATTTAGTGTCAGTTGGGGTAAATCGAAACAGTAGTTATTTCAGTTAAATAAAAAATTTTTTTAAAATAAATATACGATCTCAAACCTTGTTGTGGGTGATCTAATGTTCAAGGTTTGAGGCCGTATTTTTTTTTTAAATTTTTTATTTAACTGAAATAACTACTGTTTCGATTTACCCCTACTGACTCTAATTGAAATTAATTAAATTAATTAATTATTTAATTAACAATTTATTTAATAAAATTTTACTTAATTTAAAAAAAATTAAATTTGAAATTTAATAAAAAAAATTTTTTTTTTGATTTTATAACGAAATTTCTGTTGTTTTTTTTTAAATAAAAAATGTGTAAGGATATTCAGGACTAAATGTTTAAATCTTGATACGTTACTGGTAAATGGAGGTGGACACTAAGTCCTGAAATGGGAACGCCCAGCTTGTACCAGCAACGAATCGAAAAGCCAGAAGGTACCATATATCCGTTCCAAACAGGGTTTAAGTGGTATTAGTAGTAATAGGATAGAGAGAGAGAGAGAAAGAGAGAAAAATAGAGACAGAAAAGAGTAGTAAAAAGGGAAATATTTGTTATATCTTCTGTCTTCTGTAATATGAAATATAGTTAGCACAATTGAACAATTCTGAGTAACTCAATAAATTGAAAAAGTTCATATTTATCACTTTTAAAGCTTTATATATTTTATTTTGTACGATATAGTCGAAAAAATTTTATTTTATACTGGAAAAAATTTAATTTGATTTAAATATGAATATTTAGTTGTACTCTCTATGAATTAGTAAAAATGTTAACTAATTTCAAAAAGTGACTAATTTTTTGTTTCTGAATTATATTTATAAATTCAAAAGGAAAATCAGTCACTCATTTAAATTAATTAAATTTTTTTATTAATTCTAATTTAGAGTGTATAATAAATAATTTATTATTTAAGTCAATTAAATGATTTTGGTTTCAAATACAAAAAATTACACCCAGAAAAATGTTTCTTTTGAATCAAATGAAGTATTTTCTTTGATACACTGTAAAAAATATTTAATTCAAATAATCGGTTACTTGATTATTATCAAATATTTATTTGTATCAAATAATTATTATTTGAGATGGTATTTGTTTCAAATAGAAAAATTTTATTGGTTCAAATACAATTTATTTAATTCAAATAAAAATTATTTGGTTCAAGTAAATATATATTTATTTGATAATAGTCAAGTAATCAAGTATTTGAATCAAATAAAATTTTTTTCTATAGTGTATAGGATCAAAGAAATGTTTTCTTTAATTTAAAGAAAATTTTTTTATTCTAAATAAAACTCTGAAATTAGATAAGGATTTTTAATTAAGAATTTTTTTTTTAAATCAAATAAATTTTCTTTAAAATTAAAGAAAACTTTTCTTTCTCCCAACAGCAATGAAATATTTCTTAGATTGAAAGAAACATTTTTCTAGGTGTATTGATGCGAAAGAAACCTTATACACCCAGAGAAAAGATTTCTTTGATTTAAAGAAATTAGTTTCTTTGACTTGTTATCTTTTATTCAAAATAAAATTTTCTTTGGAACAAAAAAAGCTATATTCTTAGTTTCAAAGAAAATTTCTTTGATTCAAAAATATTTTCTTTGACTGAAAGAAATTTGCGTGCATTAAATCGAAGAAATTCTAACATTGATATATAGGGTCAAAGAAACATTTATTTGAATTAAATAACAAATTTCTTTGAAATGAAGATAATTTTTTTTTTGAATTAAAGATAATTTCTTTGAAACAAATAAATTTTCTTTGAATCAAAGAAAAATTTGTCAAAGAAATTGATTTTTTTGAATTAAAGAAATCTTTTTTCTCGGTGTAGTTTTTTTTTTTGTTAAATTAAAATTATTTGGTTCAAGTAAATATTTATTTGATAAATATAATTTTATAGTTAAATCAAATAAATTATTATTATTTTAATTAAATTGTGCTAGAATTGAGTTAAATTAAGCTCAAATTAATTAGTAATTAGGAAATTAAAGTATTATTAATATTAATTTAAATCATTAAATATAGAAATCAAATGCAACTAAAAAAAATAATTCATTGATTCAAATAATTGGTTACTTGATTGTTATCGAATAAATATTTATTTGGTGAAAATAATTATTAGTTGAATTAATTAAACGGTATTTGTTTAAAATGTAGAAATTATTGGTTAAAATATATATTTAATTCAAATAAAACTTTTTTGGTTTTCAAGTATAAATATATTTATTTGTTAATAGTCAAGTAATAACCGATTATCAAATAAATTTACTTTTAGTGTTTGAAAAAATATATTATTTTTAATGCACTAAAAAAAGTATCATATTGATTATCAAGAAAATCATTGTCCGCGTATTTGATTTACTTTATGATTCAAGAAAATTTACTTCAAAAACTAATATAAAATTTTCTTGGATCAAGATAAATAATATTGAATCAATATAATATGGACAAGTAAATTGGTTTTCTTGATTCAATACTATTTTTTTGTTTTAATTCTTTATGAAAAAAACTATTTTTTATATTTTTCAATTTTCTTAGAATCAAATGAAATTATATTTCTTGGATTCGTGTAGATATAGGTTTCTATACATATAGTCTTCTGTAAAGTTTACTAATGTGCCTTATGGCTGATTGTTATTTATCCAACAATAAAATCAGATGCGGAACGAACGTAAAGCCAAAAGATGTGAATACATATATATATATATATTTCACATATATATAATAATGATATCGCAAAGAAGTTATTTTCGCAGAAATATGTAAACGTAACTAAATATAA